CACTTCCCAGAACGTTGATGCTTCACGTCATCTATGTGTTCTTTTACGCAAGTTCTAATCTTCTTGATTGCCTTATATATGAGAGACCACATTCACAATCAAGCTTGTACACTCCTGCGTCTTGTAGAGGAATATGACACTTGATGGATGGTAAAAACTGACTAATCTTCTTCGGCGGCTTGTAGAATCTTCTAATAGAAGCTCGCTTCAAGATGTAGCCAATCTTGTCTGTGACACCTCTGACATATGGTAGTACAGCAATGCTCCATTATGTTCAATTGTGAGTCAGATCGATTCGCCAACTTACAGATTGGCTCAAAACTTAGCCAAAATATTATCACCACTCAGAGGACTCACAAGAGCACACACTAAGGATTCATACCATTTTGTCAGTGAGATAAAAGATCTACCTCTCTATTTACATGAATACCTGTTGAAGACTGCATCTCAATTATAACTAGGAAACTAGATGAAAATAACATGCCACCAGAATATGCAGTACTACTAAGAAATTGCCTAACATCTGGCTATCTATTGTGGAAGGAAGTTTTACAAGCAAAAAGAAGAATCTAAAAGACTTTGTTGTGCTCTTTCCGACAACCCTTTGTCCTTTAAATTCGCAATAAAAAAATATCGGGATAATATACTACCGTATCTTTTATGTTGGAGCAAGCAATACACAATTACCAAATTACACTAAGGCCCGCCAAATACCGAAACGGAACGAACGGGTCGGCCTCACACATACGTAATACGGGTCGGCCACACACATACGTAATTCGGGTCGGCCACACACATACGTAATACGGGTCGGCCACACACATACGTAATACGGGTCGGCCACACACATACGTAATACGGGTCGGCCACACACACATACGTAATACGGGTCAGCCTCACACATACGTAATACGGGTCGGCCTCACACATACGTAACACGGGTCGGCCACACACATACGTAGCACCTGTTTGCTTAAAAGCGACAATCGGGCTATAAAACTTAAGTCTATAATTGAAGCGTGTAATATGCAAATCCTACCCCTTTCTGCTACTCATAACTTTCCTAACTGTACTCCTTCCCTTCTTGACTTAATTATAGTGTCATCTTCAACACTAGTTTTCAAACACGGACAGTGTCCTGCTGATGCATTCTCTCATCACGATTTAATTTTCCTTTCGTATAAACTACGCTACTCCTAAAATCAAACCTAAATCACTTCTGCGACGTAATTTTGGAGGAATGGATATTGACCAACTTTGTGAAGATGCGCATAACATTGACTGGTCAGTGATTGAGAGAGCACCGTGCATTGATGATAAAGTTGAACTTTTCTGTTCCCTACTTACTCAGCTTTATGACATTCACGCGCCAATGCATTACGTAAAACTCAAACATTTACCTGCTCCATGGCTCTCTGATGATCTGAAAAGGCTTATTTTGAAGAAAAATGTGGCATTGTAGCTTAAAAGGAATAAAACCGTGGAAAACCTAAGTAAATGCGACAAAATCAGGAATTGCTGCAACACATTATGTAGAGACGCACAACGACGCTAAATTCATACATCAGTCAAGAACGGCGACTCATCTAGGGTGTGAAAGTTTCTTAAAACAGTTGGAGTTGGAAGAACATCCCTAAATGTCTTACCTCCTTGTGTTGATGTTGAACTATTAAATCAACACTTTTCTAATCCTTCTAACTCTTTTGATGGAGAACAGAAACCGCAAACACTTCGTTCTCTTTCTGCAACTGCGACTCCTAGTTATCCTCCGTTCGTTTTTAGTCAGTTTACTGTATGTGATGTTAAGAAGATCATATTATCCATCTCCTCAAATGCTGTCGGTGGCGACAACATTAGCCGTAATATGATTATACCTCTCCTTGATGTTATCGTTCCTATTATTACTCATTTACTTAATGCATGTATTAAATCCATGGCTTAACAGAGTGCACATGTTATTATACCCCTTCCGAAGAGATACAATCCTGTCAACCTTTCTGATTTCCGTCCCATCCATCTTACCTTTAATTTCTAAAGTCCTTGAAAAACTTATTTGCCAACAGCTGACCCTTTTCCTTAATAAGCACAATTTGTTGAATCCTTTACAATCAGGTTTCCGTCCTGGTCATAGTACGGCTACTGCTTTAATCAAAGTTACTGATGACATACGGTGGGTTATGGATAATAAACAACTCACAGTCATGACCTTGCTGGATTTCAGTAATGCGTTCAATACTGTTGATTTCGATATACTGTTGAGTCTATTATGTTACCTTAACATATCTCCATCAGTAATTGACTGGTTTCAAAGTTCTCTCTGTGGCCGTCGGCAGTGTATTCGTGTTGATGAAACTCACTCATCTTGGTGTGATATTACTGCAGGCGTGCCGCAGGGTGGCGTGTTGTCACCTTTACTCTTTTCCATTTTCATTAATTCAATCACTCATAAAATATCTTCTCTCTACCACATGTATGCGGATGATGTTCACATTTACACCCAATCAACTCTTGAGAATTTGCCGAATGCAATCTCTATATTGAATAACGATCTAAATATTATTCATGAGTGGAGTAAATCATACGGCCTAAATGTCAATCCCAAAAAAATCACAGGCTATTATTATTGGTAGCCGGAGATTTATCTCAAGAATTGACTGGTTCTCCGTACCACCTATCGAATTCGATGCAATTGTAATACCTTACTTTGACAATGTCAAAAACCTTGGTATTTATTTCGATAACTCCTTAAATTGGATAAACCGCCAACTGAATGAGGTAAGTAAGAAAACCTTTGTCGCTCTTAGTTCACTACGTCGCCTTCGATCATTTCTTCCCATTCCTACAAAAATTATGCTCGCACAGTCTCTTCTACTTCCGATTCTCGACTATGCTGACGCAATCTATGTAGACATAACCGAGGACCAGCTAAATAAGCTTGAGAGACTTCAAAACACTAGTATTCGGTTCATATTTGGATTGTGCAAATTTAATCATATTTCCCAATTTCGCTCACGTCTCGAGTGATTACCTATCGGAATTCGCCGGAAAATGCATATTCTTTCTATTCTGTACTGTGTATTATTTCACCCTTCTACACCTCCCTATCTAAAGGAGAAGTTTAATTTTGTAGGGCTTCCAGGAGAACCTCTACGCTCTTCAAGAAAATTCATTTTAAGGGTTCCAACCCACAATACTTCCTTTTTTAATAAATCTTTTACTGTCCAGACTATCAAGCTCTGGAATGCCCTACCGTTGCGTATACGTGAAGCACAAACTATTGTTATATTTAAGCGACTACTTAAAGAGCATTACTTGTCTCAGTCGTTTGAACACCGTTAGAATAATTTAAGTGATTATGTATCTATTGTATTTATCTGCTTTATATTATTATTTGAGTAATTTTGTATATATGTATATTTATACATATGTTTTACTTTATTTTTATTATATTTTACCAATTTATATAATTTCATGTATTAGTTATTTGTATGTTATTTTATTGCATGTATTGTCTATAAATCGCATGTATTATTATTATATTATGTATATTTATATTGCACTACCTACCTAGTTCTCACTGTTCTAATCCTTACACCTTTGGTTGCCTGGAAGAGATCGCTATGTAGCGATAAGGCCGCCAAATTGTACTTACATAATATTATAATCTGCTTTGTGTTTTGTTATCTGTATATTTGTTTGTGGTGTACAATAAAAGTATATGCATTCATTCATTCATTCATACGTAATACGGGTCGGCCACACACATACGTAATACGGGTCGGACACACACATACGTAATACGGGTCGGCCACAGACATGCGGAATCCCGTTTTGCCCGCAAAATTTCGAACGGGTCCTTGATTTTATTTGTTCTTGCTGCGTGCGGCATCTCGAATGGGAATTCTGAAACTGAATTCCGTATCTATGTGGCCACATACATACGAAGTTACGCTGCAGCTATATTATGGTTGTAGCACGAATGGGTTGTCTCGACCAGGGGAGGACCACGTTCTCACAGAATACCAGCGCAAAATAGCAGCTTAACGCTGCTGTATTTCATATGGTAATTATAGAGAACCAGAGACCTTTTTTACTGGAATCGAGGCATTCCATCTTAGTCTTCATGGCCACGCTGCAGTTAAATGTAGGGGTCTATAGGCCACAAGCTTACCATAAGGTAGACTTGGTTTTTTATAGATTTAAGTAATAAACGGTCTTCAGTCCACGTTGTACGGACCGACGTAAATCAACGATATATGCGTTATTGGTATATAATAGATGCGTTGTCACATCTGAGAGCTAAGATGAAACATCTCATAGCGTGTAATTATATTGACTCAGTGTAATCTTGTGACCCGAACACAACAGTGTAAACACATATATGAAGCGACGAAAATAGGTAACGAATCGTCACTATTACTTCAATGAAGAAATATGTATATGTCACAGTCAAAACTAATAACCGGTCAAAACCACTTTTGACTGCGAAAATCAAACAAAAATGGTTTTGACCGAGGCTCTTATTCAAAAACAGTTTTGCCTGATTTTAACTTCAGACTATCGGTCTAAACTCGTAATATCAGTGACAGTAGGTTAGGGTGCGGCCCTTAAGCCACCCTGAAGCCGCGTAAATAAATTCAATAAGTAGAAGGTAGTTTCAACTAACATTCATGGCCAAAACCACTTTTAACCGATATAATTCGGTCAAAATCACTACTACCCAATATTTTTGCAGTTAAAAGTAGTATTGACCAATGTACTCAGCCTAAATTTCTTTTGCCTAATTTTTGCAGCCAAAAGTAATTTTGACAGGTTGTAAGATTTGACCGTAACATATACAATAAAAAATTAAAATTCGTAACAAAATATTTATTTCTAATCAAACTAAATTAGTTTTACAAAGATTAAATATGTATTACTTTTATTTATTTATTATTAAGGCACAGTAAAACGATTTTAGCTTTTCTTGTTATTACAAATATCAATCCGTCTCCGCAGGCTCAGATCCAAGGTTCCCAGTTTGATCTAGTGACGCCCAAGATTTGAGGATCTGTGCAGTGCCGCAGCAAGTTTGAAACCTGTGAAAAAATACAGATATTGATAATTGATCGTCTTCTAGAAGAACGAAGGAAGGTATCGCAAGTCAAATTTTGTAAATAATTACATCGACTTATATATTATAACTAGTGATTGCTAATGGTTGTAATTATAAACTAAACTATGATAGCTACTGAACTGTTAACAAAATACACTCTCACCCGGTATCGTGTTTTTGTATAAATAAAAGTTGGTAATAGGTACTAAATAAAAATAAATACTAATTGATGTTTTATCATTCCTCAACTCAGCAGCACAAGAATTGCGATTGCATGCAAAAAACTTTGCCACCATCAATTTATTTATCCTTGGTAGATTAGTAGTTTTACGAATTCGTCTCAATGATGTCTTCTCAATAAAATTCGTAATTAAACTCAATAATCGTAATGATAACTTGAACATTTTCGAAATAACACAGCACGTTAGTTAGTTCTCTTAATCAGTGATACAAAACACTAATATTCAAAGGCTGGATTAGTGACGTCACGACATGATTAATATGGCGGACACCGTTTTACAGATTTAAGGCACAGACGAAAAAAATATTCTTAAAATTGAAATATGAAATTTATGACGCAATTTTATAAATATAAATCAATATTTCTTGTTTGCTTTTTACAAAATCTATCACATAGAGTAGAGTAATATATACAGAAATAGAGAGCCATCTCCTAGGATTTTTTGTCACCCAATATGAATAGTGTCGCCGTCCGGTATCATATCCCTTGAACTAATCTCAATATCATGTTGACTATATAGCTGTATGTAGTTATGTATATACAGCTATCTATACTATAGGCGGTTATATTTATATTTTAAGGGATTAGGGTTCAATTAAAGACGTATTATAGATGTCAGTAATATTAACATTTATTTTTGTTATATATATTTGACATACACGATGTAAAAGCGTCTATTCCGCAAAATACAACACCAAACCAAATTAAATATGTCCACCGGGTTACCGGAATGATAAATGAAAGCGTCTATTTCGCACAACACTACACAAACTTACAATGTGGTTCCAGCATGAACAGACAACAAAGAAACAGAGGGCTAATCCCAATTAAACCAAACTTATTGTAACAACAATCGAAAATCACTTATAAACTATAATAAAACAACAACTTGCTCAGACGTCGGTAACCATTATGTCATATAAAGTTGCTACTTCCAGTTCGAGAATAACCAGAATTGGTGTAGTCGCCATCTAGCGCACCTTTTAGAATTTAATGTTCGAAAGTTTATGCGGATATAGTACAAGATGGCACTAGTGTCTTTGCAAATTATTGAACCCCAACCTAAAGTATGGAAGCGTACCCCCCTTGATCTATCATAAATATATAATTTTTGATTTTATATTACATGGTGTAAAATACCCTATGCATTTTTTATAGAGTAAGGGTAAGCCCCTAGACATCTACATACAAAAGAAGAATCGTTAAATAAATTTCAAAGAGAGCTTAAAAATATTTAATTGAAAAAGTTTCTATTCGTTGTCAGAGTTTTTCGGTAAAAAATAAGAATTGTTTAATTGAATAATATGTACCTCTTTAATATTGTTGTAAATATTAGTGGTGGGTTGTTGTCGAATTTTTGACTGAAGAAACGCAATCCGCGACGTCAAAAAAGATCGACGTTGCATGTGGTTTGCTTTGAAGACTACTTTCAGGATGAAACTTATCCAACATGGAATAGTTTTCGTCGAGTGAAATAGTTGCAGTTTCATAAAACTTTCAAAGATTTGAAATGTATGAAATGATTTACTAAATAATTCGTTTTATCGATCGACTTTACTAAACTATGAAATGAACTTCATACTTTTCCAGGCTTTGGACTCGCTACAACAGACTTAGCATTACCATTAACATTAGCGACTGTAATTCATTGACAAAAAGCTCACTTTGTATTTATTGTAAGGACAGTTTACCACTCTGTCTACGTTTGTAAACGATCGCGGAACCAAAGGCTACTATATAACGCGGAACGTTAAGGACGACGACGCGACGAGTGAGATAGATAGATGAATCATTGCATTTTCGACTGTATTTTCACAGGCGTAAAACAGAAAATCGCATCAAGTAATTCGATGACTGGTTTGTGCAACGAAGACTGTTCGAACCCAGGACGTAAAACGGTTTCACCGTCACAGAACACAAAACGGTCTTTGTAAACGGTTCGTCGTCGCAACGCCCACGCCTAGTAAATATTGCAAATGTTTATTAAACCTAAAAGTAATGTTTATTAAACCTAAAAAAAAATGTTAAATAAATAAAATAGGTACATAATTCATCTTTCTAAATTAATTAATTGAAATTGATATATAATATTGCTACGCCCTATCAGGGCTCATGTTTGGCTTTATTATATCCAACATAAAAACTATTTATGTAAACACATGAGCGCAATAAAATTAGTTTAAGTTGAGTTTTTGAGTTTGAGTTGCATCTATCCTCGATTAAGAATCAAAGTGCAGATGTGTTGTTATCTCTGAGGATTAAAATGGAATGCCTCGTTTCCAGTAAAAAGGTTCTCCGATTTTCTACACTCACCATACGAAACACAGCAGCATTAAACTATTTGACGCTGGTATTCTGTGAGAGCGTGATCCTTCCCCGGTCGAGCCAACCCATTCGTGCTACAACCATTATATAGATATCTACAGCGTGGTTTTACCACGTAAAAAAGAAAGAGTTACAAGTCGAATTATTTTATTTAAACATAGACGGAATCACGCACGTTGCACGCACACATGAACACACATACAGGAACAGAAAGAAAGAGAGAGATAGAAAAAGAAATATACTTATGTACAATAACTGACCTGTTCTTCCACACTGTATTTGTCCTTTTGCGAGTAGTCCGCAAAGATGCGTTCAAGCAGTTGTGAGTACTTGTGCGAGTACTTGCGCACAGAACGTAGTCCAGCTCGCTGGCTGACCTGGTGCGGAAGAGCCTCGCCCCGTAGCAAGTCGCTTACATCCGCCAACTTGGAAATATACTTTACATTTAAAAGAGAACCGCTTCTAAAACTTCCATAAGAGATCCCAGGAGTACACACTTTTATTTTATTTGACTTATAGAATAAGGGTATCAAGGAGCACACAGTCCACCTGATGGTAAGTGGATACTGTGACCCATAGATATAGACATCTACATCTATCCTCGATTACGAATCAAAATGCAGACACCTGTTACCTGTGAGGACTAAGATGGACCCTCTTTACTGGATGCCTAGCTTCCAGTAAAGAGGGTCTCCGGTTCTCCACACTCACCATACGGAACACAGCAGCGTTAAGCTGCTATTTTACGCTGGTATTCTGTATGAGCTACATACTAAATTGTATAGTGAAGTATTACCATTACTGTTTCAGTGTTTTAAAGGTCTGGACTACTGAACATAGACCTCGCCTATAGTTTGCCTAATATGAGGGATATTTGCGATGGTTTTATTTTTATTTTAGTCGTCATTAGGAAGACGCTGCTTCCCATCTCCTGATTTTTGTTTCCCTTTGGCGCCTCTTAAGACATCCACGGGACGATATGAGGTAGTGACATAGACTTATTATAATACTGCGTATGGACCGGGTCATTGAACAAACAAAATGACACCGACTCTTTGGTGCGAAAATGTTTATGGAGCACCAACGCGAGCATCAATGCGTACCGTCCGTCCGTGCAGTGTTTCCACTTTTAGATATTTTGCACTATTTTAGGGAAAATCTACCAATATAGGTAGGGTTTTAGGCATTTCTTCAAACTGACAGGGTTTTAGATAATTTGGGGTGAAATCGAACTTCAGGTAACCCCGTTTTCTATACCCACCAAATGTAATTTTTTTAAAGATTTATCGAAGAGATTACGGTTCAAAAGAGGTAGAAAAGTGTGGAATGAAAAAGTTTTTTATTTCGTATATCGGAAAAATGCTATAATATTTTACTTAGTTACATTTTCGTTATTCCTATGAGGCTAAGTGTTATTATAATTTGAAAATGAAAACGTCTTATTCATCACAAAACTCGAAGAGTTTTAATCGTGAAATGATATTAAAAACTTGCAACGATGTTGTTCTTTAAAATATTCAAAATAAGGTGTAATAAATACATAAGGCTATTTAGATTTTTTACGATAACTTAAAGAGTATTTCTACACGTTCTAGGGTAAAACCAAAAAAGTAGAAACATTGGTTCCCTGGTAGTTCGTGAGTATTTAAGAGATGGCGCTGATTTATACTATGCTTGAACCGTGAAAAGTTTTTGTTCGCAAGACCATATCTTGTCATTTATATCGACGTGCAGTGGATATTCTTACACCGCCACTACGCGGTGGGTTACAATTAATATTGTAATCTTTTAAAAGTCCACTACTATACACAGGCCTTTTTAAGTCACAAAGCACGATCTTGAGCCACCTGCATCATTTCTAAGATAGGTCTGCCTTGTGGTGACCTACATCACTACATTCCGTCCCGTTGGAGTCGGTAAGAGTTGAATAACAGCCCTTCACAAGTCCACTCCTGAACATAGATCTCTCCCAAAGACTGTAAAGCACGTTGTTATTTTTTCACCCTTAGAGGTAAATTTCGTCAAATCAGCAAGCATATTTTTATCATTCTATATGACGAGAACCACGTAAAAGTCGAATCAGATAAGAAAACTCTGGACCTGACTCACTAGGTGACCGACATGTGGGGTGGTCTGCCGACTAATATAATATAATAATAATAATATAATATTCCACAACTATCACACAACGCCATCTAGTCCTAAGCTAAGCAGAGCTTGTGTTATGGGTACTAGACAACTGATAAACATACTTATATATTTCTAAATACATAAATATTATAGATAAATTACACCCAGACACAGAACAAATGATCGTGCTCATCACACAAACATTTGTCCTGGGTGGGAATCGAACCCACGACCTCCGGCATAGCAGTCAGGGTCACTAACCACTAGACCAACAGGCCTGTTATTATTCCTGTAGTCGTCTCTGCGAATGTGCTAATCCCGGTTAGCCTCTCTGGTCATCTTAGGCGACTGGGACTCCGTGACGGACCGCTCCGGGCTCAAATCTCAAAGAAGGCGGTGCTCCTCGATACCGCCCGCGTTACTAACTACGTAACAAACTAGCGTTTAAATTTTCGTCAAATTTAAACGCTAGTCCCCCTTGAGGTATTTATATTTTATTATAATAATAATCTTTATCATCAACATCACAACCCTTGATAAGCCCACTGCTGAACACAGAGCTGCCTTAAGTAATGGCCCAAAGCTCAGTCCTGAGCCACCTGCATCCATCGATTTCCTGCATGTCTTCACTCCATATAGCTAGTGGGACCTACACTTCGCCTACCGGTACGACGTTGCCTCTCGAGAACCTTTCTTTCCCATTCTTTGTTAGCTTTTCGAGTTATATGGCCGGCCCATTGCCACATCAATTTACCATGCCGTTGGGCTATGTCGGTCACTCTGGTTCTACTGCGGACATGCTCATTCCTAAGTTTATCATGCAGAGAAACCCCGAGATCCATAGCTCGCTGAGCGACCTTGAGCGTCCCCACACGTCCAGCAGTGAAGGACCACGTCTCAGATTCATAAGTCATCACCAGCAACACGCACTGGTTGTGTGTGTACTCTTAATGGCTGTCAAAGAAATGCAAAATTAAAACGTTCAAATATATATTTTGAAGTAATAAGTAACTAGTAGTGGTGAAACGATTTTAACTACGATTAATCGTAATCGACGATGATCGTCGTTTATCATTGAGATTATTTATGACTTATTTTCAAAAGAATTTATTACAGCTGTTAATGTATAGCAAAACATATATTTCAATATTTTCAATCAAATAATTGTCTGTAATGTCGGAGGGGTTATCTCCCGCTGCTGGTTTGATCCAAACTATAGTTTTATTTATAGTTTAAAAAAGAAAGAGAAGAAAGATGGTAAAGATAAAATTTCAAGTCTATCGGCCGTCGACAAGTTGGCGAAATTTACATTAAGGGGTTCCGTTACATACATAAATAGATAACACGCGAAGCTCAAGGCAACGCACCTGCAATTCCCCTGGTGTTGCGGTTGGTCATGAGTGACGATAGTCACTTACCATCCGGTGAGCCGCATGCTCGTTTGCCCCCTCCCCTATAAACAAAGCTAATTAAAGCGTGCTATAAATATAAATAATCGTATTCGTAAACGTAATCGATTAGTGATAATAGTTTCATTATCAGTAACAACAAGGTTTTTGTTTCCTACCTCGTTCTCAACCTCTTTCCCCATCCATCGGAAAGAGACTTGTAAGACTGGCAACAAGAGTCTGTGGGAGTCCCGCGAAGCGGCTGTAAGCTTCTGTAATCGACTTTCCAACACTGTAAGACAAACAGAAACACAGTTATAAAGTTGTTTTTATAGAAGGGTGACAAACGAGCACACAGTCCACCTGATGGTAAATGGTTGCTCACATACATCTACGTCTACCCTCAATAAAGAATCAAAATGCAGATGCGTTGTCACCCTTGAAGACTAAAATGGAATGCTTCATTTCCATTGAAAAGGAGTTCCGATTCTCCACACTCACCATACGAAACACAGCAGCATTGAGTTGGTATTTCACGTTGGTATTTATGTGAGAGTGTGGTCCTTCGAGCCGACGCATTTGTGCTCCAACTATAATGTATCTACAGCGTGGCTTTACCACGTAAGAAATTGGAAGAAATTGAGATTTTGGTAGAGCCATGTTGCAGCTATATCATGGTTGTAACACGTATAGGTCGGCTCGACCGGGGAAGGGCCACGCTCTCACAGAATACCAGCGTAAAATAGCAGCTTAATGCTGCTGTGTTTCGTATAGTGAGTGTAGAGATCCGGAGACCCTTTATTACTGGAAACGAGGCATTCCATCTTAGTCCTCAGGGGTGACAACGCATCTGCATTTCGATTCTTAATCGAGGGTAAATTTAGATGTCTATGGGCCACAGCATCCACTTACCATCAGGTGAACTGTGTGCTCGTTTGTCACCCTTATTTTATTAAAAAAAATGGTACGTTATCAGTTCACAGTTGGACGTGAGACCTAATACCACTAGAGTATCAAATACCAACTTGGTATTAAGTACTCTAGTCAATGAGGGCTAATAAATTTCCGCTCACCAGATATCGCAAGTTGGAACTGAGGTGAAATTAAAAATTTTACTGTTTCCAAAGATTGTGTGTACAACTAAAAAAAAGTCTTAGTGGTGTAAACTTTAATAATACTTCACATATTTTTTAAATCTTTTACTTTTAGGTATATCCCCACACAATGATTTTCTCCTGTATCGTGGGGGCAGTTTACAAATTTTGACAACAAAATTTGACAAGGACAAACATCCAGACCCGGAACAATTACTTGTAGGCCATACAAATACTTGTTCCGTGCGGGATTCGAACCGGCGGCCCTCAGCGCTATAACTCGTTGCTAAGCTCCATTCCAATGTAACCAATAGTGTTACATTGGATGTAACTAACAGAAATTACAACTAACATTTCAGAATGAAACATGTAATCTTTACATAAAATCTGTCGAATAAATCTTTTTTTTTATATTTATTACCTAATTCGAAAGTGGCCCCGCCTAGTGGTAAAGTTATGATAGCCCTCATTAAAATGAAATACTCTTTACGAAGTGCGAAAACAAACAATTCTAAGGTCACTGTATGCGAATACAGTGTTATGACGTCATAGATTTTATAGTCAACCCATACATATTTGTTACCGTTACCGCCTATTGAAGTTCACTGCTGAACACAGCCCCCCACCCTCCATAGATTGCCTCATAGGGGGGATATGTGCCATAGTTGGCACGCTTGGCAAGCGGCTTGGCAAGCGGCTTGGCAACCGCAGTTTATTTTTTATTTTTTGTCGTTATTACGGAGACGCTGATTCTTTTCCGCTGTCGATTCTTACGGTACCCACGGGATCATACCAAGTAGTAGATATTCTTACACCTCCACTACACGATCCTTATTTTCGTATCAAAAAAAATTATTTTACTTATTTGTTTATATTGATTTAAGGAATATCGCTAGACCAAGGTAAAAAGTAAAATATCTAAATAGTAGCATTAAAACATCAAAAACTTCATTTCCTTTTTTCTTACCCTTAGGTTTTTCTTTATAGAATAAGGCTGATCAATTTTTTTAACAGTCGGCCCAAATCGACGGTCAGGTGTTTTAGCCGGGGCACTAACGGTTGCTTATTAATTATTAAGTTACTTTTAAGACTTGTTTGTAAATAAGCTGAAGTGGCAATGGGCTGGACATATAGCTCGAAGAACCGACAACCGATGGGGAAGAAAGGTTCTCGAGTGGCAGCCTCATAATTGTAGGTGTAGTGTGGGAGCGTCCCACCTCCAGTTGGAGTGACGATCTGGTAAGACATGCAGGAAGTCGATGGATGCAGGTGGATTTTTGGCATTCCTTAGGGGAGGCCTATGTTCAGGAGTGCACTTGTAAAAGGTCTGTAATGATGGCGAAGACTTGTGCAATAAAAAAAATCAATATTATGAAATGTAGGTGTCGTTTACTAAAATATTAAAACAAAGAGCAAATTAAATTACTATATAAGGTAAATCACATAAACTATGTGATTTCTATCGGTCTAATCGGTCGGCACGTCTATCTATGAAGTTAACCACGAGGGTGATAGTTACATATAGGTCATCACGTCCGTTCAAGAAATTAACCACGAGAGTGATAGTTACCCGTAGGTCGGCACGTTAATCCATGAAGTTAACCACGAAGGTGATAGTTACCTGTATAGGTCGGCACGTCCATCCATGAACCTAACCACGAGTGTGATAGTTACCTGTAGGTCGGCAGAGTGCAAGTAGGTTACGCGTGAGCCTAGCGGGTGGCAGCTCGGCTCGGCCGTGCCGCAGTACGCAGTTCCAATCCACGGAGCAAACTGAACCGTGTCGCAAGCTCATCAGAATGTTGTCGAGGTGACGGTCACCAACACCTGGACGGTAATCACACATTTGATATACACAGTATATTATGATTGTAGCACGAATGAGTTGGCTCGACCGAGGAAGGATGACGCTTTCACAGAACCAGGGACCCTTTTTACTGGAAACGATGCATTCCATCTTCAGGGGTGACAACGTATCTACGTTTTGATTCTTAATCGAGGATAGATGTAGATGTCTATGGGCTACAGCATCCACTTACCATCAGGTTGACCGTGTGCTCGTTTGCCACCCTTATCTTACTAAAAATAAACCTGGAGACTGGTAAATCTTAGAAAATAATTATTTATGACTTATTCTTCCCCGTGGGTGTCGTAAAAGGTGACTGTGGCAAAACCAACTTCATCTTGAATAGTAGAAAAACTAGTTTATTCGTAGTTTGAGCACAACATTACTACAGTCTTAAAAATTAGTATCATGTGTAGTGTTCGACCGAAGATCGCCACAACCCTTTCACCGAAACCGAATTCAAAGGTTTAAAAACCAAATTTCAGTTCAAGATTGGCTAACATTAATAATATAAATTATTTTAAAAGTTTAAAATTAAAGGTAATTTTAATCACCACTAGAAGTAGATCAAGAGATGATGCATATTGCGTCATCAAGTCTATCGCACTCTCGCTTATTCGTAGCAGTTCGTTTGATTTCGGCGCTTGCTAAAAACCTTCGAATTTTTTTTTTTTATTGATCCACCAACATTTGTATCATTCCTTACATGCTATTTAAATACAATGAAGCGATAAGAACTAAAATGTACAAATAATTACAAGCGGATACAACATGCAAATAACTTTCTCAGCACTGTGTACCTCTATTACTAGGATAAAGAAAGAATTAAAAATTAAAAGAAATTATAACTAAATGCAAATAAAAATATATAGAAGCGAAAAGGAAAGAACATATTTTATAGAATGTTACAAAAGATGGTCTCTTAAGGTGCGACGGAGCTTGTTAGGTGGGTCGAAAAATATATCAATTTTATTTCTCTAAATTTGTTAACAAGTTTACTCAATCTAGCAATTGGGGAATTGGAGCCAAACACTGTTCTTCTATATGGTCTACTCAATGGTGTAATCTTACGAGCGTAACGCGGGTAACGAAAGGGAACGCATATATTAAATTTACTTAAAATTTCAGGACAGTCAGTAACACCACTAATAATTTTAGAAGCAAAAATCAAATCAATAATATCCCTGCGGTTTTCAAGAGAAATCATTTTGAAATTGATCAAATTATTTTCATATGATACACGCTTCTTATTACTTCTAAATCCGCTTGCCCAAAATTTCGGCCTATTTTGACCGAAGCCAAGGGAAATGGTTTTATTGGCCGAAGCCAAAATCGAAGCTTCGGTCGGACACAAATAATGTGAGAAAACAACAGAATTGACAGCTCCGTGGCACAGTGGCTTAGCAATGACTGGCTGCGCTAAGGGCCGCGGATTCGAATCCCGCGAGGAACAAGTATTTGAATGGCCTACAAGTAATTGTAAACTCACTCACTCACAGAATACGAGCGTAAAATAGTAGCTTAATGCTGCTGTGTTTCCTATGGTGAGTGTAGAGATCCGGAGACCCCTTTACTGGAAACGAGGCATTCCACGCTTTTTACTGGGCCGCAGCAACCACTTATCATCAGGTGGACTGTGTGCTAGTTTGTCACCCTATCCTATCCTATAAAGAAGAAGAAATCCTAGTGTGGAGGTAAAGTTATTTAAAAAAAATCAACAGAATAAAATTTATGACTCTTGTTTATTGTTGTGAATTGTCTGCTGTATGCTGATGATGCAGTGCTTATTGCACCATCAGAAGCAGAACTGCAGGCATTAGTCACGTGTATGAAAGAGGAATGTGAAATTAAAGGTCCCCGTTTGAATGCTAATAAAACTAAGGTTCTGGTATTTGAAAAGGACGAAGAGAGAACGAAATGTGAAATATGGGTAAATCAGGAATGTCTAGAACAGGTAAATGAAATTGTATACTTGGAGAGTGCTTTCAGCCGGGATGGAAGATGTGATTTAGATGTGGACAGGCGTGTCGCTGCCGGAAAAAAAGTCAATGGTGCCCTGAATGCATTAATAAAAAAGGCAAGGCGTGGTGAAGAGTGCACGCCTTGCAATACATAACGCAGTGTTGGTCCCGACTTTGTTATATGGCAGCGAAACCTGGGTATGCCAGAAGAAGCATAAAAGCAAGTTGAATGCAGTGGAGATGCGATCTCCTCGTAAAATGTGTGGCGTTACCAAGCGGCCGAAAGCGAAACGAAGAGATTCGCAATATGGCAGGATTGAAAGATGACCTTATCACAAAAATTGATAGGGGCGTACTCCAATGGTTTGGGCACGTTGAGCGAATGAGTGAAGACCGAATGGTGAAGAAAATATATAGAGCGAAAGTAAATATTAAAAGGTGTCGAGGTAGACCGAGACTAACTTTCGAAGACCATGTGAGCAAATTGCTCGAAGAGGGGAGGGTCAAGAGTACTCGGATACCTAGACGTGCATGTATGAAGAAGTTAATGAACCTGAAAGAAACGAAAGAGGTATGTAAGGATCGTGACACTTGGCGATCTGTTCTCTCTGGCTACCCCCTTACCACGCACAATCCCTAGTGCGTGAAGATAAGTAAGTAAGTAAGTAAATTTATGACCATATCTTAAGTCTAAAAATAATTTCATTGCATATATTTCATTACAACATAGAAATTCCACCGCTGAACAAAGGCCTCCCCCATAGATTTACCCATATGGACTATTTGCCACAGTTACCACGCATGGCGGAAGGGTTGGTGAGCGCGATTATTATTATTACTAGGTTCCATCAGGAAGATGATGCTGCCCATCTCCTGTGTCAGTTTCCCTTCCATTTTCAGTATCACAGTTTCTATTACACACTAGCTGTCCCTAGACTTCGTTCACGTGGAATTTATGGCGAATAGATAAGATGGGTTTTAATTGCTTTTGCCAAAGATTTAAATAGTTAGATGCGCCCTTACCATAGTATGACCACTCCGAAATGTGTCCATTCTCAAATGAGTGAGCTCACTCATTCGCAATCAGTGCTCAGTTGTGCGACAGAGAAAGTAGTATACACAGTTTCTGTAAGATAACAAGAGATGACACTATTGTATTAGTGTGAGCGCGTCAGCGTCTTGCATACGAACACATCCTAAAATAATGCGACAGTTTTCAAGGTGAAGGCGCATCTAACTATTTAAATCGTTGGCTTTTGCGAGGAACTCGTAATACTTTTTCTAAAATATTAGTAGTCCAAGTTAATCCTTATAACATCAGCTATCTGCCAGTGAAAGTACCATCAAAATTATTCCAGAACTTTCGTAGATTAGCCGGAACAAATAAGCAAACATTTTAATTTTTTTTTTGTTATAAGTACTATATACACCTTTATATACATTTAGTAAAGAGGCGTTATTATGACATTAAAAACAAACACTTAAATTTATTTGTATAAAAAAAAAATACAGTCTTTATTTGTAGAGGCCTTCCCTCCTTTATGAGAGGGTTTTAGGGTAATTAAATGTCCGTCGCGCTGCCCCAATGCGTGTTGGCGAACGTCACGTCTTCGAAATATTTTTTCTTATTCCTCAGACATGCAGGTTTCCTCACGATGTTTTCCTTCACCGCCAAACGCGTGGAAAATCAGCACTTAAAATTGTCAATAACAATATCATTGGTGCCGGCGGGGATCGAACCGGAGTTGCTCGCGTACTGTGAAATGTACAGCGAGCGCTTAGCCCCCGAGATACCACGGCTCTTCATTGGTATATATGTAGATAAAGAACATTTTACTAACAAATTAGTCGTGAGTCAACAATATGTATCTAAAAATTATGAAAGCGTCGTTGCCGCTCTTAAGCATTTTACTTTATACATGGTGTTCTATTTGTTTAAGAAAGTATAAAATTTATTTTGTTTGAATATTTACCTTTTACAAGTTTGATTTAAAAACTATTGCCAAATACTTCATCGGACAAGTAATGACCGAGTTATCATTTATGGTATGACAAGTCACGCCAACCTGTATAATATTAGTATGGATTTCTCACCTAACAACCAGGTAACGAAGGTCATAACACTGAGGCCCTCTTCGAACTGCTGCTTCTTGCTGATGAAGTCCTCTATACACGAGCTTCTCATCTCTATCACCGACCTGGATACAATTTATTTGATTTAACCCAAAAAATTAACGGATATAGCCAAGTTAATTGATTATTGGAGGTAATATACATAAATACTGGATAGTTTGTCAGTTAATTTTATAAAATTCGTTTCGGGAATATATAAAATTAGTTTATACATGGTAGAGTCACGCTGCAGCTATATTAGTGCGAATGTGTCAACTCAACCGGGGCGGGACCACGCTCTCAGAATACCGGCGTGAAATAGCAGCTAAAGGCTGTTGTGTTCGTATGGTGAGTGTGGAGAACCGGAGATCCATTTATACTGAAAACGAGGCATTCCATCTTAGTCCTCGGGGGTGTCAACGCATCTGTTTTTGATTCTTAATCGAGGATAAACGTAGATGTCTATGGGCCACAGCATCCACTTACCATCAGGTGGACTGTGGACTGTGTGCTCGTTTGTCACCCTTATTGTATAAAGAAGGGGATATTTGGGGGTGGAATTAAAGACGTGTTCAGTACGAGACCTATACGTATCTTTATATTTATAACTTGCTGTGCCCGCAACTTAGCATAGAATAATTTTTAGTAATATATTATTATACTTTCCTTTTCGAATCGGATTTTGTTCACAATTTCATGGGTTTTCCATTCGCCATTGTACTTTACGTTTCAGTTCACTTTAAATAAATTCTAAATGTGTTCTACAAAATTTACATTTATTTCATCATCATTACAGCCCTTCACAAGCCCACTGCAGAACGTAGGCCTGCCCCGAGGAATGTCACAAAGCACGGTACTGAGCCACCTGCATCCATCGACTTCCTGAATATCTTACCAGTCGTCACTCCATTTAAATTATTAATTTTATTAAATTTATAAAACGCTCTTTCTTAACTATGTAAGACGCCAAATATCAGTTAATGTACTGCGATGTTCCAGTGAAGGGTATCGAGAGCCAGTTACAACTACACGCTGTGAGGTATTCCATCCTAGTTCTCAGAGGTGACAACACATCTGCAGCCTTCTTCGTTTGAAGTTGGCCGCAGCTGTCCTTGGACTGCTAAAGAAACTTCACTTACACCATCAGGTGTACTGCAAGTTCGTTTCTCATTTCAGTTTAATAAAAGTAAAACTTTAAATTAAACGAGGTTCAAAAATAGATAAATAAGGAGTAAGAAGTTACACAAAGAATAACTTACCGTAGAGCGTAGGACGGTAACTTAGAGCAAATCCGCTCAAACTCCTTGATGCAGTCCTCCCTTGGCTTGAGGATCAGCTCATCGTCAGAGGCTCTTGATACGCTCGCCAGTATACCTGACAATTGAATGATTATTGTATAATTACAACGACAGGCACGGCGGTACATCAGTAAGCTGAAGTTTTTTTTTTAAATATTCAGTAAGATTGACGAAGGAGCACACATTCCAGCTGATGGTAAGTGGATACTGGGGCTTACAGACATCTACATTTATCTTCGATTAGGAATCAAAATACAAATGTTTTTCACTCCTGTGAACTAAGATGGATGTCATGTTTGCAGTATAAAGGGTTTCCGGTTCTCTAAATTCGCCATACCAAAAACAGCAGCATTAAGCTGATATTTCACTGTGAGAGCGTGGTCCTTTCCCAGTCGAGACCAGTCGTTCGCGATACAACCACGGTATAGCTGAAACGCCTCATTGGTCGGTGGACGATTGTGCACCTTCACCTCGTACGGCACCCCTGTTCATGGACGTATTAAACGTTAATACGTCCATGATTAAAACTACTTTTACGAATTTTATCGCGTTTAATTTTACTTTTAATTATTTTTATTTTTAATTCAATTAATTTATTTTTAATTAAGTCAGTTCGTTAATACGTCCTATTCGACCATCCATAATAAACCTAGTTTCCTTCTTAGGCTATCCTGAGTCGCTTCCACATCCTTGGGCTTCTCTACAATGTGAGTGGCAATGAGCCGAAGCCGAAGAACCGACAACCGATGAAGAAGAAAGGTTCTCGAGTGGCCAAGATGGAGTGACGACCTATTGAAACTTGCGGAAAATCGATGGATGCAATGGCTCATCTGACTGTGCTTCGTGGCATTCCTTGGGGGAGGCCATGTTCAGCAGTGGACTTGTAAATCTCATATACGTCCCACTGCTGTCCACAAGTCTCCTCTCATTTAAAAAAAAGTTAAGATTCATAGAATACAATAAGAGTAGAACAGAATAGAATAATTTTAATCAATATAGATTACATGTAATTCTTATAGAAAGTAATTTTTAGGGTTCCGTACCCAAAGGGTAACCAACAGGACCCTATAACTAAGCCTCCGCTGTCCCTCCGTCTGTTCGTATATCAGCGGGCTATATCTCATGATACGCAACAGGTAGACAGTTGAAATTTTCATAGAATATGTAATTCTGTTGCCGCTATAATAACAAATAATAAAAATAAGTAAAAAATTAAAGGGAGCTACCCTACTAGAAATGTGTTTTATGGTGGTCACTCTGTACCGGGAAGAATCAGCAAAAAAACCCAACGGGACTTGATTTTTTTTTAAATTAATTATACGATATGAAAGGTTATACAAACTATTTACAAAATTTATAATAGAAACAGCTTGGACCCTCATTCGCAGGTGTTATTATCAACCATGTATTCATATATTATTATAATAACCCCTTTGATACAATTTTTGTTTCATAAAATATTTAAATTTGGTAGTAAGAGACTCGATATTTTCTGGGATTTTGTAGTAATAAAATAACCCTTTCAGAAATGAAAGGTGGTTGCGCGGAAAACCATTCGTATTTATTTAATTTGACGGTAGGCTGCCAAATCGGTTATCCCATTCCAAAACGATATCATTCATACCCCCCTATCGACACATCGGGGTGGGGGGGTGGGAGGGGAAAGAAGATGATTCTAGAATGTCACGTAATCATCGCAACCGAAGATATAAAGGGCACGCGCGACCGACGCGCGCTCTCTTCCCGCCGCGCTCGTCATTAGAACCACATCACTAGTAGAAACCGCTTTAGCCTGGAAGCAATCGAGCTCCAGGGAACCCGCCTCACCTCGTGTGAGATATAGTCGCGCACCGCCTCTCTCCGGAGTGTTCCAGAAGAAGTTCCAGAAGTCGCAGTTATAGTGCTCGACCGCATAGAAGAAACATCCCGGTGAGTCAATATCCAATATTATAGCCTGCTTGATATAATTGTTTTAACCCGCTCCAATTTCGTGTTTTCCTAATCAAGCAGGATTCCTTTCATCGATTTGGCAAATAATAGTTCGTTTTTAGGGAAGAGCGAGTGCATTGTACCGCATATATAATAAGTGTAGAAGCATTTGTAGATACAGTCCACTTAGATTAATATCTCGCGTAATAGGTATAAGGTTCGACCGGGGAATTAGACTTCGGCAACCTTAGACACGTGGCTCCACCAAAAGGGTTATAATAAATAGGGTAAGGGTTATAATAATAAAGTAGAGGCAGCAAAGCATAAGAATCGATTTGCGTTTCGACAAGTAGTAGCGAGTTTAGTTACGGGGCAGTTGACAGTAAACGGTTAAGTAGGCAGTAGCGTTCAAATGTCTTCGTGGCGAGTTTAGTTAAAACAAAAAGTACAATTTTATATTTTGAAGGTCTAACGCGACCACGTTGCGTCCAGTCAACTTGCGTACTTGTTCATACGAGCGGCGAGTTTAGTTGCGGGTTAGTTGCGGGTGACGGGAGACGCGCGGGTGGGCAACTCTTCCAACTTAACTCGCCGAAAAATACACCACTATTTCGTTCAACTTAATTGTTAACTTGCCACTTAACTGAGTAATTGCCGTTCAAACGAGATTTTCTACTTAACTCGCCAGGTTCTCAAGTTAACTCGCTACTGTACTAGTCGAAGTGTGAATCGGTCTTTAGTCGAATGAATGGGTGAATGAAACGAACCACAGACTATGTTATTATAAAACCGACTCAGAGTGAACAATTGTTACCGTACCAGCCTACTAAAGTCCACTGCTGAAAGTAAGCCTCCCCCAGTGATTGCCTCACAGGGGGGTAATTTCCATAGTTGCCAAGCTTGGCAAGTGGGTTGGCAACCGCATTTATACATATTTTTAGTCGATATAAGGTAAACGCTGCTACCAGTCTCCTGAGTTGTTTCAAAATTATTATTTATGTCTTAATGGCATGCATTTATATATTTTACTTTAATTATTTATTATTATATTACGGAGAGACAATTTAATTTTATTTATATTCTTCAATACGATGTTTACTAGTATACGTGAAAATACACGCACTAAATTTTATTACCCATTTAGAGTTGATAGTGGTCATAAAATTAGTAATTTTCAACGTAGTAGAGCCATGTCGCAGCTATATTATGGTTGTAGCACGAAAGAGTTGGCTCAACCGGGGAAGGACCACGCTCTTACAGAATACCAGCGTGAAATAGTAGCTTAATGCTGCTGTGTTTTCTATGGTGAGAATAGAGAACCGGAGACTTTTTTCACTGGAAACAAGGCATTCCATTTTAGTCCTTAGGGGTGAAATCGCATGTGCATTTTGATCCTTAATCAAGGATGAATGTAGATGTATGAGTCACAACATCCACAATGCTCGTTTGTCACCCTTATTCTATAAAAAAATATACTATGACTATACTTTTTCATACAATTTTCTTTGATAAACATATATCCTACCATCGACGTCGTACTTGCTGGATATCAAAGCCCTAAGTCGTTCGTGATCTTCCAGGTACTCGATGAGACCACAGTCTTCGCTTAGCGGCGTCACCTTTAATAAAGAATTGTTAAAAACAAATTAATATATTATTATTCGATTTCTAAGGAAAGGTTGTTTTCCGCGCGTATCATGTATGTATATATGTTTGTTTGTAAATTTCTTTATTACCTCGTAACTTTAAAAAAAAAATACGTGTGGCACTCGGTGACTGCCGCGGTAAAGCTATTGCATAGCATTTTTTATCAACTTATGCAATTATAATTATTTATTTATTTTATTTATGCAGTTAAGTCTTCGATATTAAATCAAGTTACACTTTTTGAGCGTGGTGACCGATAAGAAAACAATTTTTTTATCTTATTGAATAAATGAGAAGTTAATATTGTTTAAAATATTTTTAATATCTTACAATACATGTAGATTATTCAGGAATTTTTATCATTGAGTTAGCAGCTAGTGTACACGCATACGTCTAGTCGCACGCACACAAACACCGTGCCGAACTCTGCCAAGTGCCGAAGTCTGCCAAACTGAAACGACGTTAGACGATGCACGGCTTTCAACGCCACACCTCCGTGCCCGTCGGAGTGGGGAGCGTGAGGTTTTTTTTGTTACGGAATTTCTGGATTCGGTCCCCGCGCTTAAGGCCCGCGATAGAAGCTATGCAATAGCTTTAAAATTGTAAAATAGTAATACGTTGATAAAAACAATTAACCAAACCTATCGAGTAGGGTATCAATAAAAAAACAATTTAAAAATAATGCACTAAAATATAAGAATGAAAGGAAAAATAATACGTTATGGTGGGATGATGAGATACGTATGGAAGTTGAAGCAAAGAAGAGAGCATGGCTAGATTTACTAGCAACAAAGGCTGCTAATTCTAGTGGTACGAATGGTGATATTGAAAGAAAAAAGGCAGTCTTTAGACATATTAATAAGAGAGTAAAAGAAGTAGTTGAAAGAAAAAAGCAAGAAAGAACGGATAAGAATGATAGAAGAATATCGAATAACTTCCAGGCAAATATTAAAATGTTCTGGAAACTTGTAAGAACTGCCAGGGGACATTCAAAACAGCCTAATGATGAATGTTATAAGAGACGAGAATGGCTATATTCTGAAAGATGAAGTTTTGAATTTAAAGAGATGGAAGGAATATTTTGAAAACGTGTTTATGAGTGAGGAGACAACGAGTGTACTAAGTGAAGTAGAAACTCCGAAAGAAGAGGAAAGAGGTAGCGAGATAAGTATAGATGAAATAATGAAAGCAATGAAAAGCATGAAAGCAGGTAAAGCTGCCGGATATGATAGAGTTTCACTCGAAATGCTAAGGGCTGGAGAGGAAGTCGTGGCAGGCCTGCTGCACACCTTGTTTAATTTATGCTGGGAACTGAAGCGGGTACCGGTGACTGGTGCAAAGCCGTGATAGTCCCAGTATATAAAGGAAAAGGGTCGCAGCGGGACTGTAAAAACTACCGTGGCATCAGCCTTCTTAGCATTGTGGGAAAACTGTATGCTAAGGTACTGATTGAAAGGGTCATGAAAGAAACTGATGGAAAATTTGGGATGTGCAAGCGGAATTCAGAAAGGGAATGGGATGTACAGATCAAGTCTTTTCCATGCGCATGATCGCGGAGAAGTTTTAGGCCAAAAACCAAAAGGATTTTTGTGCGTTCATGGACTTTGAAAATGCCTATGACAGAGTGGATAGGGATGTGCTATGGCAAACACTAAACTCATTTGGGTTGAGCGCTGGCTTGATACAGGCATTGGAGTCTCTTTATAGGGACTCTAGTGCTTGTGTTAGGATCAACGGGGTCTACTCGGACTGGTTTGACATCCATAAAGGTCTCAGACAGGGCTGTGTGGCTTCCCCGTGGCTGTTCAACCTATTTATGGACAGTTGTTTGCAAAATTTGAAAGTTGAAGGATGCGGATTAAGAATGGGTGAGTTAACCGTCAAATGCCTTTTGTACGCCGATGATCAAGTTATCCTTGCGTCGTCGGCGGCCGAGTTGCAAATGATGGTTACATTAATGAACAGATCATTAAAAGAAAGGGGTATGAAAGTGAACGCAAGTAAGACGAAGGTTATAGTTTTTGAAAGAGAAGAAAGTAAAACGATTTGTGAAATAAGAATAGAAGGGGGAGTTGATCGAGCAAGGAGATGAGTTTGTATATTTGGGCTGCGTATTTAGCAGGGATGGGAGATATGATAAGGATATAGAACGACGAGTGAATGCGGGAAATAGAGCGAATGGGGCCCTGCACTCTATTGTGAAGAGTCAAAATGTGTCCAAAAAGGCACGTATGGCAATTCACAATGCTGTGTTGGTCCCTACTTTAACGTATGGTAGTGAAAGTTGGGTTTGGCAGAAGAAGCATGAGAGTAGAATCAACGCAGTAGAAATGCGGTCCTTAAGGAGTATGTTAGGGCTGAATCTGAACGACAGGGTAAGAAATTGTGTAATAAGAGAAGAGTGTGGTTTGCAAGATGATGTTGTGACCAGGATTAAGAAAGGAATGCTTCGGTGGTTTGGTCATGTGGAAAGAATGAATGAGGAAAGAGTGACAAAGAAAATTTATGTTGCAGAAGTGAATGGCAGAGTCGGAAAGGGACGTCCTAGGCGAAAATTTATCGACCAAATTGGCGATTTATTTATTGAAAACGGGCCAAGTTAGGAGTTCCCTTAACCACAACAACATGCTCGTCGCATGTATGCGTAGGTGTATGGACGTGAAGGAGGCGAGAGAGGTGTGTCAGAATCGTGCCAAATGGAAGTCTGTAGTCTCTGCCTACCCCTCTGGGTGACAGGCGTGAGAGTTTATGTTATGTATGTATGCACTAATAAGACCGAAACCAGGTTGAAGATAGAAAACAAAATTAAAAGAAAATGTAAACGAAGTATTTTTTTATTTAAGTGGCTTTACGGCTCTGGGTACTAGCCCTTCTGAGCCTATCATTTCATTCAGAATCTTCTTTTTATATATTTTTTCTTCACAATATGCTGATGCGTCACATTGCGAAGTTTTTGGGAGATTTTGACGACAGCTCAACCCAGCGGACTGTTGATGACGACAGCCACTCAATTTCATAAGGCGCCCAAGCGATCGAATTAACTTGAGGTTCATATCAACATCAAATCACTTGTTTCGTCGTTTTCTCTAATAGTTCACACGCGCAGACACTTAATTCACAAAATCACATCACTTTTACGAATTAAAATCCACTTCAAACCATTATTCAAGCGACAAAACAGGAGCGACAGTCCGTCGTCGGTCAAGTTCCCGCCAAAACTCAACAAAGTAAATTCTACATCGGTTTAACAGACTACATTATAAGATGAAAGCCTAAGTTAAATACTAGCATTATATTTAATAGCAAATTAACGAGTTTCGCTTGGTGTTTCCTTCGGGTTTTTGATTTTTTAATTATTTATTTCATTTATGATCTAATGTTATAGGTATTTATTAACTACTATATTGTATTTAACAGCTAGTTGCGTATTGCATTACATTGCACAGGAATGCTCCAGACGATAAGAGTCAGTGGCCTCTGTCAAATAATAAAATGTGTAGGCTTTAAAAATAGATAACGTTTAAACTATTGATGCAAGCAAGTAGCAACCTTATGTCTACGTTGATAAAGCCTTATCTCCTTTGGATATTGGTTCCAGTTCTGTCACTTTCCACTCAAAAGAGTGGAATGACCTGGATTGGCCTAGAAAGTTCTACATTCATTTTATCGAGTATAAAAGCGTTTGCCGGGGAGCTCCGCCCCCATCTTGCGCCCTCCTTTCTGCCAAGGAGGGTCGCGTCCGTGTACGGCTTAGGGATCTCTCGTCAGACCAGTCAGCCAATCCATAAAGGCGGTGTTTAGTGGGTAAAAGTCTCCACATAACCACGCAGCCGGCTGCGTGGTATGCTACGAGTATTCCCCATCTCCCTCCCCCGCTTTCCGGAAGGTCATATTTGCTTCGGGCGCAAAAAAAAGCTCCGCCCCCACAACACAGGAGAATATTTGCCATAGTTGCCACACTAGCAAGCGGGTTGACAGCCGCAGTATTTTTTTTAATTTTTATTCGTTATTACAAAGACGCTACTGCCTCCTCCTGGATTGATTGTTTCCCTCTGTCGCCTCTCACGACAGCCACGGGATGATATGGGGCAGTGGATATTCTTAACTACCACTACACGATTTTTTAAGCGATAACCATATAATATCGATAATATGAAAGGCGTGTAATTAAATTACGTTCTTAATCGGCTACATGTTTATTTTTATATGCTTGATTTCATGATAATCAGCACTAACTGTGGTGTAGTGAAGTATAGAGCAATGAAGTGTGTGTAGTACAGCGTGGTGCAGCAGAGTTCAGTCGACAGCACAATGGCAGCACCGACCTAGTAGTGCGGCTGGGCGGGCAGCGGCAAGCATCGCAGCAGTATAGAGCATTTGAGTGTGTGGTGTAGTGCAGTGTGGTGCGGCACAGTACAGTCGGCAGCAGAGTGGCAGCACCGGCCTGGTAGTGCTGCTGGGCGGGCAGCGGCAAGCCTCGCAGCAGTATAGAGCATTTGAATGTGTTGTGTAGTGCAGTGTGGTGCGGCACAGTACAGTCGGCAGCACAGTGGCAGCACCGACCTGGTAGTGCTGCTGGGCGGGCAGCGGCAAGCCTCGCAGCAGTATAGAGCATTTGAGTGTGTGGTGTAGTGCAGTGTGGTGCGGCACAGTACAGTCGGCAGCAGAGTGGCAGCACCGGCCTGGTAGTGCTGCTGGGCGGGCAGCGGCAAGCCTCGCAGCAGTATAGAGCATTTGAGTGTGTGGTGTAGTGCAGTGTGGTGCGGCACAGTACAGTCGGCAGCAGAGTGGCAGCACCGGCCTGGTAGTGCTGCTGGGCGGGCAGCGGCAAGCCTCGCAGCAGTATAGAGCATTTGAGTGTGTGGTGTAGTGCAGTGTGGTGCGGCACAGTACAGTCGGCAGCAGAGTGGCAGCACCGGCCTGGTAGTGCTGCTGGGCGGGCAGCGGCAAGCCTCGCAGCAGTATAGAGCATTTGAGTGTGTGGTGTAGTGAGCCAGTGTGTGCCGGCGGGCAGCGGCAAGGCTCGCAGCAGTATAGAGCATTGAAGTGTGTGGTGTAGTGCAGTGTGGTGCGGCACAGTACAGTCGGCAGCAGAGTGGCAGCACCGGCCCGGTAGTGCTGCTGGGCGGGCAGCGGCAAGCCTGCAGCAGTATAGAGCATGGAGTGTGTGGTGTAGTGCACCGTGGTGCGGCACAGTACAGTCGGCAGCACAGTGGCAGCACCGACCTGGTAGTGCTGCTGGGCGGGCAGCGGCAAGCCTTGCAGCAGTATAGAGCAGTGGAGTATGTGGTGTAGTGCAGTGTGGTGCGGCACAATACAGTATGCAGCAGTGGCAGCACCGACCTGGTAGTGCTGCTAGGCAGGCACAGTCAAGCCTTTCAGCAGTATACAGCAGCGGAGTGTGTGGTGTAGTGCAATGAGGTACGGCACAGTACAGTCGGCAGCACAGTGGCAGCACCGACCTGGTAGTGCTGCTAGGCGGGCAGCGGCAAGCCTCGCAGCAGTATAGAGCAGTGGAGTGTGTGGTGTAGTGCAGTGTGGTGCGGCACAGTACAGTCGACAGCACAGTGGCAGCACCGACCTGGTAGTGCTGCTCAGCAGGCAGCGGCAAGCCTTGCAGCAGTATAGAGCAGCGGAGTGTGTGGTGTAGTCCTGGGTGGTGCGGCACAGTACAGTCGGCAGCACAGTGTCAACACCAACCTGGTAGTGCTGCTGGGCGGGAATCGGCAAGCCTCGCAGCAGTATAGAGCAGTGGAGTGTGTGGTGTAGTCCTGTGTGGTGCGGCACAGTACAGTCGGCAGCACAGTGGCAACACCAACCTGGTAGTGCTGCTGGGCGGGAATCGGCAAGCCTCGCAGCAGGCGCAGCGCGGCCGCGTCTCGGCGCAGGCTCTCGCCGCCCTTCACCAGCAGCGGACGAGTGTTACCATCGGACAGCCGGACGGTCACCACCACCGGCCGACGCACCGACTCCGTGAACACCGACACCTAGCCATACCAAAGGCAAAGTCTAAATGTTCAGTAATTATTTCTTACATCAATACGAACACTACGCATTTAATAAATCTATTTTTAAAGATTTTACCACGTTTAACTTATTTTTAATTCCCAACGTTTAGAATGCTTTGAAACCCAATGTAGGTAACTGAGGTAGTATCCGTCAGATGTCAGTATTCATTACTATAGTCAACCAAATCTAAGAAATACATTTTGACAGCTGTCAGACTTATTGTACCAAGCGTGCCAACCAAAAAATGGGAACGTACAATATTTGATTCTTAAAAAAATCGATATCGATTATTTAGTGTCAGTAATCATTTATAGTTTGGTTTGAATGATACCAGAATAAATTAAAAACGGATAATTTAAAACACAAGATTTATCAGTTTAACTGCTTATTTCTAGCGGCACAATTATAAAAAGTTTAGATTGAAACTAGATTAAAAATAAATTTATTCAATCACTTTCAGTACAACTACTTGCGCTGTCGTTGTTTAGATTAGCTATTATTTGATTTGCAATAATGCAGTCAAAATTAATGTCTCACATAGTCATCTATAATCTTTTTTTGTTTTATTTTTACCACTTTTGCTCAATCATCGTTTTTGACAAGGGCACATGCTTCAACGAATATAGAAGATACAGTCCAAAAAGTTAAAACAGAGTCACAACATAAGAAGACAAACACAAAATCACAAAATTACCCACAGTAACCTCTCGAAATGGCGGATGATCGAAATTACGTAGTGGTTTTTTCTGTAGTGGTCTTGCTTCGTAGTGATTAATACGAATTTTTTTTGCCCACATAAAGGACAATGGCGAAATAATAGGTGATGGAATTATTAAGCGTCTACTTAAGTCACCACTACAGATATCAATAAAATAATTTACCATGTAATATCTAATCTAGCTTATGGGCTATAGAAAAAATAATCATGCACAAGTAAAAACTTAATTGACTAGTTGTTGTAGTTGTTACGATTCGTCAGTTAAGACAAACAAAGGTCTTATAACATATAGCCTAATTTGACGTGTATTTTATTCAGAAAACTCTTATATACATACTCTTACATACTCTAAAATACTAATGAGTTCTTTAAGGATTCCCTCTATGCTAGTAACTACCAATTATAAACATATATGAAAATTATATTGACTAGTTGTTGTTGTAACGATTTGCTAATTAAGGCGTTTTATACCATACAGCCTAGCCTGATGTGTATTTTGTTTAAACTTGAATATCTCTAATTCCTGATTTCCTGCAGTACATATTATGACCGAAGAAAAATATGTTCAAGATCTTAAACTATATTTTCACATATTTTGCATTTGTAGACGTAAGAAAAAAAGTCAACTAAAATTTATTTGGTAGTTTGCCATTGTCCTTTACTTTGACAAAGTAAAAAAATTGTTTTATTCATGATTCATGTAATTTAAGGAATTTTAAAAATAAAAATTTAATTAAACAAATAATACAGTAAAGAAATTAATGATCCGATTATTTGAATATTTGTAACGATTATTTGAATCTTTTTGCCGATTTTTTGCATATCAATGAATTTTAATCGTCCAAACACTACGGTAAGGCACATAGCGACATATCATTGAAACGACGTCACGTCAAAAAGTTGATACAGGTTATTTATTTAATATTTTGCTTTATTTGAGAGATTTAAATTTAAATTAGCGATAAAATACTAAACACGTTGTAATTAAATATAGATAACTTCATAATTCTTCGGATTTAGTTAAAAGTTTATTGAACATCGTATGAGTACGCTTATGCAAAGTTATTGCGGAATGAATAATGTGAAACGTCAAAAGGTATTTCTTAGATTTGGTTGACTATAACTGCTTTCCAGAGTTCAAAAATCTAAAAATCAAGGATAAATACTGACATTCGCCAATACACTAGACTACACGATCACTATACCACGGTATTTGGTAGATATTATTGAAGTGAAAACTTCTTTAGCGGCGTTGTACACTTTTTTGTAATGGGTAAAAAATGTTAAGCTCGCGTTAGGACACGTGACCCTGATCGAAAATTCGTAAGACGGATGGAGAGAGAGAGACTGCCGGCGCGGCGTAGGAGAGGAAGTATCTCCCCCCCCCCTAAACTGTAAACAAAGTAAATTCTACATCGGCATATCATCTTTCTACGGCGCGGCGAAAATGTATGCCTGCGCCTGCTGTTTCGTTTAGGCGGCGCAGGGCGCTTGCGCGAATGTTAGTGTGTGATATTAAAGCAATTCGTGCAAAATTATTCCCTAATCATTCCAAAATATCAAAAATGCATAACGTTAATATTCAAGGTTTCACTTCTGCCGGCACTCCCGGAGTGCAACCCGTCGTTTTTTTTATTGCATAAAGGTGACAAACGAGCACACAATCCACATGATAGTAAGTGGATGCTTTGGCTCATAGACATCTACATTTAACCTCGATAAATAATCAAAACGCAGATGCGTTGTCACATCTGAGGATTAAGATGGAATGAGTCGTTTCCAGTAAAAAGGGTCTTCGGTTCTCTACACTCACCATAGGAAACACAGCAGTATTAAGCCGATATTTTACTCTGGTATTCTGTAAGAACGTAGTCCTTCAAGCCGACCCATTCGTGCTACAACCATAATATAGCTGCAGCGTGGCTCTACCACGTATAAAGACCTTCGATTTACACTTCGACAAGTACAGTAGCGAGTTTAGTTACAGGGCAGTTGACAGTAAACGGTTAAGTAGGTAGTAGCGTTCAAACAACGTCTTCGTGGCAAGTTTAGTTAAGGACATTAGTTCATAGAGTTCGTTGGAGTATGACGTTTGAAGACTACAGAATTTTTCTGGTTTTCGTTTAAGATGGTTCTAGGATTACGTCAACAATTAAATGATCCAGTCAGAGGAGTACTAATGATTGTTGTTAATCAAGTTTTTAAGAATTTTCATGAGTGCAGCATCTCGAGCAGGTATAATTTTTCAATTTGAACTTCTACTATTATATAAACATTCGTGTTCTAAATACTCCTGTACAAATTTATATATTATGTGATATCTTCCGTCCATTTTATTATTAAAACTAAATATAAAACGTATAAATATTCAATAAACAATATCGTACAAACTTTGTGGCGAGTTTAATTATAAAAGTACAATTGTACGTTTTGGCGCGCAAACGTTGCGTCCTGTCAACTTATGCACTGAACTAAACTCGCTCGTTTACACGAGCGGCGAGTTTAGTTGCGGGTGGCGGGAGACGCGCGGGAGGGCAGCACTTCGCACTTAACTCGCCGAAAAATAGCTCGGCCGGCTATCCCGTTCAACTTAATCGTTAACTTGCTACTTAACTCGCTTATTACCGTTCAAACGAGGTTCAAACTTAACTCGCCAGGTTTGCAAGTTAACTCGCTACTGTACTTGTCGAAGTGTAAATCGGTCTTAATGTGATACAGATATTCCACTGTATGTGGGAGATACAGATATACCACAGTATTTACTAAGCGTCTAGCCTTCGCCACAGATTCTATTAGACGGGCTCTGCGACCTTATTACATTGCACACAAAGTTACGGTTAATTCGCAGCAACTCGTTTAGTCGACTACAAGCGAATGAGAATACTATTTCTTTGTTTTGTAAACCACGAACGTCGCTTTCGACAACCTGTTTAATGTGATTAATTTTTATATGCGCACTTTGATTTTAAGTTTATTTCAGATATGTATGTAATTTATTTCGTAATTTTTTTTCGTATTTGCCTAAAACAGTAACTATCGTCGCCGAAAATACTACTGCGTCAAAACAGTGGACGGTAAATATTTCATATTTATGGTGCACTACAGCTATAACATGGTTGTAGCAAGAATGAGTCGGCTCGACCGGTGAAGGACCATTCTCTCACAGAATACCAACGTAAAATAGCAGCTGAAAGCTATTGTGTTTCGTGTGCTGAGTGTAGAGATCCGGAGACCCTTTTTACGAATTCCATCTTAATCCTCAGGGGTGACAACGCATCAACACTTTGATTCTTAATTGAGACATACCATTCACAGTCGCTACTTGACAGAAGAAGATTTTTTTTGTTACACAATGTCATTTAATTGAGAATCTAGTTTTAAAATTTATCAGTTTCTACAATGTTATATTTATAAACAAAGCAATGCCTCAGTGAATTGCTTTTTAATGTTTCGCACATTTTTAACTAACTTTTAAACTTTTAGGAATATCCGTATTTGGTTTATAAATTTCTAACCTAATTAATATACAATACAACTCATACGTCAAATATTGAAATCAAATATTAAACCTCAATATAAAGAGCAAAAAAAAAAGAAAAGTCATGGATGCCCTCATTACCGAAATCCATAGAATACAACAAAACAGCACGAAAATATTAAACTAAGGTATATATAGGAAGTTCCGAACATCAGCGTAGAAACCAGACGACGTTATAAACAAGGGACTGACTTTTCAAAGTTTGGTTATAAATTGGAGTCTCTTACAAATTTTTATTTCATAAGTGTTGTGTATGTAAGCTAATGATATGTATGTGCTGCGCCAAGAATATGTTTCTACAGAGTTAATAGAGCAGTGTATGAATAGCTGTGTTGTGTTTTACTTATGTCCCGTCTTACGTCTTCAAGGCTAATAACACATCTGCATTTTGATTTTGATCGAAGACTGTTGTAGGTGTCTATTGACCACAGAATCCATCTATCCATTCGGTAGACTTTGTGCACGTTTATCAAAATGTATAACATCTTTAAAAAAATTAGGTCCACTTACCATCAGGTAATGATGATATGATCGTGTGTCCTTGTAATTCTAAAAAAATGAACATTAGATATAATTATACACAAATATAAACAAATATAAAAATAAAAACTTACTTGCTCTTCAAATTTAAGGAAATGTACGCCACGCGGCAACATCAAAAGCCGCGACAAGCAGTCGTCCGTCTCGCTCCCACGCAAAATAGTCGCCTGCGCGAGAGTGGGACAGAGTTGCGACAGTCGCAAAGTTTGTTTATTGGATGAAAGTTCGTTGGTCAAACGTTGGAGTGTTTGTTTCGCCGATGTTTTATCCATGTGATCTGTAAACAAAGTTAATAATAGCAAAGTTGGCCGATCGACACCTTAATCTATCCTCGATTAGTAATCAAAATGATACATTCCCTGAGGACTAAGATGTAACGCCTCGCTACCAGTAACAAGCCCAATGGTTAAACCAACAATTAGTATAAAGACTGAGTAAAAAAAAATAACCGAAAACCGAAAATTTTATACCCTATGTCGCCTCTATAATTAAGGCAAATCTAACGAAAGCCTGTATGTTAAAATTCATCAAGCTGTTTTAGACTACAGAGCGTGCCAAAGATATAGACATACAAACACTCGAATGTAAAAAAGGTCTCCGGTTCGCTAGACTCACCATACGAAACCCAGCAGCATTTAGCCGTTACCACACTAGTATTCTGAACGTGGTCCTTTAAGCCGACCCATTCGTGGTGAAGACACAACTCATGTTTACGCGGCAAACTATTCCGAAACTTTCAAAGTAAACAGTTAAAGTCAAAAACAGCAAAGTAGTGGAATAGTTGCCAGCATCTGTCTTTCCAACCGATTACAATGTGGGTGCCTTCAAGCCAAGAGTAAATTGGCTTTTGTTAAGTCAGTACACTTTACCATCTTCGGTAGCATCACCACTTACCATCAAGTAAAAAACTATTTCGATTCTAACTTACCGCTATACAGTGCTGTAGCCAATTGCTTTTGTGCTATCGAGCCGTGATGAAAGAAAAAAATGATGATGATGTTGATCATGATGTTCACAACACCAATTTCCAATCAGTAGTGAGTGTGATGGCGGCGTAAGAGCAGCAGACAACCAATGGGAACGAAAAGTTCTCGAGTGGCGACAACGTATCGATAAGCGAAGTGCGGGACATCCCCCAATAGATGAAGTAACGAGCTGGTAAGACATGCAGGAAGTCGATTTTCTTATATAGGATAGGGTGACAAACACACAGTCCACCCGATGGTAAGTGGTTGCTGTGACCCATAGACATCTACATACATCTATCCTCGATAACGAATCAAAATGCAGATGCGTTGTCATCCGTGAGGACTAAGATGGAATGGCTCGTTTCCAGTAAAAAGGGTCTCGGTTTTTCTACATCACCATACGAAACACACCAGCATTAAGCTGTTATTTTACGCTGGTATTCCGTGCGAGTGTGGTCGTTCCCCGGTTGAGCCGACCCATTCCTGCTACAACTATACTACTAATATAACTGCAGCATGACTCTACCACGTATAAAAGTCGATGGATGCAGGTGGCTCAGGACCGTGCTTTGTGGCATTGCACGAGGGTGGCCTGTGTTCAGCAGTGGACTTGTGAAGGGCTGTAATGAATGAAGGACTGATGAGTCGTCTGCTCCGTCTCCCAATAGAGGAAAGGGATGACGTTTGCTCTTCTGTCGCCACCACTAGCTTAGACAGTTAGAAATGCCCCACATTGTCACCGATTAAACATCTACCTAATGTTATAAATATAATTTTATAGAATAAGTGAGCTTTAAGCACACAGTTAACATAACGTTAAATGGATGCAGTGGCATTTTGCATTTACATCTATCCTCAAATAAGAACTCAAATGCAGATGCGTCGTCACTCTTAAGGACTAAGATGGAACGCCTCGTTTCCTGTAAAAAAGGACTCCGGTTCTCTACGCTCACCATACGGAGCAGCATTAAGCTGTCATTTTACACTGGTATTCTGGGAGAGCGTGGTTCTTTCCCGGTCGGGCGGACCCATTAGTGCTACAATCAAATTATAACAGCATGGCTCTACTTTATCATAATGCAATGAACACTTACCAAAGTCAGAAATACTGTATAAAACAGTGTGATACTTGGACAGGACCTGGTAATCTGGACCAGCGTAGGGATTTTCAAAGATCTTTTCCTTCATTCTGTTGAATATTTGCGACCATTCCACGCCATCTGTTGAAGGAAGCAGTTATTAAATTTAAGTAAAATGATAAGCCGATAACTAATGGGGAAGGAAATTTCTCGAGTGGAGTTTTATTATATGGAATATCGACCTGATAAGATAAGAAGAAAGTAGATAGATGCAGGTGGCTCAGGACCGTGCTTCGTGGGATTCCTAGGCCTACGTCAGCGGTGGACTTGTAAGGGTTGTAATGATGAATGTTGATGATGAACGTGACAAACGTTAAAAGGTTAAAGGCTTCGTGGTAGAGCCACGTTGCAACTATATTCTGGTTGTAACACGAATGGGTCAGCTCGGCCGGTGTCGGCTCACAAAACACCAGCGTAAACTAGCAGCTCAAAGCAGCTGTGTTTCGTAAACCGGAGACCCTTTTTATTAGAAACGAAGCATTCCATCTTAGTCCTTAGAGTTAACAACGCATTTGCATTTTGATTACTAATCGAGGATAAAGACGTCTCTTGGCTACAGCATCCGCTTACTGTCAGGGGAACTGTGTGCTTGCATGTAACCCTTATTTTTTTGTGTGTGTCTATTTTCTTCCCATGGGCAAAAATAAATTCTGTTAGAGTTCACAGTTGGGGAATAATTGTAAAAATTACGCAGCCATATACAGTATACAACAAAAATCCCCGTGATCCTTTTAGGGTTATTTATGTGGTCGTTAAGAGGATAGAGTAAGTCAGCTCAAATTCTAATTTCGCCCCCACTTCCCCGCGCGTCGTATGCTATGTACCGACATGTTTGTAATCACTAATACTGTAAGTAGAAAGGTCGTTAGACACTTATTTCATTAGGTTTATCATATTTATGCCTGTTTCTTAACGCCAAGCCAGCCGCTTCTTATTTTTATTACGGTTATTTACCATTTTAATTTTACGTCGTACGTGGTTGTATATTCTGATCGTAAGCGACACAACTTCTCCCTTCAAAAGCCTAAGCGATACTAACGGTGCGACAGGAATCAAGCTCAAGACGCCGATAGTTTAGGTAATTTCTTTTTACAGTGAAAATAATGGTATTTTAAAAAAAGTAAATAACATAAGCACTGCTTTATAGTTAGTTCAGTTAGTATGCAAAGTTTCATGATCTTATTTAAAGTACTTTATGAATAACAGCGGTTTATTGTTTATTTTGGAGGTAACTTTGGATTTTTTCTTCTATCGAGAAAACTTTACGAAATCGTGTTTTCGTCTAACATAATCCTTAACATTAATCCTCAACTTTACCATATATTTATTTCAAAATTAATGCTGCAATATTTTCGGCATAACGAAGGATCTTGCTAAGCCATTTGACATTATATTTCCCCTTAATAAAGGAATTTCAATGAACAGAATAGGTAAAAGCCGTGTAGCCGTGGCGGTGTGAGAATATCCACTACCCGATATCGTCCCGTGGGTTTCATAAGAGGCGACAGAGGGAAAATGATTGATCAGATTGGCAGCAGCATCTCCTTAACGACAACTCAAAATAATTAAAAAAACTACGGTTGCCAACCCGCTTGCCCAGCGTGGCAACTGTGGCATAAATCCCTCCAAGAAGCAATCCACGAGGGAGGCTTATGTTCAGCGGAGGACTTTTAAGGCTGTAATGGATGGTTGACAATAGGTAACTTACTAAATTCAATCTTGTGAAAAAAGGTTATTCACATCTGAACTTTTTTTTTTTATATAGAATAAAGGTGACAAGCTAGCACACAGTCCACCTGATGGTAAGTGGATGCTGTGGCCCATAGACATCTACATTTATCCCCGATTAATAATCAAAATGCAAATGCGTTGTCACCACTGAAGACTACGATGGAATGCGTCGTTTCCAGTAAAAAAGCGTCTCTAGACACTCACCATACGAAACACAGCAGTATTAAGCTGCTATTTTATGCTGGTATTCTATGAGAGCCTGATCCTTCCCCGGTCAAGCCAACCCATTCGCACTACATCCACAATATAAATGCAGGATGGCTCTACCATGTACGAACTAACAGTACGACATTACATTTCTAATACAATTACGCTCATACGCCTTCCCCCCCCCCTCCCCTCAGAACTCGCCAGCACTGCCACACTCAGCTCCAGCAACAAGTTTGAGACAATTTTTAAGCTTGCTCCCTTTTCCTTCTACCAGGTCGGCAGAAATAGATGAGTGATTTCTGCCCAAACAGACTTGTAGACACAAAAAACCTACCATAGAGAAAAAGCACTTGTCACTTTCTCACAAAAAAATAGTTGTAGTTACGCGTAATTCGAGGTTCACACACCGAATCGTCAGTGAAGTTACAAGGTTCCAACTGAAAACCAGCGCTGCCTCTGCAGCATTATGCTGAGTTGGAGACCTATTTGGTGTCACATTTTATCTTTAAATTCTTTTTTAATTTTTTTTTTTGTTTCATTATTAATTAACATCATGCATTTTCTGCATATTAAATAATTTTTAATGCGTAAGCAGTCTTACACCTGCGCATGCATATTCTTTGTCCATTGTAATTTATATTCAAATTTCAAAAATTGTGTGTAAAGTGTGATTATCAAATAATAATAAAAAAATAGTAGTTCATCTCATTTCCCATACCATCACGCTCTAGAGCACCCCTCAGTCCTCGACAATACTGCTTCAGAGCATATTCAGCATCAGCAACAAGTTGAAGACATTTCTTAAACTTGCTCGTCTCCACTTCCTCCCTTTCCAACTTGGCGATCAACTCAGAGGACCGCTGCGAGGAGAACTTGAATATATTCCTCTTAATCTCGTCCATGGCGAAATCGTCCATCTCGTGAATTAGGGTTTCAATCTGTAGAAACAAGTTGCAATATTTAGTGACTGAGTTACCTACCGATACCTTAGTAGCTGAGCATTTGTAGCCCCCCTCTACCCCCCCCCCACCCCCGGCATAATTAGTCAATCGACATCTGACGTCGTTCACCACTCGACTCGATACCGTTAATGGGCCCTATGTAATGAAAGTTATAATTTACAATCTGTAATTACAATTAGAACGTAGAGTGTCGGTGGAAGAATATCCAATACCTACCCCATATCGTCCCGTGAGTGTCATGAGACGCGATAGATAGAAAATCAGGAGATAGGCAGCAGCATCTTCCTGATAACTAATACAGAAAAAATTGCGCTAGCCAACCAGCCTGTAAAACGTGGTAGTTATGGCAAAATCCCACCTACGAGGCAACTTATGGGCGGAGCGGTGCGGGGCGGAGAGGGGGGGCGTTCAGCATTGGACTTTTGACAGGCTGTAACAGTAATTACCATTTACATTTTACGTTTCTACAAATTCCTATTCAAAAAAACACGTGTGAAGTTCACACGCGGTAGAAGCAGAACCTTCATAAAATTAAGCATCTATATCAAACAAATTTCCAACCCGGCCCAACCAAAAATATAAAAATAAATTTTTTTAAAAAAAAATAAAAATTATATTAAAAAAAAAAAAAAAAAAAAAAAAAAAACAAATAAATATATATAATAAACCCTACAATTATCCGGAGTAGCATAATTGTAGGGTTTATTTATTATAATTTTTATTTTAAGCATTTATTTATTTATTATAAACACTGTATACAGTATTCTATCTCATTCTCTAGCAGCTAAATCCTATAGATGTACATGTTTATCTCTTTTTAGGGTCAGTTTTTCGTTTCAAATCAGTTCAAAACGATTAGAGTTTCAAATCAGAACAATTCTAAAGAAGCAATCACTTCAAAAATACAAAATAGTTAAGATGGACAATTTACAAAATTTTAGAGTTGTAGCTACAATTTTAAATATTTCTGTTCAATAATGGTTTTAAGGCCTGGCCACGGGGATCGGCGGCGCGAACGGCGAAGCGACAGGCAGTGCGACAATTCACGCAGCGCGATTTGAGGGCCACGGGAATTCCTGTTTGCCGCCGCGACCAGATAGGCCGAGAGTGAATGTCTTTATCAAAGTTATCTCGCTTATAAATATTGCTTAGAAAGTAATTTTTGATTCAAGACATAATATTTGGAAGAGATTGCGGAGTACATGATTTGAATAGGAATCGGCTTACAGATGGAGAATTCCACAACAAATAGAATGCATCTAGAAAAAAAATTCGAGTAAATACCAGAATGAGTGTCGAAACCTGCGCTTATATTGTTGTTAATATTCAACCAGAATTGGAGATAAAAGTCAATAATATATAATAATAATGTCGGCCCGGCATTTTTCGCGGCGAAAACAACTAAAATATTTTGTTCCCTATACTTAGTCAGGTCATAAGTTCTGTCAAAAACTTTTTATAAAATTAATGATAAACTTTTTGAAAATTATATAGAAATTATATATGAAATGAAAGGTAGTTTAATTAAGAATACAATTTTATTTACATAATTCAAAATGCCCTCCCCTATTTTGAATATATGCCCTTAAACGACGCGGCCAATCATCAGTCGCAGCACGCACCACACTCATATCTATTTCTGCCGCTGCTTTAGCCAAAGATGTTCGGAGAGATTCCAAATTCTGATGAGGTTTAGCGCAGACTTTCTGCTCTAAATTTTGCCATATCTTATAATCCAGTGAGTTTAAATCTGGACTAGAAGAGGGCCAGTCTTCATGTCCGATAGAGCCAATTCCATGGGCGGTCAACCAGTTTTGCGTGCCTCGTGCCCTATGAGCTGGTGCAGAGTCCTGTTGGAATATCCAATGTCTGTTTTTAAACATTGTTTGAGAGAAAGGTTCCACTATGTTTGTTAGGACGGTATTTTGGTGCACCTCGGCACTGGTTTTTACACCTTTTTCACAGAAAAACACCTCAGTTAAGCCTGAATATGAACCTTCAAGCCAAACCATCAGTGACGAAGGCTAGTGTGCTCGTTGAACCCTCGGAATACGCATGCTGGCTTCTTCACTTCTATGGGCATACACCTTATCATTTTGTTTATTATAACTTTCTTCTATGGTAAAAAAAGATTCATCCAAAAACAAAACTTCGCGGTATTTTTCTCCCGCATAAAGCCGTAACAAAGCGCGGGATCTAACCAGCCTAATTTTTTTCAAACGCTCGTTCAAATAATATCCGGTTTTCTTACGATAAGCTCGTAGTTCTAGGTCTTCATTGATCACTCTTTTGACCGTGGTTCTGCTTAAGCCCATTTGAAGAGTTAAGATTTTTTGTTTACGAACAGGATTTCGTTGGATTCGCGCCTTCACTGCTTTGATTATCGCGGGTGTCCTAACTTTACAAGGTCGGCCGGTCCTATTACGATCTTCAAAGCTAGATTCTTCAGTGAATCGTTTGATGGTGCGATAAACAAATCAAAATAAGGTTATTTTCAATTTTAGTAGAATATTGAAAATATCTTTTGGCGCGTAACCAACCACAGCGGTGCAACGCGATAACCGCTACTCTATCTTCTTTCTTCGACCACTCCATATTTGAAAATGAATCAAAATTAATGTCTATTTTATTTTCGGCGTTATATTTTTAAAATTGGTGAAGTTCATCTAGTGAGTATTCAAATTATTTAAATAATAAGGTTTTGACAGAACTTATGACCCGACTAAGTACTATTCGCCGGTTTTCGCCGCGTCTGCCGCCCGACTCACCGTGGCTTGCACCGTACTGATTCATACATTTGTTTCAGTCGCCCGCCGCGCCGCCAGTCGCCTGCACAATTCGCCCGGTAAAATTCGGGCTACGCGTGGCTTGCTCCATATTATACTTCCATACATTTGTTTTAGTCGCTAAACGCCTCGCCGTTCGCGCTGCGCGAATTTTCGCTACGGCGAATGTCTCGTGGCCAGGCTGTTGGACTCGATGTACAAAATTTTACAAAGTCAGAAAAACGTTTTAATGTTGATTCATAAAAATAAAGATATAGCCATCCTATTGTTTATATTCAAGGAGACGTTTCGTTGTTCGCTACGATCCGTTTTACTACAGACAGGCTGCACGTACAAAGATCGTTTTATTTCCAAACGATTCGTTTGTTAACTTAACAACGGCTTAAAATAAAATAAATTTAAAATTAAAAAGACATTTCTAAGTTGTTGACTCATTATCATCATCATTACAGCCCTTCACAAGTCCACTGCTGAAAATAGGCCTCCCCAAGTAACGCCACAAAGCACGGTCCTGAGCCACCTGCATCCACCGATTTCCTAGATGTCCTACCAGGTCGTCACTTCATCTAGTGGTGGATTGCCCTACACTAGGCCCACCGGTACCAGGCTGACACACTCGCGAACCTTTTTTCCCCATCGGTTGTTTATTAAGCGTTATTAATTGAATTGGGTGACAAACGAGCACAAAGTTCACCAGATGTTAAATGGATACTGTGGGTCATAAGCATCTATATCTATCTTCGATTAAGAATCAAAATGAAGTTGCGTCGTCACCCCTGAGGACCAAGATGGAATGCCTCATTTTTAATAAAAAAAGGTGTCTGGTTCTCTACACTCACCATACGGAACACAGCGGCATTAAGCTGCTATTTCGGACTAGTATAGAATGTGAGTGTGGTACTTCCTCGGTCAAGCCGACCCATTCGTGCTACAACCATAATATAGCCGCAGCTTGGCTCTACCACGCGAAGAGAACGTGCGTAAGATGTCACAATGCTCAGTGCTGGGCTAACTCTGGTCAGTTTATGATGATAAGATAAACTCACCGTCCCAAGCACAGCAGAAGTTGCTTCATCACTCAGTTTATAACCAGCGAAGTCACTGAGACGGTTGAGTATTACATCCAATAGATTACTATACTTGAGGTTCAGGTTCAAACTCAAAGCTGGATCTAGAGCGCTACATATGTCAGTGAGGATTGTGTTTTGTTCTTCAGAATCTGAAATGAGAAAAAATATATATTTATTGTATTAATATGACAAACGAGAACACAAACTCACAGTAGTACTGGGGCTACACTAACGGGAACACTAATTATTGCTTTAAATTTAACACGAGAAAGTGAGAAAAATTTCAATGCCATTGAACGACGTTAAAGTTGGGCGTTAATGTTCCTTGAAGACTTTTAATATTTGTTTAGATGGGTTCTATAAAAACCATTAAGGCTTTCCTTCTTTTTCTTTAATTTCTTCGATGGTTATTTTAAACGGTAATAATTGCATAATTCGTCGCAAAGCATGATTTCGCGATGTATCCAAGTTCTCCACGCAGCGGTCCTCTGAGTTGATCGCCAAGTTGGAAAGAGAGGAAGTGGAGTGTTTGCAAATTTCAAGAAACGTTAAAACTTTTTCATTAGACTCCTCCATCCATCATAGCCATACGTGCGACCTCGTTGCACTCACCACGCATAATGAGACAAACGTAGTGTGACCGGTTCAACGCGTTATTTCGTGAGTTAATCTCTTTGATGTACCGCCACTCGAGTTATCGCCAAACGGCAAACGGTATTGTTAATTGTTAAATTAACGCGTTAAGTCGTGGCTACACCTACACTGAACGTCCATCAACACGATAATTGACCGCATTTCTCGTTAGTGAAGCCCCAGTTTAAGTGTATGCTGTGGCACGGACTTAGTTTAATATGACTAAGAAAACGCCGTCATTATTAGTAGTTAGGTTGTACCAGTTCTAGCGCACGACGTTCGTCGACTCACAATCCTAAAAAAAAAAAGGTTTTGGCATGCTCTGATCACGAATCTGCGGTCCATTTTTGCGTAGGATGCACGGTTCCGGAGATGAGCAGATCAATTAACTCTTATCTAATTGATATCCGCTACGAGCCTCAACCGTCATTAGCGCTCCATTGTCCTTATCTACTTATCTATTGTTGATTGACTACCGTCATTATCTATTATTCGTCAGCGTGTGGGTCGGCTTATGCTATTGTATTATACTCCTTTGTTCCTATCTACAACACTAATCTGAATCATCAATATAACACATTACCTAATTTTGTTAAAATTTTTATTTATAAAATACAAAATCTTATTACTTATTATCTATAAAATAGGAGTGAAACATCTCATCCACTAAAATATCGTTGTACAATGTGTTCTCTGTAAATATACTCGTAAAACTATGCATTGAACATCCCTGAAACTTATATAGCAAATACATTAAGCAATATTCGCCACAAACTGAAGTCCACTCATTCTGAATCCTATCAACATTCCAGTTCCATCTTTTACAATTTCTTTTAAAAAACTCTAGATGATATCGTACAGGTGCCCGTCCGAATGAATCAAAATATTGACCGACGTCATTCGTATCGATATATAAAGCTACCCAATGTGACCCTGGTTTATCATCTGTATCCAAATTGCATATTATATACGTTGGTACGTGGGTGTACATGGGTAGTTTATTGGCAGCATAAACATTATTTTCTAGACTGGGGTGAATCTTTTTCAGATGTTGTTGTACATCTAGTGTATCCATGATATTACTGCTATTAGTAGATTATTACAGTACCAATCTACTCAATGACTAATATAGGAATGATCAATTATAGTGATATCTAAATATTAAATTGCTTTCTTTGTGTTATACAAAACGTATTTGAGTCACCAATACACTGAACAAGACACGACAGGAAGGACGTAGGAATGTAGAGATAACCAACAGAATGTAAGGTAAGCTTGTTGACGCATAAAGATACTATCAATTCTACTGCAGAAATTCTTTAGATTAGAATTATTACTCACTGGTACTATATAAGACCAAGCAACTGCAGTCATGGAGTTAGTGTATGGTCGTTTGACCGCAGTGGATCTATCAATACTACGTTTGTGTTACTTCAACGCATCAAAGGCCATGGATGTAAGTGTTTATTCTATTGACAAACTTACTTTTCTTTCTGTTATTTTCTTACGTGTGTATGATTTAGTGTTAACAAATTATATTTAAATATTATGTGTGTGTATATGGTTAAGCCGTGGTAGCTCAGATGGTTAGCGCAAAATATAAAATTCATAGTACACGACCCGGGTTCGATCCCCGCCGGCACCAATTAAATTGTTAATTACAATTTTAAGTGCTGATTTACCACGTGCTCAGCGGTGAAGGAAAACATCGTGAGGAATGCATGTCTGAGAAAATTTCGAAGGCATGTGAAGTTTGCCAACACGCATTGAGGTATCACAGCGAACATTTCCTAGCCCTAAAACCCTCTCAGAAATGAGAGGAGGCCTATGTTCAGCAGTGGACTTTAATAGGTTGTAACTTTAGCTTTTTTAACTTTTATGATTAAGTGTTAACAAATTGATATTAACATGATAACTGTGTTGTTGCAGAAATCATTGAGCTTCGATGAAAATACATATAAACAGTATTACTACTCGCCACTCTCCCCTCAAGAAGAGAGTGATGACATCGTCATTAATAACACATGCGATGGTGGAAAAAGAAAATCGCAATCGATTGATCATTTTTTTGAAGCTGAATCAAAAATAAAAAAGAGGAAGCTGTTATCATCAACCGTAGCACGAGCCGCTAGAGATGGTGTATCATACATTTCTACTAATTCTGACGACGGAGACCAAGCGACGCATCTCATCAAAATTGAAATGTACGATATGAAGAAGCTATCCAAGATTCCAACTACTGATCATTGGAAACATGCTTCCACGAGGATTAAATATTACGTAAAGACTAATAAGGATAGCATCTACGACAACACAAACGCCCTCGTATACAATATTACAAAGACAATAGCAGAAAGTGAAAAAGTTAAAAAATACTTTTTTAACAATGACAGTCATTAGCTGATCATTAGTGAATGTGATTCTGTTTACTTAAATTACAGGAAGACAAGAGCAGAAGAAAGAGATGAGTGTGGCATACGTGTACAGAACACATCATTGAAGAACAAAACTGTAACACTGAGTGGAGATGAAAACGAGAATATGGAGTACTCAAGAGCTGAATATCCATTCTTCAGTTCAAAATCTAGTCGGTTGCTCAGTTTCGAAAACTGGCCTCTCGTTATGCGACAGAAACCTGAAGATCCTGCAGAAGCCGGTTTCTTTTATACTGGCCATGCAGACAGGACCAAGTGTTTCCATTGTGGTGGTGGCTTAAAAGATTGGGAAGATGATGATGATCCTTGGCAGCAGCATGTTCAGTGGTTTAGTCAGTGTGCTTATGTAAAATTTAAACTCGAACAGAGTTTTGTATTAGATTAAATAGAATATTTATAAAGAAATAAAAAATAATATATTGCATATAATTTGTTTTATTTAATTTTATAATGTTTCACATAGTTACATACACACAAAATGCATTACACATAACTCATAAAATCTAACACACAACACATATTATAACTTTAACTACTATAGTCTACAGTAACATTTCTGTTTTTATCTATCTCAATAATATTATCAAACTCAGCATAAACTATACAGTTAATTGTTTGTATTAGTGAGGATTCAAATCGTACTTCTAATCTTACACTACCATGCTTTATGAGATTCCAATGAGCTGATGAGTTGGCTGATAAATCAGGAGTTAAGTCAAATGCTAATAGACAGTAACCTTTGGCATACTGTTCACAAGAGATTCCATTTCCTTCATTAAGAAAGTGAATACCAGTTCCCGAGAATAGAGTATGATATGCTGATGTAAATATGCTATTATTAAAAGATGGTTGCAAAGCTTTTGAAGGTATTTGTTGACCATCAATATATAAGCTGTAAGAATTAATACCATAGTTTTCAAAGTTAAATGGATTTTTAGTAAGGGAACCATTAAATGCAGAATTGTTCACAAATCCAATTATACATCTTTTGGGTACCTGCTTTCTACAAGTGCGCCAGAACTGGTACAACCTAACTACTATTATTTGTGTGTTCAACAAAAGCTTGTTAAGTTTTGGAAGGAACTAGCTCCTGTTACTCAGGTTAACCTTTTACAGGAGCTAGGGCCACATTAATATGTATGAACTCGTTTTTGTTGCTATAAAGATTTTTTTCAGTAGTACAACATTACATAGACATAGAAAGTCTTGGAGCGAAACATATCATCCAACATGAACGGTTCCGGTTTGAGGGAGCAGGGCGACAGAAGATACTGAGATCCTACCTACCCAAACAAACTCCGCATCATCCCTGTGTACCAGGGCGGCAGAAGTCGTTAAGAAGACTGTACCAACTTGAACGGACTCCTAGGCAAGGCTGTGTGTATGTGCGCGAACTTAAAAGTGACGCCATTTTGTGTATATTAAGTGTCTGCGCATGTCAACTATTAGAGGACACGACAAAACAAGTGCTTCAATGTAATATAAACCTCAAGTTTTTTGTCCACCTTAAGATCTTGAGATATTGTCGTCATCGATCACATCGAGACATCGATCAGTTGGATTTAGTTGTCGTCAAAATCTTCCAAGATCTTCTCAATGTACCGCATCATCATCATAGAAGTTTTTAAACAAAATATTTAGGATAATTTCTTATTACAGTGGACTCCTTGGCTTGTCCGTCCTCCTTATAATCCGACATGTCTTTAACTTGTACCTAGGCTGCACTAAAAGTATCGGGAATGGAATATTTCCACTGTTCCTGTCATATTAAAATCTTTTTAATTGAAAACTCCTTGATTTTAAAAATCGAATACCATTTATTTATTTAAAAAAAAGATTCTCGGTCTTGTCACAAGGTTTTGTCAAACTCGTTTAGTCGTTGAGAAAATGGAATTGACTCGAGAAAATTCAAGAGCGATGATTTATTATGACTTTCGAAGTGGTTTAATACAAAAACTGTGTATTGACCGGATGATTTCTGCATTTGGTGATGAAGACCCATCCATAATCACAATTTATCGCCGGTTTGCTGAATTTCAACGTGGACGTGTCAAGCTCAGTGATGATCCCCGTCAAGGTCGTCCAAAAACTGCAGTCACCCAAGAAAACGTTGATGCTGTGCGTAAGCTGATTGAGGAAGATCGACATGTGACATACCGCGAAATTGAGGCAACTTTAGACATTGGCATGAGTTAAATACAAATAATCTTGCATGAAAAATTAGGTGTAAAAAAGTTGTTTTCCCGATGGATACACATACTCTTCACAGAGCGAATGCGCTCTGTGAAGAGCAAAAAGCGGCTCGCGTTACTTGGTGCGTCAGAACCCTCGAAACATTCCACGCAGGATCCTCAAATGCTGTATACAACATCGTATCAGGTGACGAATCCTGGATATACGCGTACGAACCCGAAACAAAAAACCAGTCACGAGTTGGATGTTCGAAAATGAGTTAAAGTCAACAAAAACGCCATTTTGGAGACCCCAACTTCCGAATGGAATGGTTGCTTCAATGATTGGTTCCATCGTATGAAAAAATGTGTCAAATTTCGCGGAGAATACTTCGAAAAGCAATAAATACATTTTTAAATAGTAATGTTGTGTCACTTCCTTGATTCCCGAAATTTTTAGTGCCGCCCTCGTAGGTAGATTCAAGTCGCGCTATGAATCCGCCACAGTGGGGAGGAGTCACGAATACGTGGACAAACAGGTTGCAATTAGTTCGCGCCACTACGGATTTAGCTTGACACGTATTTTATCAGTTCAAATGATATGACTATGGTAGCGGCCTAGCGGGAATTCATTATTTACTGTTTAGGTATACATTGTGCATAACATGATGACATTTTTATTATTTTATATTTGATATACTCTTTTTCAAAAAGTTCAGAACTATCAGGGGGCTGTGGCAGTTACTCTATAGTCCGACAAATTCGATAATCCGACACCGCCGTTTGTCAGATTACCGCGGGTCAACTGCTAGCTAGCAACAGTATAACTGTACCAGCCCAAAAGAAAACAAGTCCAGTCCAAAGAAAAACAACTTCACCATTGACTTCCTTCCACAAGCCGTCGTAGTGCATGATCGCCAGCTCCACCATAGACTGCAGCATTTGTTTATTCCTCCCTTGAACTATCGCCCCCTCTGATGCCTTAAGATATTGCTGTTGCATATTGTTCAGAGTATACTGTAATTTCTCTTTCGTCAGTGCTGTAACAAGAAAAATATGTTTGCAGTTCACACGTGTTAAGTTCACTTTTAGACTAATAAAATAAAATCGGATTTAAAAAATTGACACAGATTTATTCTACACAAGTTACTCACTTGGAGATTACAACACGAATGCGCTAGTATACGGAATTAACAAAGATTATATAACTATCCTATACAGGAACGAATGAATGAACTAATCCTAAGATCCGCTATAACAGTTCTCAAAGACAATTGGTCATAGATAAATGCGGTATCAATATTTATATCGATACTTTGCCTTTTTAAACAATATCGATTTATATAGCGAATAATAATAAAAACTTATCATTACAGAGGGGTAAATAAAGAAATATAGCGATATAATTATCCGATACACGCGATAGAAGTGAAACCTTCAGAAAATTGCGAGTGAAATTGCTTGGTAATAGCGCCATATACTTTATTATATAGGTAATATTATTTTATTGAACAAAAATAATTGATTTGCTCTCAAGGTGGTACTTAAAATAGACGCTAAAGAAAAACGTTTGCCGGGACAGCACCACAGTCAAATATGAATTATAGAAAAAAAAAACTTACAATTTAAATCCCGATGAAGCAACAATGTAAGATGATTGATTTCAATTATATCTTCCAGCGGAGCGCCCTGACTTAGAAGAGCGCCCTCTGTCTCTGAAATAAGAAAAGTAGGTATTTCTCTTTTGCTTTGTCTACTGTAATCTAAAGCTGTTTATTGTGCCTTCCGTTATATTTTTTATAAGGGTGGTGACAAAAGAGCACACAGTCCACTTGATGGTAAGTGGATGCTGTGTTCCTCGATTAAGAATCAAAATACATATGCGTTGGCAGTCAGTGAGGACTAAGATGGAATGCCTCGTTCCCAGTAAAAAAGGTTCTACGGTTCTCTACACTCACCATACGAAACACAGCAGCGTTAAGCTGCTATTTGACGCTGGTATTCTGTGAGAGCGTGGTTCTTCCCAGTTCGAGCCGACCCATTCGTGCTACAACTATAATATAGTTGCACCGTGGCTCTACACCTACCTAAGTCTACATATGGTTTAATATGTCTTTAAAAAAGGAATACATCATCATTAAGCTGCTATTTTACGTTGTTATTTTGTGAGAGCGTGGTCTTTCCACGATCGAGCAGTTCCCTAGCCGTAACCCATTCGTGCTACAAACATAATTTAGCTACAGCGTGGCTCTACCAAGTATACTCAATATATAAGATTGTTTCAGACAACCTCGTGATCGTGATTGGTCCTTCGAGCCGTCAGATGAATATCCACCCATTTATTCATTAAACCCAATAAAGGCCTCCCCTATAGATTGTCTTAAAGGGACATTTGTCGTAGTTGCCTTGCTTGGCAAGCAAGGGGGGGTAAGGGGGGGGCATCCACAGTATTCTATTGTATGAAGAGAAGACGCTGCTGCCCGTCGCCTGTTTCAGTTTCCTTCTGTAGTCTCTTACGATACCCACGGGACGGTATGCGGTAGGGAATTTCCTTACACTGCAACTACATGTATTAGAAATACATTTAAGTATATTTATAATCCTCTCTTAAGTTTCTCAACAGTAGTGACTTGTAGAAGCGATGGCGTAGCTTTTTGACTTACAAAAATGCTTTATATAAAAATATTTGAGTGACTTTAATAATTTCAAAAAAAAAATTATTAAGAAGAAAAAAATAGAAATATATACGTACCTGCTCTTTCTAATATTTTAGCCAAATCGCCTTCGATATTGCTTCTCAACGCCAACTTTCTCTTTGCGATCAGTTCCTGACTCAGCCATGGAAGAGTTGTCGTCTTCTCTCTGCGTTCAATACAATTTAGATCTTCGACGTTCCAAAGTACGATTTTAATTTCAGTGGCATCTTTCGCTTATTATTGGAAACTATCATATATATTATAATATAATGCCACACAAACGAAAAAGTAAACGAGGATAATATAGTCGGGTGAGCTGCCGAAAGCTTTTTACAAAACTAATTAAAAATAAGTGTTCACAGAGAGTGATGTGAGTTTATTCTGATCCATGCTTACAGTCTACTTAAAATACTACGTACTCAGTGTTTATGTATTTATGCCGATGGATGAAACTAAAAATAGGTCTCGGGGCACATGTTTGTATGGTAATTGATAATATTTCGTGGACGCGGCTGATTTTGACTTCAAAAATGCATTTGATTCGGTAAATAACGATGTATTAATGAAAAAAATTGGCTAGCGTTGGTCACTCCACATCTTCTAAAGTTCTTTGCTATCTAAGCTATATGAAAGATGTATGGAGAATATTTCGTATTCTGTCAGAAAGATATTTTTTAATTCATTTATAGCATAAGGATGATACATGGATTAAATCTATTTAACTTGCAAAACCGTGAGATTTGTCCGCAAGTTACAGTCTCACACATAATGTAAGGCAATAGTACAATCGCATACAGACAATACAATCATCTAATCATTGGCTGGTTACAAACAGTAACAATAGTATTAAATAGGTACGCACATGTTTTAAGTAATAACTTACAACCCACCGTAATTGCAAATCACCGCTCTGAGACGGGCCGTATTGACAGAAAAACCGATTTCGGTGAGCCCTATGTTTCGTATGGTGAGTGTAGAGATCCAGAGACTCTTATTTACTGGAAACTAGGCATTCCATATTAGTCCTCAGGGGTGACAACGCATCTGCATTTTGATTGTTAATCGAGGATAAATGTAGATGTCTATGGGCCATAACACCCACTTACTATCAGGTGGACTGTGTGCTCGTTTGTCACACTTATTATATAAAAAAGACACGTGTTCTACATTTATATGGAGGATATAATTTAATATTCTAGTTAAATTGTTTCGTCATAGTACTAACACTCCAGGGAGAATATCTGCTATAGCTCTTGGCTGGGTTGCCAACAGTCGCAGTTGTTTTCTTCATATTTTGAGTTATAATTAGTAATAAGCTGCTACCCATTTCCCGGGTTATTACCCTCTACCCTCTTCTACGACCCAGGGGATTATATGGGGTGGTTTAGTCTCTGACTCCGAGGATGGTCACAATATTTGTACACTAAATTATAATATACCGTTAACCATAGAATACTATATTAAAGACTGTCAACCTTATGCTGTACGAGGATCGGCGTCGCCGGGAGCACACATACAAGCAATTAGGTCGTATTATAACTACTACAAACCCGATTCGCTGTGTTAATAGACTGAGTAAATTTAAGCATTTTAGACTTTTTTAATGTTCAAGATCACCAATAAAAAATCGTTTCAATTTAAATATATATTTATTTGTAAATAGTGTGCAATTTGGCATTTTCTAAATAATTTGCAAGCGAAATTTGGAAACTATTGTAACGTCAAAACACATCTCGTGTTGACATTTATACGTGTGAATTGACACGTTACTGACATTTTAGTGGCTGCACGGACTCCGCCCACTCCCCGTTCTATTATGTATGTACTATAGTATTCTATGCCGTTAACCGTTACATCTTAATGATTTTTTATATTTACGCGAACACCACACATTGACTAAAACTCCTTTTACGGATTTTATCCCGTTCAATTTCGTTTCGGAGTCTGTAGTTTGTGTTCATACCCTAGACAACCGCAACCATTACATCAGATTTGATAGACCACAAATCCTCGCGAAAGAACACCGATTCCTACCAAGGATGATACGTGAGAGGCTATTGAAATTAAAAAAACATCCTGATTTCAATAGAGAAGGAGGCTGGGTACTGCCTCCTGATTGCGACCCTGTAATCAACAAAATTAAAACTAAACCCAAGCATACCATTGTAAGACACAGTGAATTCATTCTGCGTAGATCGAACCATAAATAATAATTAAAAAGCTGAAGGTCTCCGGGTTAACACTGACAACGGGGCGTCAGTCACCTCAGTCCCCCGTGACCATGGCTGCTGGAAAGCGCCCGAAACGTCAGGAATTAAAAACAAATTAAACGCGATAAAATCCGTAGAAGTAGTTTTAATCAATGTTACAGCTTACTAAGTCCACTGCTGTACATAGGCCTCCCCCATAGGTTAGCTTTTAGGGGAGAATATTTGCCAAGTTGCCACGCTTGATAAGCGGTTTGGCAGGTATTTTATGTTTAGTCGTTAATAGAAAGACTGCTGTACATCTCCTGATTGGTTCCCCTCTGTCGCCTCTTACGACACCCACGGGATGATATGGGCTAGTGGATATTCTTACACCGCCACTACACGGGAAAATTATAATATAACTGTATGAAATTTTAAACTAACCTGATAAAACTACTGACGCAGCGCAGCACTTGACTGGGTAGCTCTCTCTCGTTCGCACTCAAGCACCACTGCAGAGCGTGCGAGAGGGACAAACTCTTTGAATCTGTATAATTGTTTCTATACTCTTCCGTCGCTTTCTCTAAGTAAGCCGCTCTGTAGACCAATTGTTTAGATTAATTGTAAAGTTGTCGAAACATCGGTAATACAAAATAGGTTAATATACGCGATAAAATCTTTAAAAACTATAGTCAACCAAATCTAAAAAATACCTTTTGACGTTTTACGTTAATCATTCCGCAATAATTTTGTAAATCCGAAGAATCATGAAGTTATCTATATTTCATTACAACGTGTATAGTTTTTTTATCACTAATTCAAATTCGAATCTTTCAAACAAAGCAAAATATTAAAAAAATAACCAGGATCAACTTTTTTTACTTGACATCGTTCCAATGATATGTCGCTATGAGCCTTACGTAGTGTTTGGACGATTAAAATTCATCGTTATGCGAATAATCGGCAAAAATATACAAATAATTGGTAAAAATATTCAAATAATCGAATCATTACTTTTTTAATGTATTATTTGTTTAATTAAATTTTTATTTTTAAAATTCCTTTAATTACATTAATCATGAATAAAACAAGTTTATTTTTTTAATTTGTCAACATTAATTTGTAATTATTAATAAAAAAAATAATAAGTAATAAAAAAATTACTACGTGATTTCAATCTCCCGCCATTTTGGGATGTGTATAATTTTGTTATTTTATGTTTGTCTTCTTATTTTGTGACTCGGCTTTAACTTTCTGGGCTTTTTCTTCTACCCGTGCCACATAGGTTGATTGAGCAAAAATGGTAGAAAAAATAAAAAAATTGATTACGGATGACTATGAAAGAGACATTAATTTTGACTGCATTATTGAAAATCAAATATTAACTAATCTAAACAAAGACAGCTCAACTAGTTGTACTGTGTAATAAAATTATTTTTAATCTAGTTTCAATCTAAAATTTTATAACTTTGCCTCTAGTAACAAGCAGTAACAAGAAATACGAAAAATCTGATAAATCTTGTGTTTAATTTAAATCAGCCGTTTCTAATTTATTCTGGTATTATAAAAACCTAACTGTAAATGATTACCAACTCTAAATAATTGATATTGATTTTTTTAGAATCGAATATTATACATTCACATTTTTTGGTTGGCATGTTTGGTGCAATAAATCTGACAGTTGTCAAAATGTGTTTCCTCGATTTGGTTGACAATAGTTAAAACGGGGAAATTAATTTGTGAGTTAGTGTGAGGTTCAAATGTTTTATTCTGTAAAATTATATTTCTAATTAATTTGATAAGAAACTTATAACCAAACAACAGATATTCCCAAAAATATAAAAATAAATAGAATTATAAAAAGAAAAATTATTCGTGTTAAAGCCATGCTGCAGGTATATTAGTATTATGTGTCGGTAGTATTCTGTGAGACCGTGGTCCCTCGAGCCGGCCCATTTGTGCTACAATCATAATAAAGCTGCAGCGAGGCTCTACCACGTATATCGGGTTACAATATAATGCAACTAGCACGTTGCAGGTCATACCTGGTTAAGATCCTGGCTGCCCATTCCGCTAAACAGTCGACGGGACGGATATCACAGCTCAAGTATTTTAGAAAATCGTCGAAGGACTCCTTTTGCATCTTCTCCAACTGGATCGCTTCTACTGTCTGTGAGTGAATTATACTATATACTAGCAACACGCCCGACTTCGCTTGGATAAGGTTTATTAATGCGGCGTTATTTAGATTTAAAATAATTAACAAATAACATTTATTAAGTATTTCAAACATTGTGAAAGCGCAGATCATGTACTTAATTGTTAATAACTAATGTAATAAAACACACACGCGCGCGCGCGAGCGCATGCGCGCGCACGTGTGTGAAATGCACACGCGGTAGAAGTTAAACCTTCAGAAAAGGAGACCGAGGTAACAGGAAACCCTATATTCTCTCTCATTCTACCGCAGGCTAAACCTATAGATGCATATGATTGCCCCTTTAATGTTGGCTTTTTCATTTCATAGAATTTTAAATCGCAATGATTCTAAAGACGTTTTCTACTAAAAACCAATGTAAAATTCAAAACAAGGGCACTATAAAAACCTAAGACGTTAAAAGTTATGTCCGGAGCTGCCGAGCTGAGGAATTTTTTAAGGTTATTGTTGCGCGCTATAACTAATGCCCGGTATATGGCACTAGCGCCGTCTAATATCGAATAGCAGAACTAATCCTTCTAGATATTTACATACTAGAACTTTCTACACCTATTCAGTCAGGACCAGTTTGTACTCAAACATTCTAGATGTGTCATGTCTGAGAACCTTGCCCTAAAACCCTCTCAGAAATGAGAGAAGGCCTGTGCCCAGCAGTGGGACGTACGTAGGCCGTAACTTTAATTTAACTTTATTCTAGTTAAGCAAAGATCTTACAGCAGACGTCGAGAACAAGCTCCTCGGCCAGCGAAGTAACTCACTCAACCACTTCATGCTGAGATAGCTCCCCTTACGGTACACGGACGCCATCTTGTCGAACCAGCTGTTTGATGACGTGTCTGAAATTAACAGAATAGAATCATTTTTCTTCAACATAGGTTAGAAGAAAACTTATTGACAGTCATTTAAGCTTCACCGCTATTTCAAAAAAAATCATTCCTAAGAAGAACTAGCAAGAAACCCGGCGGGACTTTTTTTTAAATCAATTTACAATATATTATTGTATACAATTAGTATGAAAATATTTAGAAACATCATGGTAGTGATCACCTTATTCTCAGGGGTTGACAATCCAGTACTATTTAGATGTTTATGGGCCACGGCATCCACTTACAATAAGGGAGACTGCGTGCTCGTTTGTCACCCTTATTATATAAAAAAGACTGGTAGTCTAAATTATCGTTAGAACATTAGTGACTACAAGGTGGCTGTGTCGTCAGTCTACCTCCTTCTATCCTTTTCTACTTCGCTCCTCTGACTCTCGCACACCGATTATGTTGTGTAAGTAATTTAGGAACAATAACGAATCAAGTAAAACACGTAACGGCTAAGGCGTGTCCCTTACGGCGGCTCTACACGTCGGCCAACGTGTGTCGTCGCCAGTGGCGAATGTAGTGGCGAAGATATTGGCCGAGAGTTTGTGACGGCATCCACACGTTGGAAGGTCGTTCAGTTTGCTTCGGTTCAGGCCAATGTGCGGACGAATTTCGCTCCGTGGCGCAGTGGCTTAGCAACGAGTGGCTGCGCCGGGGGCCGCGGGTTTGAATCCCGCACGGAACAAGTATTTGAATGTCCTACAAATAATTGTTCCGGGTCTGGAAGTTTGTCCTTGTGCAATTTATGTTTGTAAATTGCCTCCGCGATACACGAGAAAATCCTAGTTTTTATAAAATAATTATAAAAGAATAGAGAATATTAATGGGGCTGTAAATAGATAGATATACGATTAGCTTTATTTATTCTTTACATGCATCATAAACTGGAATGAATACCATTAATTAGAACTTAACTTATTTTAGTTCTATTTATAATTATTTTAGTTAAAATTATAAAGTTGAAGGAGTTATAATTGATTAGTCTATGTTTTAAAATTGGGTTTTGATTTTAAAGTTCAGCAAAACATGTATTTGCTTTTCTATCAGACATTTGATGTATATAAAAAACACCTTATAATTTATTTAGTAATTTAATTATTTATGAGAAAGACAAAAACGCGGAATAAATATAATTAACACTGACTTAATAATAGGTACTAATTATAACTTAGAACATAAATAAAAACTCATGACGAGCAAAGTGGCTCAGGACCATGCTTTGCGGCTGTCTGTGGAGGAGGATGTTCAGTAGTGGACTTGTGAAGAGCTGTAATGATGATGATGATTCGAAAACTTGCACGATTAAATTATAAGAAGTCGACGTTTTTTTTATAGGATAGGGTGACAAACGAGCACACAGTTCACCTGATGGTAAGTGGTTACTGTGGCCCACAGATATCTACATCTATCCTCGATTACGAATCAAAATGCAGATGCGTTGTCACCCGTGAGGACTAAGATGAAATGCCTCGTTTCCTTTAAAAAGGGTATCTGGTTCTCTACACTCACTATACGAAACACAGCATCATTAAGCTACTATTTTACGCTGATATTCTGTAAGAGCGTGGTCGTTCCCCGGTCGAGCCGACCTTCGTGCTACAACTATACTTCTAATATAACTGCGTGGTTCTACCACGTATAAACGACGTGCTTCATTTTTTTTCATTTTAAAATTGTTCTCGTAGTAATCTGATTGTAAATAAACATTAATTTTTTTTTTTGATAAATAGCTTGTCGATTAAAACAAATGTTTAAAAATAATTAAATCGCGCTAATTAAAGTAGTAGGAACGTTTAAAGTTGAAATTGGCACTAAAAGGCTGGTAGTTAGGGCATCCACCCTACGAGTACAAAGCTTGAATATAAAATTTAAATCAGATGCGTATAATCACTCTGGGAGCTTGTAGCAAACTAAGCGCGCGCCCAACGTGTGGACGCGGCGACCAAGCTCTGCCAACAATCCTTTGATCTTTTGTAAAAAACCGACACCACACGGATCTCGCGCCAACTTGTGGGCCATCGTTCCAATACATACCAATGAAGCCCAAACACCCCGTCTACACGTTGGCCAATGCTATTGGCCACTACATTCGCCACTGTGTTGGCCAACGTGTAGAGGCGCCGTTATACCTTAAATTCACAAAATGGGATCTCTAATTTTAACAACTTATGCCCTAACTACATCCTAACACAAATTTAGAGTCGCTTCTAATATTATTGCGGAGAAAAGGACGGAAAGTAACTCGCAGTCGAAACACAATTCAACTTTACGTGGTAGAGTCACGCTGCAGCTATATTATAGTTGTAGCACGAATGGGTCGGCTCGACCGGGGAAGGACCAAGCTCTCACAGAATCTAGCTTGAAAAAGTAGCTTAACGCTGCTGTTTTGTATAGTGAGTGTAGAGAACCGGAGATCCTTTTTACTGAAAACGAGGCATTCCATCTTACTTCTCACAGGTGACAACGCATCTGCATTTTTATTCGTAATCGAGGATAGATGTAGATGTATATGGGCCACAGCAACCACTTACCATCATATCATCCTTAACTTCGATTCTTTCGATGCATTGGGCTCAGATATTAGTTCGTTCACCATTTTTTTTTGTTAAAAAAAAGTTACCCCTACACTAAGATTTTGGGGGCAGTTTACAAACAAATTGCACAAGGACAAACATCCAGATCCAAAACAACTATTTTTAGGCCATACAAATACTTGTTCCGTGCGGGATTCGAACCCGCGACCCCCAGCGCAGCCACTCATTGCTTAAGCCATCGCGCCACGGAGTCGTCGAATAATCATTAAATAACTTAAATAACGTAGTAAGTATATGTAATAATAATATAATATGTAAAACTTACCGGACCGTCCATCCAGCTCCACCTTGTAAGTGTCAATATCCACCCAGAGAGGGGGCAGGCTGGACTCCACAGATGTTCTCTGCTGCAATGTCAGATCCTCCCAATTTGACAGCATACCAAATGACGCGACCAAATCTAAAAAATATGTAACCATTGCAGACTACTAAAGTCCCCTGCTGAACATAGGCCTGCTTTATTGATTACCTCATAGCGGTGGGGGTTGTGGGGGGGTTGGGGGGTTATTGGCGATAGTTACCATAGTTTTAGTGGCGATAGTTGCTTGACAAGCAAGTTAGCAACCGCAGTTTTTTTTATTTTTAGTCATTATTAGGAAGAGTGTGATGAATGATGATATAAAATAAATGCGCAATAATACGGTGTAAAAATAAAATAAAATCCGAAGATCGCAGGTTCGAGTCCCGTCACTTTCGCCTTCTAGTGTGTTGGAGACAGTGGTAGGTTTAAGTAAACTACATCTACTCAGATGTACGTACGTATGAGAGCCACAAGCATACTTGAAACTAGTTCACTTAAAAGTATCTAACTAAGTCGCAAACATTTCGCAAGTCTGATTTTTAATGCAACCCACTTTTGTCATATTTTTGAGTGCGTAATCAAATCATGTTAAATATTATTGCGCATTTTGTCTAGTTATGGACGAACTTATAAATCACATTTAGATAACATTTATTCATTGCAACTACGCATCTTAAAAACTATAGTCCCAGAACAAATTAAAAACTTACACAGGGATTCTGATTATCATAACCTATTCGATTACTGCAAAATTATACCGGTGCATAAAAAAGTAGAATATACTCTCTTAAATGAAGAATTTTTTAATGAAGATTTAAAAAAATATGGCATTTCTAACTATTCTAAAATCCGCAGTGCGGCCAAACCGAAATTAGATAAACCTAATTATAATAATTTATACGGAAAACATACTTTAGAATACATGGTTCCGAATTTAATTAATCATTTACCAATTATTTTCAAAATGAAATTAATCATAAAAATATTAAACACAAATTAAAAAACTATTATAGGAACTGTATTATATCAGACTTAAAAAATAATAAAATTAAATACTATAATCCCCAATAACTATATTTCCTATATTTACCTATATGATATACAATCTAAGAATAATCATTATATTCGATTACTATTAAATATTAAGTAACTAACTAATTGATACCCCCTGTATACGCAACGCAGGAACGACCGGTTTTTGACGCAGTGAAGTGGGCGGTGACAAGACTCACACCTTTCTTGTTCACTATGAGGTTACTACGTATGTATTGCCGATTTACCGCGTGTTGACCGTGCCAATTGCTGTTTAGTGTTTAATAATGTTGCGTTAAACATATTTTTGTAGATTAAGGTGTAGCTCATATTTAAAAAAAAAATTATGTCGGCGGTCTGTGGTACACGGTAAAGTTTTTCATTAAGCTTATGTTGTACCATATTATATCCTTTTTATCATGTATAATATGTTAAATAAATAAATAAATAAATTTATTTTATATCATCACACGTCCCTCTCTTCTTCATCTTCTGATTTGTATGATGATATGGATTAATGGATATTCTTACACTGCCACTACATGATACATGAAGAATATGCAGTTACAATAAAATGATACTTACGACGAGCTCTAATGTTCTGAGCTCAGCAAACTAACTTAATAATAATAATGTCCTCCAGACCGCATTTCGGTCACGGCGGCCTGCTTCAACGGAGACTAGGCATCTGCCAGGACAGGATTATAATGCACGAGTGTATACGTAAGAACAGGTGCACTCTCTATTGCCTCACTCTCATGGTGCGATGGGACGATAAGCCGACACAACCGGAGAGAGATCAAGCGCAGGACCAGTTAAGGTTGTTGAGGATTTCTTGACAGAGTCAATTGAAAAAAGTGAAAGAAGCCTTCTTTTCTTCAAATCCAACCGCACGTGAAGATAAATAATTCTATAAACACCCTGACTATTTTTTTAAAGACGTATGTAAAACTATTCACTTTTAATTTTAAAAAAAACTAAATCGATTAAATAATCTAGGAAATTAAGTATAAATAACCTATATAATCGTAGCTTCTTTTAAAGTAAAATACTTGATAACCAAATTGATATTGATGACCAAGTTATTATTACAAATGAAACTAAATAAATTTCTTACCCTCCAATGAAAAATGCTTGTTTAACTCTGTCATATCCCAGTCTTCGTTGTCGTGGTTAATTTTACTGCAAAAATGATATGTATTTAATTAAAAAACATTAAACAGTAAACTCATATCAAACTAGTTTATAAAGATGCACTATATAGTACCTACGTACTAGAAATAGGCCCAGCAGTGGGACTTCTATTAACTTTATATAGAATTCATTGTTGCCTACTTACCTCAAAATGAAGTAATTCAGTCCGGGACAGCGTATCAGTACATCCTCGTACAACGCTTGCACCAAGCATTGGCCTTCTGTTCCTTTTGCAGTTTTTACCAAAGCCTCCACAGTTTCTTTGAATCTGAAATTGATCATCTTTAGAGCATTACCTATTTATTATAAATGCATCACCACCACACACAATATCATTCTATCGCAAGCTAAATCCTATGGATGCATATATTAGTCTCTATTCAAAGATGCAACATACCCATTAATGTGGCAACATTCGTCCACAAACAGCCTGCAGGCTTCCACCAGAAAGGGGGTCAGATCGCTGATGCGGCCCAGCATCGGCACCAGCAACTCGGACATGGTGGCCGCGAAATCGAACCCGCTACTCGTCCGTGAATTCAGTGCAGACATAACTTGGAGACAAAGAGCGGATGCCACCTCAGGAGAGCTCTGGATAGGGGAATAATAAGAATAAATATAGCTTTATTGTACACTATAACAACTTTATTGTACAATATAAATAAAAAAGGTAAATGAAAGCGGTTATACAATCATACAACAAAGAAAGGGCGACCTTATTGCTAATAGCGACAAGGTTGAATATTTAATGTTCACTCTATTCATTACATGCTTTCTCTATAAATTTTCTCATGTGGAGTTTTCCATAGGTGCCACGTCTGGCAAGGGGATTGGTAACCTCAGTTTTTTTTATTAATTTCAGCTGCTGTTTATTGTTACCAGGATGATGCTGCAGCCCATCTCCCGATTTGTTTCCTTCTGTCGCTCTTACAACACCCAGGGCATGATATAGGATAGTGGATATTCTTACAACACCCAGGGGATGATATAGGATAGTGGATATTCTTACAACACCCAGGGGATGATATAGGATAGTGGATATTCTTACAACACCCAGGGGATGATATAGGATAGTGGATATTCTTACAACACCCAGGGGATGATATAGGATAGTGGATATTCTTACAACACCCAGGGGATGATATAGGATAGTGGATATTCTTACAACACCCAGGGGATGATATAGGATAGTGGATATTCTTACAACACCCAGGGGATGATATAGGATAGTGGATATTCTTACAACACCCAGGGGATGATATAGGATAGTGGATATTCTTACAACACCCAGGGGATGATATAGGATAGTGGATATTCTTACAACACCCAGGGCATGATATAGGATAGTGGATATTCTTACAACACCCAGGGGATGATATAGGATAGTGGATATTCCTACAACACCCAGGGGATGATATAGGATAGTGGATATTCTTACAACACCCAGGGGATGATATAGGATAGTGGATATTCTTACAACACCCAGGGCATGATATAGGATAGTGGATATTCTTACAACACCCAGGGGATGATATAGGATAGTGGATATTCTTACAACACCCAGTGGATGATATATTATAGTGGATATTCTTACAACACCCAGGGCATGATATAGGATAGTGGATATTCTTACAACACCCAGGGGATGATATAGGATAGTGGATATTCTTACAACACCCAGGGGATGATATAGGATAGTGGATATTCTTACAACACCCAGGGCATGATATAGGATAGTGGATATTCTTACAACACCCAGGGCATGATATAGGATAGTGGATATTCTTACAACACTCAGGGGACGATATAGGATAGTGGATATTCCTACAACACCCAGGGGATGATATAGGATAGTGGATATTCTTACAACACCCAGGGGATGATATAGGACAGTGGATATTCTTACAGCACCATTACAGGTGTATATTTATACCTACGACTAATTTAAGCTAGACTTAAAATACCCTGACCAGCGACGGGTAGAAGGCGTGAAAGGTCCAAGAAGTATGGTTCTATCAAAGTCAGTCCACTATTTTTTTTATTTGAAGAATAAGGGTGAGAAGCGAGCACATGATCCACCTAATGGCAAATGGATGCTGTGGCCCGTAAACATCTACATTTATCCTCGATTAAGAATCAAAATGCAGATTCTTTGTAACGCCTGAGGATTAAGATGGAATGTCCCGTTTCCAGGTAAAAGGGTCTCCCGTTCGCTACTCACCATACGAAAACTATTTTACTCTGGTATTCTGTGAAAGCGTGGCCCTGCACTGTGAGAGGTTCTCGTCCACCATTAAGAATTTTTTCCAAAATAAAAACTGTAAACCCTCTGCCACAAAACAAAAAGAGCTGATCTTCAAACGGCTGAACAGATTTCTTGAAACATAGCTAAGAACACTCGCGATTAAGACAATTCAATTCAAAATAACTTTATGTCTTAATATTTTAAGACCAATTTACATAGTTAAATGAATAAAACTATTTGTCTGTTTCCTACACAAAAGAAATAATCCTAGGTGATTGAAGGTCAAAAAATAAAGAATTTATACTTTTTAGTACGAATGGATCAGCTCGACCGGGGAACCACCGCGCTCGCACATAATCATCTGCATGTGTCAATCATGAATGATTCGTTCGTTTGAGCTGATAAACTTAAACGTATTAATCCAATGTATTGAACCAATCACAAACAATTGACGGAACCTTTTTAACTCATGATTAGTGTGAATGAGTCGAAAGCCGACCGAACCTAGAATGATCTGAATGAATTATTTTTAGTGTAGAGTACTGGAGCCCGAAATGATCCATTTGAATGATCGATCGTGACGAAATGTACTAGAATGGGTGCGTTTGGCAGAAAAAAGCGCTAGCAAGCGCTTGTAAGCAAAATGGCGATCGTAAGCGGTAAGCGCTGTCAAATCGTAAGTAGCTATTTTCCTCTAGGACACGATGTTAGTTTTAACCGGGGAACCTAACCTAATTTAAATATATGTTTGTAAAGTATTCATATTAAAAACTTACCAATCATGAATTTTTAATAACATGTATATGTCTATTCATGTCATTATATTACTTAAACTAATATTGCACACAACAACTTATAAACTCTACTTCAACACAAACAAATTAAATAAGCAAAATGCCGGATTGTGTCAGCGCTACTGAAGTTTGCAAACGTGTCCTGGCCGAAAACTGTATAGTTTCACCATTTTGCTTATAAGCGCTTGCTAGCGCTTTTTTCTGCCAAACGCACCCAATGATTCGGTCACAAGAAATGAATGATTGACACATGTGTAATCGGCATATTGATTTTAAATTGCAGGCTCGACTGTGTGCTCGTTTGTTACCTTCATTCTAAAAAAAAGGGAGGAGGTAATTAACAAAGGGCTACATCACCTTTGCAAACTGCAACAGAGCTCCAAGTGCATCGTCCACCGATTTTATTTCCTCTGTAGTTGCATTATCTAAAATAAAAATTAACATGAATTAAGCTGTATGTATGAGAGTTCTTGTTCATCGTCATTAGCATGTAAAAAATAATATAAAATTTGACCTCCTCAAAATTCAAAAATTTTTATTACACTAAGTTTGTTTATAAAGGGTTATTATAATATTAAGGAATTTATGGAAGATAATAACCCCTGGGAAGGGTGATCGCTACCAAGCTATTTCTAATTTGTGTTGTTAATTGTGTGATATATAAGCTGTTTTTTTTTAATATGTCCCGCTGGGTTCCTTGGTGGTTATTCCCAGGCAGAGGCGTTCTCCGAACCAGAAGTAAATCGTATAGACAGAAATCATGAACGATTCGTTCGTTTGAGCTGGTACACTTAAAAGTATTGATGGTTCATTCATGCATTCATTCATCTGTTTTTTAACGATCCGGTACAACCAATCACAAACAATTGACGGTACCTTTTTAACTCGCGATTAATGTGAATTATGAATGAATCGAAAACCGACTGATCCGCGATCCGACCACTTAAAAACGAGGATATCAAAATAAAGTTGAAGTGTCTGTTTGTAATGTCAAAATAACAGCTTTTAAGTAAATGCATATAAAAGTATATACCATACTTATTACAAAAAAAAAACAAAGTTTTAAATGTTTGTCTGTGTGTTTGTTCCGGTTAATCTCCGAAACGACTGGATCGATTTTAACGGGAATTTCACTGTCAGATAGCTGATGTTATAAGGAGTAACTTAAGTTACTTTCATTTCAGATAAAGAATTAGAGTTCCGCGAAAAAATTAAAACCTATGAAATTCAATCGTAATAAATGAGGTGGTACTTTTAAAACCTTGACTATTCCACTTTTTGTGTTTTTGTATATTTAAAGAAATATAATTTTAAGAGCACAGTTATGTGTTTAATATAAAATGTTGATGAATTGAGGAGGTACTTTTCAAAACTTGACTATTCCATTTTCGCCCAAAGTAGATTTTTTAATGTTTTTAGGTTGTTTACATTGAAATGTATATGCATCGAAAACAAAATCCTGACAAAACGTGATAGATCTACTAGAAAAATATATTTAAAAACGCATGATTTCGTCAAAAGTAGATTATTCCTAAAAAAAGAAGGTTAAAAATAAGGATTTAAGAAATTGAAACAAAACATGATTAATCCAGAAGATATTTTTTTATCACTGGAAATTGTAACAAAACATGTTTTTTCCTCATATTTTTAAGGTGGTTGTTTTTATGTTCCAAATATTTTTGTCTGTCGCGGTCAGTTGCAGTTTATAAAACTTTTATGCGTTGCGAATTGTGTTTTCGACACTTCGAGGATCAAAATAATTTTGAGAAATGCAGTCTCAAACAACAGTACAAGATATAAATACAGGTTCAAGAAGTAGAAAGCGCGGACGACAAAATCGAAAGAAGTAAGATTTTGTGTCTTAAACCTAGCGACAAATCTATAGTTCTATAGTCTTAAAACTTCTGCATTTATGAGATAATTCAATGTAATTTTTTATTAACGTGGTCTATATTTTTGCTTCAGGGACTATTCGTACTGTGACCCATGTACACTTGCATTTGAAAAGCCTTGTAATCATAGCGAAAACAGCAAATTTCATTGCAACAAATTCGTAAGAAGAGATATTTTGAAAAGTCATAAGGCATTGTACAAAAACCAGTCCAAAGTGGACCAGGATGCTTATTTGTCGAGATTAATTTCGGTATATGAACCTGTTCGTCGTCGCAACAGTAAAACAAATCCCACGAAGCCCAGACCTAAGCAATAATCAGCCACTTTTTTCTACTGAGAAATGGTGATCCTAAGGGAGTATGCAAGAGATTTTTTTAAAAGCTTTAGGATTAAACAGAGGTAGAGTGGATATTCTTGTGAGAAGACTAGGCAATGAGGATGTGATAAGAGAAAATAGAGGTGGAGACCGAAAAAGGAAGAAATCAGCACATGTCAAGCAGAATATTATTGAATTTATTAATAATTTTGAAGCTGTTGAATCTCATTATAATAGGGCAAAATCCAAGCGTATATACCTTAGTTCAGAACTAAATGTAGCTAAACTAAGAAAAATGTACAATGAAACAGTAGAGATTTCATTCAGAGCTAAAAAAACTTTTTTCAGATCAGTGTTTATAAACAACTTTAACATCGGGTTTCAGTCTCCATCGTCAGATGTATGTACTTATTGCACATTATTAAAAAATAAAATAAAAACTGCTACAGGTTCCGTACATGTAGCAGTTTTTATTTTATTTTTTTTAAAGTTAATTTAATGACTGAAAAAAAATCCATAGCAAAAGGGCTAGAGCATTTTATGACTTAATGAAGAAAGAAGAACAAGAAGGTTCTTTAACATTCTGTTTCGATCTGCAACAGGTTCAGCCACTCCCCCGAACTCCGATTCAAGAAGCATTTTATAGTCGACAGATTAGCTTCTATATATTTTGCATTGTAGCCAAAAAATACTAAAAATCCTTTATTCTACAATTGGTCTGAAATATAAGCAAATAGGGGCGCAACAGAAATCGGTTCTGCTTTAATTTTGCAACCGAAAATAACGCAAAATTAAAAAAGTGATAAAGTTATTAAATAATATTACATATAATATTAGAATGATTTAATAAATAAATAAAGAATTTTATTAAGTAAAACACCATTTTAAATTAATTTCAACAAAATAAGATTAATCCACAATGGTTTGAATCAAAACTAGATTATTCCTTTGAAGCACATAACAAAACTTGATTATTCCAATCAGCCTAGCCAAAACTTGATTATTCCATTTTAAACTTCTAGATTTATTCTATATTACATTACTGCAAAAAATTTGAAAGTCATACAAAATAATCACTATTTTTGTTGTATATTATAAATATTACGCGGACGGAGTCGCTGGAATATCTAGTTAAACGTAACAGTGACTTTCAATAAGTATTATTTATGATCTATTATTGAATAAAAAAGTGTTCTATTCTGTTTCAAAGATTTGAACATGGTCCACCTATTTGTACAGATGTGACTCAATGTCTTAATCAGCTTGCTTGACAAGTGGGTCGACTGTTTTGGTACTAGACTTTCGTAGGTGTATTCCCCAGACGTAAAATATTCCAGATATTACACCTAGCGTAAAGGAGATGTCTTTGCATTAAAACTAGGATATTATTAGAACCAGAGTGACCTACATAGCCCAACGGATTAGTAAGCTGAAGTGGCAACGAGCCGACCAACCCGGGTAAAATTGTTAATTGCAATTTTGTTAAGTGCTGATAAACCACGTGCTCGGCGGCGAAAGAAAAAATCGTGAGGAAACCTGCATGTCTGAGGAATAAGAAAAAAGATCTTTCGAAGAAATGTGAAGTTCGCCAACACGCATTGGGGCAGCGCGGCAGACACTTCCTTGCCCTAAAACTCTCTGAAATGAGCGGAGGCCTGTGCCCAGCTGTGGGACGTATATAGGCTGTAACTTTAACTTTACTCGCCAGATGTTGCTAGTTGGGATTAAAGTGCAGTGTTTTAGGAAACTCAAGATCAGCGTAGTAAACCAATATGGCAGGTTTTACTTACACCGAAAGAGGTGAATGCCCAAGAGTGGGCTTTGGTAGAAATATATACACATAAAACTTGAATATGTGTGTAAATGCCTCGTTGGTCTAGCGGTTGTATTAGTGGGACTGCTGATCATGAAGACCTGGGTTCCAATCCTGGGTCGGGCCAAAATATCAATTATTGAGTTTTTCTGTCAAGAAATTCGCAGTAGCTGCCCGGAGTCAGGTAGTTGGCGGTGTCTCACCCCCGCGCCTAGAAAAGCACGTAAAGCCGTTGGTCCTGCACCTGATCTCTTTCTGGTCGTGTCGGTTTACCGTCCCATCGTACTATGAGAGTGAGGCAATAGAGTGTACCTGTGCTTGCACACACACTCGAGTACTGTAATGGAGTCCTGCGCCGATGGCTAGCCTATGTTGAGGCTGGCCGCCGTGGCCGAAATTCGGTCTGGAGGACATTGTTATTATTATTATGTGTATGAAATCTATTTTATTTGGATATATCGTGCGCTACATATTAACTTTTCACCTTGGTTACTCGCAGGCCGGCTTGCAGTTCTTGCTACCGTTTTAACTGTGGCCGCCGATGAAGTGCTGAAATTAATACCAACAAATATACTACACCGAATTATTTGTTAGTTAGTTCCTTTTCAAAAACTTAACGCTGTTTCTAGTTCGAATTCCCGCTGCAAATTTTATTTTTCGACGATAAAAACTCCTATATTACTACCGATCGTCTCCGCGGCGCAGTGGCTTAGCAATGGGTTTGCAGCGCTGAGGGTCGCGGGATCGAATCAAACTCGGAACAAGTATTCGGCCTATAAATAATTGTTCCGAGTCTGGATGTTTGTCCTTGTTAGACATAAAAAAATATCCAGGGTAAGATCTACCTGTCTAACAAATATTACCTCAATAACTTTAGTCGTTTATGACAGACGCCGTTACACAGGAGTAGTCGGAGACTGTAGAGCAAGGCATGGATTGTGTTCTGGTTCTTACCCGAAAAGGAGAAAGAGGAATTGTCCTCTCCTAAGGAAGGGCCGCCATGAGGCCATGAGAGGAAACTCTACGGCGTTTTAATGTGCATAGAGATTTACCCCGTGTTAAAAAAGCACGAAGGTCTGCAAGTCGTAGTTTTGAGCTTGATAGGAAAGATTAAACTCACCTCTCCAAAGGTTGATCTCTAAGCAGAGTCCGCTTGAAAGCCTCATTCTCCCTCAGATCCTTGAAGAATATATCAAGCAAGACGGACACGCAGACAGACACGTACTTCTCACTGCACGCAGCATGCAATACGGGCAGGTGAACGGTGATGATGAACGTCTCGCAGAACCTGTGAAAATTAGGGGTTTGTTTCGTGTACTTAAATGTGTAACATATTATATCATTGTAAGCTGTTCTTTTTTCAAAAAAAAATGTTTCACCGAGTTTCTCATTCTCTTTAAGTCTTCATTACGTATTTTGTTAAACCAGTGGTAAATAAAACACAAGTATGACTTTAGAGTATAATAGAGATATTAGTTATATTTTATACTACCTGGCTCGACAGACTTCTTTCCGGTTGGTTACGCAATGAGTTTCATTTTCACACACACAGACACACACTTTTCTATAGACTTATTTAACGTAATACGTATAGATACTCTTTATTGACTGACTAAAAAAAACATAACACCTTCTTTTTTAATCTTCCGTAAGCGGATAGTGCCTACATGTTATGAGCCATCATTTACTGCGTACACACCACTAATTTTTCTACAGATTTATTGTATGTAAAGAAAATATAAAGATTAAAATGGATAAATCTAAATTCAGTCTTAAAATTAAAGAATTAACATGAGTTTAAAATTTGCACAAAGTTAATGGAGCACACACACACACACGCACGCGCACGGGCACGCGCACGCACACGCACACGCACAAACGCACGCACGCACGCACGCACGCACGCACGCACACGCACACACGCACACGCGTGACATTTATCCTCGATTAAGAATTTATTTCCTAATTCTTAATCGAGGATAAATGTCACGAAATATACCAAAAACATACCAAGCGAACGGCACAGTGTGAAAATCTCAACTATTTCAGGATATATTACTCGAAATTATTTACGTAGAAGATTATTAATCATACAAAAACTTTCATTACAATTTTATAATAAAACAATATACTAAAATACTAATGAAACACTAGAAAAACCCAAAAATCAACACAACAACATCCAAATGAAAATGGCGTACGTAATGAACGTAGAATATAAATTAATATCCAGAGACTAATTGGTTTTTTATTCCACTAGGGGATAGAAAATTTTATATTGATTCTATAATGCCAAACATCTTCATAGAAAAGTAGTCTCAAAACATAAGTATTTATGGGTTAAAATGTGTGTAAAGCTGTGGATGGGTGCAGTCAAATTTGACCTATTGAATTTTGACGGAATATCGAAGCGGTCAAATTTGGACGCTTGGCGTTTGAGAGGTTAATTTGGACAAATTTCAATACAACGTGCCGCTGCGATGGTGACTTTATTCTAACATACATATGCGTTTTCACATTTTCATTTCATGAAGATATTATACTTCCATTAAGTCATTATTTACGGATTTATTTGAAATTTTAGAAAATAGCATCTTAGAGCAACCTGTACTTAGAGAACTGTCGCGCAGCGGTCATTTGGCGGGGTCACGGATCATAACATCGCATCATTGAAATTAAAACGAATAAGCAATACTATTGAACGAAAGAAACTTTGTCAGCAAGCGGGCGGCGCAGGCGACGTGTGCCCCTCACCCCGCCGCACCGAAATCGAATTATTTTTTTGCATTTCTAGTGGTCGCCGAAACCGTGTCCTTGACACTCATCTTCACAGTAGTGCCCATAATTACGTCGACTAATATTTTTGTGAATGTTTCCGCGAAGAAGTCGCTTTACCTATCGATTTATTTATTAATTATTCTGTAATTAGGTTATGGTACTGAGATAAAGACGCTTTGTTTTGTTTTCGTTTTCTAATCTAGTAGGTACGTTTACATCACTTGTGATACGGACGCTTTTATTTGTGTTATTAGTGCTTGTATAAACTTGTTATCGTAATGGCAAATACACATCCGAACTACACAGCAGCTGAATATGCGGACATTAAAAGCGCAAAAAGTGGTACCCATTCAAGGTTAGAAAAGTACATACGCGTGATAAATTAATAAGAGTGAATTATTGTCAGTGGTTACTGAGTAAAATTGAAGAGGACTGTGACTTTCTTTCCCAAATTTGTTGGACTGACGAAAGCACGTTCACCAGAAACGGCATTTGAAACCAGCACAATCTGCACCATTGGGCACTCTAACACCGAAATCTGCGCGTTTGGCGGGAGTCAACTCATCGCATCAGTAGATACGGACCATCACGAGTACAAGGTTGTAGGTATATTATACCAGACGCGTTGCGCGGTTGCCAGCTCGCGCAACGACTCGTTGCCGCTCCGACTTAACAAGGTAATTTTATTAATGAATTTTTGCAAGGGTGATCCCAATTTTAGTTACATTTTTATTATTTAGTTTCTTTGAAATTTTTTTTTTTACAATTTACGAGTTATTTTATCCTACCAAATTTAATATGATCAATGGGGACTAAGCCCTACCCGTGTGTAATATTAAAGTCACCATTGTAGCTGCAGGTTGTATATCGCCAATTTGACTGATAAACTTTCGCCTGGGACGTCTCTTTCAGACTCTTTCGTTCACTTCTGCAACAAACATTTGCTGCAGAGTGTGGTTTGTAAGATGATGCTATGACCAGGATTAAGAAAGGAATGCTTTGGTGGTTAGATCATGTAGAAAGAACGAATGAGGAAAGAGTGAATGAATGAAATTTTTTATAGAATAAATGTGACACGAGCACAGTCCACCTGATGGTACGTGGATGTGGCTCAGATATTTACATCAATCGTTTTAAGAATTAAAATGCTAATGTGTTGTCATTCCTGCGGACTAAGATGAAATGCCTCGTTAGTAGTAAATGTAGTCTCTGGTTCTTTACACTCACCATACGAAACACAGCAGCATTGAGCTGCTATTTCACGCTGGTATTATGTGAGAGCGTGGTCCTTCGAGCCGTCTCATTCTTACTAAAATCATAACATCAAGCTCAAGCGCGTCTCCACTACGTATAATTTTTGCAGCTTCCTCTTCCATACAGATCACAGCCTATTCTCAACTGACCTCTTAACTAGTCCAGCGGCTGTCAAATGCCGGCTCATTGCATCTCGCAGGTCTCCAGTATCCGGCTCGCAGACCAAGCCAAGTCCGAACGCCGCCATTGGCTTATTGAACCCGACATCTCGCATCAACGGATTGTTCAACTTTGCTGGCCGTTTGGGATTCGATTCCTCTGCACTGGGTACAATTAGACCTGCAAATTGTGGTAACAAATCAAATCAATTTTATTGTGGTCGACGGAATAGAAAGTGTTTTACAAGGAATAAATTCAGTGGTGATATTCAAGCTGCCGTTCTGTGCTAGGCAAGTACATTTTTAACTATGAAAATATAATTAAAATTTATTTGTAATGAAGGAAAAGCACTAAAACAAGTAATATAACATAATAAATAAACAGAAAAACCTTTTAAAGGAAGCAAGTATTATATTGAAATTTATATTGAATATTATTGAAAATAAATGTACCTACGACAAATTCAATGTTACTAGGTTAGGTTAACGCCGCGCCACGCCAAGCGAGCGAGCGTTGTTAGTCGTTTTAGCTGGCGGATGAGGGGTTAAAGTCCACTACGGAACATAGCCCCCCCTCCAAGATTGCCTCTGGGCGGGGGGTGTTTGCCATACTTGCCACGCTTGGCAAGCGAGTTGGCTACCGCATTTTTTTATTTTTAGTCGTTATTACACGCTGCTGCCCATCTCCTGTTTCAATTTCACAACACTTAATCTAAAATATAAAACATACATTCTAATAACTGTTTACCTTCAAAAGCCTTCAATAACACACCCAAAGCCGCTTTCCTGACCTTCCAGACGGGATGAGAGCAGTGCTCCACGCACTGCAAGATCACCCTCCTCTTCAACTGCTCTCCCATCACCAGCAGGCCATTCATCACCAAGCCCAACACGATCTCATCACCTCGCACCATCAACTCCGATATCTCTATCGTTTCAAACATTGCCGTTATGTCTTCATCACGTGACGCTTTAGCAATGTACATGGACAGGATTTCTAAACACTTTGTTTTGTTCCGACCGACCACTTTTGTAGCTAAGTCCGTCACTCTCCTGGAAATATCAAAGGAACTTGATTCCTGTTGTATAAAGACTCCTAAAAGAACTAAGGGACGCATCCCACTGCTGTTTCCAGGCCTATTTTCGAGTGGGTTATGGAGCGAGGAACAGTCCGCTAATACGAGTTGGTAGACTTGGCATATCTTCAATGATAGCATCTACTCTTTCTGCCACCAGGGCTGCACCACTTAGAAGTGGGGGGGGGGGATTTAGATTGTTAGAAAAGTGTAGATTTTTTTATAGAATAAGGGTGACAAACGAGCACAGTCCACCTGATGATAAGTGCATGCTGTGGTCCATAGACATCTACATCCATCCTCGACGAAGAATCAAAATGCAGATGCGTTATCACCGCTGAGGACTAAGATGGAATGCCTAGTTTTCAGTAAAAAAGGGTCTCCGGTTCTCTACACTCACCATACGGAACAGCAGCATTAAGCTACTATTTCACGCAGGTATTCTGTGAGAACGTGGTCCTTCCCCGGTCGAGCAGACACATTCGTGCTACAACCATAATATAGCCGCAGCGTGGTTCAACCGCGAAAATTCATTTATAGGTAATAGTAATTTTATCAAATGTCATGTAAAATAGACGCTATATGTCTTAAACACGACTAATTTAATAAAAGATTCTGTCTCATTCTCTCGTAGGCTAAATCCTATAGATGTATGTCTGTCTCTTTAAATTTCCCTGTTCCATCGAGTTTCAAATCACAACGATTTTAAAGAAGTTTTCACTTCAAAAACTCACCTGAAATGAAGTCCATCGCAAACTTCAGGGAACTCAACCTGCGCGTTATACAAAAGCTTGATATACTCAGAGACGTCGCTTTTGTTCTTCTCTAGAACATTCCGGTATCTCTTCAACATTTCAAACCTGGTACTGACTGGAGCAGCTGCCAGCGCACGGCCGAAGAGTTGAGCCAGTTGACCCAAATCGACCTGGTTAGCCAAGTTGGCTAAGCGGCTGTTCCGGTCCTGTCTGGACTCGAGAGTCTGAATCAGATTGGGCAGCAGCTCCGGTATGTGTATCTTTCTTTTGGTTATGTTCTTAAGGATTTGGAGGTAGGTCTTAGGGGCGGATGTGTTTCGAGCTGAAGAAAAATATTTTAAAGATCAGTCAGTGACATTGGCACTCGTGTTGCAAATGTTTAAGGTGATAGGACTTTTTAAACCTCGAAGTCAGTTCAGTTATGAATAAAATGCGATTTAAATAAGAATATGAATGTCAATGACTTCGAATGACCGCGATCTGTCAACTGTCACTCGAAAAGTACGATTTGCAAAGAAAATTGATTTTCCATTTTTATATACAATATATAACGTAATTGTCGCACACCCTCAGACACTCCAATTAGTATGTTATAATCATAACACATACACTGAATTTTTAGTTAAACATTTTTTTGCACCGATTATAATCAGTGCAAAATTAATAATAATAATAATAATTTGATAAATAATTATTTATCAAATTAGTTATACTAATTCCGGAAGAATGTTGTGGTCACAGTACCAATCCACGAACGCAAAGACTTTAACGTGCTTGAAATAAAGTTCATTTTTCTTTATTTTTATTGAATGACAGAATTAGTAATAATACAAATAAAGCTGCACTCTTAAAAGTCTTTTTGCCTTAAGTTACGGTCCATTTCAGTTACTGTACAGATTTCACAGATTCATCATCATCATCATTACAGCCCTTTACAAGTCCACTGCTGAACATAGGCCTCCCCCAAGGTATGCCACCCACGGTCCTGAGCCACCTGCATCCATCGACTTCCTGCATGTCTTACCAGGTCGTCACTCCATCTAGTGGGGGGTCGCCCCACATTTCGTCTACCGGTACGAGGCTGCCACTCGAGAACCTTTTGTCCCCAACGGTTGTCGGTTCTTCAAGCTATATGGCCGGCCCATTGCCACTTCAGTTTACTAATCCGTTGGGCTATGTCGGTCACTCTGGTTCTACTGCGGATATCCTCATTTCTAAGTTTATCACGCAGAGAAACTCCGAGCATAGCCCTCTCCATAGCTCGCTGAGCGACTTTGAGCGTCCTCATACGGCCAGCAGTGAAGGACCACGTCTCAGTTCCATATGTCATCACTGGCAACACGCACTGGTTGTACAACTTAGTTTTCAGGTTTTGAGGTATACCTGACGAGAAGATGCGTTGTAATTTCCCGAACGCTGCCCAGCCGAGTTGAATCCGTCGATTGACCTCTCGGTCGAAGTTGGACTTACCTAGCCGGACTATTTGTCCCAGGTAAACGTACTCGTCAACAACTTCGAGCTTAGTGCTACCAACAACTACCGGCATAGGTGTGACATGGACATTAAACATGATCTTTGCTTTGTCCATGTTCATCTTAAGACCTATCCGTTGGGAGGCACTATTGAGGTCATTGAACATAGTGCTTAAGTCCTTCAGCGATTCTGCCGTAAGGACTATATCGTCGTCAAATCGAAGATGAGTGATGTACTCGCCATTGATGTTAATACCGTATCCTTTCCAGTCCAGTAGCTTGAAAAAAATGTACAGATTTAGTGTGACTGTATTTTACGTAGTTTTAATTATTTTTGGGATAAAAAATTACCTATATTAAAAATGATAGGAATCGATTCAGTAAACGATTCTGAACAAACTACTTTCTCAAAGTGCGTTAATTATGTTACATGTTGTATCTACTGGGATGACCTTTTTCACCGTAAGAAAAAATAGGGTGTAACATGTAAACGTAGTAGAAGCCTATGACACTGATATTTAACAAAAAGTAAAAGCAAAAAATTTGAATAAAACGTTTGCTCATTGTACCTAACTGGTTTGAATTGACAGTTATGACGTCATAATCGACGAACGTCGTCGTCGTTGTTGGAAAGAGAGTTGAAGCCATGCACATAACGACCTGTTTATAGTCGATGTTTTAAATAAATTATCTTTTTGTGCTTTTTTGACTTTGAGTAAAAAGCTTTTTAAAACCAACTATGTAAAAAAAATCTATATGAAACTCTGCCAAATTAAACGTAACTAAAAGATAATAAAATAAATTAACTTATCAGTATGACTAGAGGTCACCTATCCTATTTGCTTCCATTTGCGCCTATGCCATCTGCATTTTGATCCTTAATCGATGATGGATGTAGATTTCTATTGGTCACAGTATCCACTTACCATCAGGTGGACTGGTGCTGGTTTGTTACCCTTATTCTACGAGTGGTAAAAATTAAACATTTTGTACAACCGACTTCAATACGACAGAATCAATGTATTCAAAGTCAATTAAATACGCATTATTAAAGACAACTTGAAAACTACTGGTCAGATGTTGATTAAATTTATATGGGACTGCACGAGAAGCACCAGCTCTCAGATAAAAAAAGAATCATAAAAAATCAGTTCACCCAGAGAAAAGTTATGAGGTAACACACATTATAAAAAAACATAGTCGAATTGAATACCTCCCCCTTTTTGAAGTCGGTGATTTAAAAAAACTGCAACCCTGTGTACCTTCCATATAATCCTGAAAGCATGTCCATCCGATCTTCACGACCGTCCCGTACATCTCCAATAAGGAGTTCATCCTCTCTATAAGATCGTTTACTATTTGTTGACGCCGCGCGTTGCGGATACAGGTCGCGATGAGACGCTCTATGGTCACGTTCAGATTGTCTATGGCATCCGACTCCAACTCGTTTGTCTCGCCTCGCCACTGTATGATCGTGTCCAGCTAAAAAAAATTATTATGTGATTTAAATGACCATGATCTATGACCTTTTCTACCACCACGCGGCGCCACTTAGGAATGAGGTTTTTTTTATAGAAGAGGGGGCAAACGACATGCGGATCACCTGATGTTAACTGACTACCGCCGCCCATGGACAACCGCAACACCTAGGGAACTGCAGCTGCGTTGCCGGCCCTTTAGAAAGGAGTAAGCTCTTTTCTTGAAGGTCCCCAGGTCGTATCGGTCCGGAAAAGTCGCCGGTGATAAACAATTCTACGGAGAAGTTGTACGAGGAAGAAAAGGTGAAATATTAGACAGATTTCATAGCGGGGAAGTTGAATTGTTAGGAAAATGTAAGGGTTAATGCTTCTTCGTTTAGAAATTCTTCCGACAGATACCGCTACTAATCTTATATTATACCGTTACAGTCGCAAAGTCCACTGTTTAACACAGGCCTCCCCTACAGATTGCCTCCTAGGGGGATATTTTCCATTGTTGCTACACGTAGGAAGCGGGTTGACAACCTAAGTTTTTTTTATTTTATTTTTAGTCGTTATTGGGTGCGTTTGGCAGAAAAAAGCGCTAGCAAGCGCTTGTAAGCAAAATGGCGATCGTAAGCGGTAAGCGCTGTCAAATCGTAAGTAGCTATTTTCCTCCAGGACACGATGTTAGTTTTAACCGGGAACCTAACCTATTTTAAATATATGTTTGTGAAGTATTCATATTAAAAACTTACCAATCATGAATTTTTAATAACATGTATATGTCTATTAAAAACAACTTATAAACACTACGTCAAAACAAACAAATTAAATAAGCAAAATGGCGGATTGTGTCAGCGCTACTGAAGTAGCAATCGTGTCCTGGCCGAAAACTATTTTAGCGTTAGTAAGCGCTTACTAGCGCTTTTTTCTGCCAAACACACCCATTATCAAGACGCCCATCTCCTGATTTCACTTACGACACCCACGGGATGAAAATAGGCTAGTATTATTTCAATACTCACAATTTGCACATGCAGACCGTTCAGCACCCCTCCCGCCCCATCGCTGGACGTTTGTACGATCATCTCCAGCAACGCCGGCCGTAGAATGCTGGCGTGACTCTTCACATCTTCAGTACAATTGCAAATCACCTAAAAACGTACATAGTACACAATATTCAAAAAAGATGGTTCGCTTCGCCCCTTGTTTACGACGTGCTTTGCGAGAAAAACATCATGAAGAAACCGGGTATGTCAGAGGCATAAACATATTTCGGAACACATATTTATCCCCGAGGATTAATATGGAATGCCTTGTTTCCAGTACAGCCGTATTAAGCTGCTATTTTACGCTGGTATTCTATGAGAGCGTGGTCCTTCCTCGGTCGAGCAGACACATTCGTGCTACAACCATAATATAGCCGCATCGTGGTTCAACCGCGAAAATTCATTTATAGCTCATTCTCTCGCAGGCTAGTATATATATATATATATATATATATATATATATATATATATATATATATATATATATATATATATATGGCTGTTTTTTTTTTATTTATTGTGGCTGGCACTGGCTACAAGGTTTTTGGCCAAAATAAATAAATACATGCCTTTATATATTTTACAACACATATATATGTATACATACAGGTTGTTAGTGTAAACACCGTTATCCTTGAAACCAGTGGTTTGGTTTCACTTATAGAACTTCACTAATATATGTGTATTTGTATATTATTCACTTATAGTATGTAATGTTGTGTCACAGACTTTGACGGCGGCTTAAATCAGTAAACAGTCAACGATTGTATTCTTTCATTTTTCTTTTTTAATTTTTTTTTAATTTATTTTATGTACACACATTAAGATACAGAAGCAGTCTTATAGTAATTACGTACAAAGGTTCTACTTATTCCAAATTAGTTGAAATATCTTCCAATAGACCCATAAAGGAAATTATATTGAAATTGCAAACTTAGTGCAAACATTAGTACTACTAAAAAATAAATAATATACACAATGTTACGTAAATTATATAAAATAAAACAATAAATAAAAATAAAATAAATCAATAAATAATAATAATAATAAATACGATAGTTACATATGATATATATAAACTAAAACTAATATAATAGAATAATATATATAAATTAACAGGATGCAAAGTAGTTATCTCCAAGACATTTCTTGAATACCAACAAAGTTTTTTCACATATCTTATATTTGACGGTAGTGAGTTCCATAATGTTACCGCGTGAACTGAAAAGTAGTATAGTAAAATCCGGAATTATAGACGGGAAAGTCAAGAGGATTTTTAACAAGGGATCTGCATAGTTTGTCCGGAGACTGGGGGAAGGAAAATCGGCTTCTGAGGTATGTGGGAGAGGAAGGGTTGTGCAAAATGTTATAGAGGAGACAAAACAATAGAGTGTTCCTTCGAAGTCGAATTGGGAGTCACTTGAGTTGCTTACGAAACTGAGATATACGGTCAAATTTCTTGAGCCCAAATATAAAACGGATATCATATAATATATAGCATAATCAAGGAGAGGTAGTATAAGAGTAAGCACGAGTGATATTTTAGCTTTAAGGGGCAAGAAATTTTGTAGACATTTAAGCGAATGCAAAGTAAAGTAGACCTTGCGACTAACTTCAGCGATATGCGTGGTCCATGTTAAATGGTGATCAAATATGACGCCTAAGTTTTGACAGTATTGGCAAAGGGTATAGGAACGCCATTAAAACAAACAAAGGTTACTTAAATAAAAATGTACCCTCAACATGTATATGAATAGTAAAATTGGCATACCTGTGCGAGGAGCCACTTGACGTTGTGATGCAGGTGAGCCCTCAGGGCAGCAGCGATTCTGTGCTGCCACGAGCTGATGGGCAGGAGGCAGATGCGGCTGGTGGCAGCCGTCAGCGTGGCAGCACAAGCGTGCTCGTTCACAGAGCTCTCAGACACCGACATCTCATGACCGTCGTCCTGACCATTAATAATAATAATAGTAAATTTACTGTTTATTTTCCCCCACATATAATCAGTAATTTTCAAGAAACTGAGTAATAGTAAACTTAACTATAAATAACAGCTATAAATTCTAACTAAATAAGATTTAGGTGGGAGACCGGTATCCAAACTAGGTTGCCCTTAGCACATATGGGATCACCCCCCCCCCCCCCCCCCAACAGAAGTGATATTGCTGTAAAATATTTAATAAAAATTACACCCATTTGTAATAAAATATATTAAATAAACTTGTTCAATTTGGAGAAAACGTATAAAGATTATAAAAAGATACTAGGTATATTTATCCCTACTTTAATGTGTGGTAGTGAAAGTTGGGTGTGGCAGAAGAAGCACGAGACGTGCTTAAATGCAGTAGAAATGCGGTCTTTAACCTGGGCTGAATTTGAATGACAGGGTAAGAAATTGCGTGATAAGAGAAAAAATATGGTGGACAAGATGAAGTTTTGACTAGGGTTAAGAAAGAAATACTTTGGTGGTTTGGTCATGTAGAAAGAATGAATGAGGAAAGAGTGACAAAGCAAATTTATGTTGCAGATGTAGGGACGGGAAGGGACGCCCTAGAAGAAGGTTCATCGACCAAATTGGCGATATTTTGAAAATGGGCCACATTAGGAGTTCCCTTAACCGACGATCGTGTATGCGTAGGTATATGGATGTGAAGGAGGCGAGAGAGGTGTGTCAGGATCGTGCCAAATGGAAGTCCGTAGACTCTGACCCCTCTGGGTGACAGGCGTGAGTGTTTTATGTTTTTACTAAGTATATTATATAAAAATAGAAAAACATGCTTTAAATATAAATAAAGGTAGGTAGGTTTATTAAGTGTTACTTATGTGTTGTGTAGTATGTAAGGGTGTAATACATATTTCAACAATAAGTTCAAATAGTTTTTCGTTCTGTTCGTAGACTAATGATTTAATCCATTTAATTAAGGAAATTGTTGTCTCTCTCTTAGTTAATGGTTAAAATTTTTAATTATCTGTTATATTATATTGGACTGAACCTCCGTTATTAAGAAAAAAATTTCAAGGAAATAATAAGTTGGCAACAGGTAATGTCCATACATGATGCGGAATTATTTTGCTTAAGGGGGAAATATAATTTCAAATGGCTTAGCAAGATTCGTTATGCCGAAAATATTGCAGCATTAATTTTGAAATAAATATATGGTAAAGTTGAGGATTAATGTTAAGGATTATGTTAGACGAAAACACGATTTCGTAAAGTTTTCTCGATAGAAAAAAAATCCAAAGTTACCTCCAAAATAAACAAACCACTCTTATTCATAAAATACTTTAAATAAGATCATGAATCTTTGCATACTAACTGAACTAACTATAAAGCAGTGCTTATGTTATTTACTTTTTTTAAATACCATTATTTTCACTGTAAAAAGAAATTACCTAAACTATCGATCTTTTGAAGCGTGATTCCTGCCGCACGGTCACTTCGCTTCGGCCTTTGAACGGGAAGGTTGTGTCGCTTACGATCAGAATATACATTACGCAACAGGACGACGTAAAATTAAAATGGGAAATAACCGTAATAAAAATAAGAAGCGACTGGCTTGGCGTTAAGAAACAGGCATAAATATGATAAACCTAATGAAATAAGTGTCTAACGACCTTTCTACTTACAGTATTAGTGATTACAAACATGTCGGTACATAGCATACGACGCGCGGGGAAGTGGGGACGAAATTAGAATTTGAGCTGACTTACTCTATCCCCTTAAAGTAGGATTGGATTTATTATATTCCATTTTTGAGTGATATAATAAAATTGTCGCAAGAATATAGAGCTGACGTACGGAGACTCGTTGATTGAAAATAGTCTATGTTTTATATAAGATATTTTAAGTATAAGTCTTTGTACACGTTCTAACCCACGTGGGCTTTTGCGGCACCAACCCGAAACGTTATGCTATAGTTTATTAACTATTATAGACTGATATAAGGAAGTATAAACGAATTTTATGATACTGCCATCATCACGACGACGAAACTGCTTAAAATGTATGTTAGTTACGAACTCTGGATGAAATGTGGTTTATATGCTCTTCGAAATAGAATCTTTGGTCTATTATAATACCCAAATATTTAGTGTTCGTGGCCTTTTCGAAAAAGAGACACGTAGCCAAGACGAACACATAAATTTAAGTTATCCTGGGCCTTTTAACGCTGATTTGATGTGCTGATATAAAAGGGTTGGTTTTAGTTGCATTTAAAGATAAGTAATGTGTAGATGGCTATTGTTGTGGTGTAATTTGTTTCAGTGAAGTTGCTATTACAATCGTAGTTCAAATATTCCTGTACAGTGTAAAGTCTTTTCACTGAACCAGTTATATCATTTTCTTTTAAATTTAATGAAGGGTAGGTCTTGATATATTTGTGGTATCTTATTATATGACAGTATATAAACATCTAATAGAATTTTTTATGGAATCTCGCAATCTTGGGGAATATAGTTGAAACCATGTATATGCAGTTGTGTGACGTCCATATCGTCCTGAGGGTGCCGTAAGAGGCGACAGATGTAAATAAACCAGGAGATGAGCAGCCTCTTCTTCATAATTGTCAATCCGCTTGCCAAACATGGCAACTATAACAAATATCTCTCCTGTGAGGCAATCGTATGTGTCACGAGCTTAAAGTTTTTATTGTTACCGATTGAATTACCAAAATTGACACTAATTACAGAACACCAATTACAACTTACGATACACTAATAATAAAACACAATTGTACTACTGATCACTTTAGTTCGCAGTTGTATCGCTACGAAGTATTCGCTTGGATTGCCAAATCAATACCGAATAGGGTCTCGGTCAATACCGGCCTTATATAAGGCCTCTTCTACTGAAACATCTAGAATGTTCGAGTACATACCGGTCCCGACTGAAAGTGTAGAAAGTTCTGGCATGGAAATCTCTATAAGGGTTAATTCTGCTACTCAATACTAGGGGGCACTAGTGGTAACTACTGTCTCCATGTACCATGCATTAATTATGGCGCGCAACATACGGAGAAAGCCTACGTTCAACATTGAACTTTAACACGCTGTAACGGTCATTTAAATGTGTTGTGTTCGCGTAAGCGTAAGAAATTGTTATTTAAAGAAAGTTACCTGTTCATCGCAAGGCAGCTGAAGGTCAAAGTCCAGCGGGTTTTCGGAGAGCGTGTGGAGGAAGGTGCGAGTTCTGGTGCGAGCACTGGTGCGAGTCAGCGAGCGGCCCAGCAGTGGGCTGTCGCTGGACAACTCCACGCTCACTGCTTGCTTCACTGTCCGCTTCCGCTGCTGGGCCGAAGGCCAGATATATCAGCTTAAAAACGTCCAAAGACGCGAATAGACTTCCTCTTGAGATGAATCGAACATACATTTTAACTACGGATTCAATAAAACTAGTTTTTACGGATTTTATCGCGTTTAATTTTAACGTTTTTTTATTTTCGATGTTTCAGGCATTTTACAACACTCACGGTCACGGGGGGACTGATGTGCTTGACATAACGATGCTATAGTTAACGAAGTCTACATTCAACTTTTAACTATAGTAATTTTTTTAACTATATTTCAATTATAGTAGCTTTCGTTAACTATGACATCAGTACGTCAAACACATCAGTCCCTCCATCAGTCTCCTCCGTGACCCTTCTGTGTGTGAATTTAGTGTTCAAAGCTATAAGTACATATAGGGTCTATTAATTTTATTTTCCTTTATTTTACTCGAATATAAGTGTCTTGCTTTGTTGTAAAACTGCGAAAGAAATGATTTATCCTAGCTATATCTAACTACTTTGTTCACGGGGATCTTTTTTATTTTTTTATTTAAAAAAAGTTATTTCCACTCTAGGATTTTCTCCTGTATCGTGGAGACAGTTTACAAACATAAATTTCATAAGGACATACATCCAGACCCGGATCAATTATTTGTAGGCCATACAAATACTTGTTCCGTACGGGATTCGACCCTGCGGGCCCCCAGCGCAGCCCACTTATTGCTAAGCCACTGCGTCACGGAGCCGTCAAATGTACAGATGGAGACCTGGTTATCTATGACACAGATTTAGATATTTTATCTAGTTTAGACACCAGTTTTTCACATAGCAATATTATTGTTTCAGAGGTAAGCATATATTCATTCTTGCTCTTTTTGATGTAATGTATTGCTGGTGGAAATAAAAAACACGTGTGGCACTCGGTGACCGCCGCGGTAAAGCTATTGCATACCATTTTTATCAAATTATGCAATTATAATTATTTATTTTTTTATTTATGCAGTTAAGTCTTTGATATTAAATCAAGTTACACTTTTTGAGCGTGGTGACGGATAAGAAAACAATTTTTTTTCTCTTCTTGAATAAATGAGAAGTTAATATTGTTTAAAATATTTTTAATATCTTACAATACATGTAGGTTATTCAGGAATTTTTATCATTAAGTGAGCAGCTAGTGTACACGCATACGACTAGTCGCACGCACACAAACACCGTGCCGAAGTCTGCCGAACTGAAACGACGTTAGACGATGCACGGCTTTCAACGTCACACCTCCGTGCCCGTCGGAGTGGGGAGCGTGAGGTTTTTTCGTTACGGAATTTCTGGATTCGGTCCCCGCGCTCAAGGCCCGCGATAGAAGCTATGCAATAGCTTAATAAATAAAAATAAAATTAAATAATTAAAAACATTAGACGATTAAATGTAGTGGTGGTGCAAGAATATCCACTAGCCCATATCATCCCGTGGGTGTCGTAAGAGGCGACAGAGGGAAACAAATCAGGAGATGGGCAGCAGAGTCTTTAGAAATAAAAAAACTGCCGTTGCCAACCCGCTTGCCCAGCATGGTAAAATTCTCCCTATGAGGCAATCTATACATATAATCTAATATACCTATATTGAGTAGACTTTTATAAGCTGTAATAGAATAACATCTAGTTCTTAAATTTGAAACTTTCTCTCACCCACTGCGCCCTCAGCGGTAGATCGTACGTGACATCCGGGTCCACAATTCGATTCCAGGCGGCTTCGTTGTAGATCAAGTCGTAGAACTTGGACTCCTTCGGCTCGCGGCAGAAGATCGCCGCGGTCAGACAGTTGTAGTTCTCACAGTGGAACAGTCTAGAAGCAATAGGATTTTTATATATATTATGTAATTTTTTTATAAATATAACTTAGGCTACTTTTATTTCAGAAAAAGGATTAAGTTTCCCCGCTGAAAACACCATGAAATCCAATCGTAATAAATGACAATTTTCATTCAAGAACAGGATTTTTAATTAAGAACAGTTAATCAATACTGAGGGTATATTCCGAAACGTTTTCAGTATACTGCCGAATACAAATGACGTCATCAATGGACACTATATTGTACTGGCGTGCCGCCGCCATATTGTGTCGGATATCCGGACATAATAAAAAAAATTAATTATTTGTGCGCTGAATGAAGCATGCCAGAATTAGTTTTTATTTATTCGAATAATTTCTGGTATCTCCATTAGGAGGATGTAATGATTTTTGGAGCACAAAATGACAAAATAATCGCCAACACTTTTCCAATATGGCGCAAATGTATGACGTCATATACTGTCCTCTGTTTTGGAACGAATCACCAGTATAGCGTCGTTTCATGACGTCATTTGCAATGGACAGTACACTGGGGTCTATTTTGGAACATACCCTAAATGCTAGACAACATTTCTGCCACTTTGTAGTATTCTGATATTCTTGTTACGTGGTAGTCACTGCAGCTAAATTTATTACATAGTTTGGCAACGTAATGGGTCGGCGCAACCGGGATAGAACCACACTCTCACAGAATACCAGCGTAAAATAGCAGCTTAATACTGCTATGTTTCATATGGTAAGTGTAGAAATCCGGAAACCCTTTTTACTGCATTCCATCTTAGTCCTCACGGGTGACAACGCATCTACATTTTGATTCTTAATCGAGGATAGATGTAGATGTGCATGGGCCACACCATCAGGGGGACTGTGTGCTCGTTTGTCATCCTTATTCTATAAAAAAATTAATAATATTATTGATTTGGGTTTGGGTTTGAGTTTGGCAGAGGAATGAAGAGGGAAGATCTTGCAACCGGCATCTTGCTTCATGTGGTGGTATTTATTTAATTAAATAACAGATTAAGTGATCGTAAAACTACAATAAAAGCTGAAAGGAACGGAAAGAAATTAGAGAGGAAGAAAAAAAAGGGAAGAAAGATTATTTTTCTTAACTTGTTTTTAATATCTATACAATTAAATAAAACTGAAGTGTCTATTTGTAACGTCAAAATAACAGATTTTTTTTAAATGCATATGAAATTAATATACGATACTTATACAAAGAAAACTATTTTTAAAATGTCTGTCTGTTTGTTCCGGCCAATCTCAGAAATGACAGAACCTATTTTGACGGGACTCTCACTGGCAGATAGCTCATGTTATAATGTAACTTAAGCTACTTTTGTTAAAAAAATATTATGGTTCCGTGCAAAAAATTTAAAACCCATGAAACTGTAAGCAAATAGAAAAGTATATAATAAAACATTACTAAAAATTATTCGATGTGAAGTCGCTGGAACAGCTTATATATAAATATAAACATACAGACAGTTATTCTTCAGCTTCTGGTCTGCACCAGCGGGGCAGACGACCACCTTCTTCGCCTCCAGCTCCACGCAGCACATCGCGACTGTCTTCGCCAGGTAGAAAATATTGTCTTGCACTTCTGCGGACATCCGCTTGTAGAGGACCGAGTTTGGAGACTCGATGTGGGCTCTAGGTATCTGTAATGGACATTATATTCTTATTAATTACTATCAATTTTTAATTAATTTTCTGTTGACATTTATATATATATATTTATATATATATATATATATATATATATATATATATATATATATATATATATATATATATATATATATACATTTATACATATATATATATATATATATATATATATATATATATATATATAATTTATACAAAATACACGGATCACAGATAATCAACTATAAATTGTACTGCGACTAATTTAATAGCTGGTAATAATAATTATTTCGTTTCCACGAATTAATTATCAGAATAGTCGAGGATAGGTCGAGGATGAGCTAGTAGCAGGATACCACAAGTGCACCGTGCCACGCCAGAGCCAACACTGCCTTAACGGCGGCCGCTCCGTCCGTTTTATACAATCGAGACAAGTAGCTACCCGAGCGCCACTGCAGGTGCAATGCGCAGGTGTGCGGTGCACGTGTTGTTTACAATAATTCCGACTACCCACAGAGGCGCTGCGACTTGTATATATAAACGAAATTGATGTGTCTGCTTGTGATGTCAAAATGACATCTTTTACTAAACGCATATGAAAGTACATACGGTACTTATAACAAAACAAAACAATTTCTGTCTGTTTGTTCAGACCTATCTCCGAAATGGCTGGACCGATTTTGAAGGGACTAACACTGGCAGATATCTGATGGTATAAGGAATAAATTACGCTAATTTTGTTTTAAAAAAATAATTAGGGTTTCGCGCATAAAAAATTTAAGTTCGAGAGGTACTCTTCAAGTTTGGTAACATAATTTAATTTAATTACGCGGGTCTTAAGCTTATTAATTTTAAAAATATTTTTGTATAAGATAGGGTGACAAAAGAGCACACAGTCCACCTGCTGGTAAGTGGATGCTGTGGCCCATATTTACATTTATCCTCGATTAAGAATCAAAACGCAGGTGCGGTGTCACACCTTAGGACTAAGATGGAATGACTCGTATCCAGTAAAAAAGGGTCTCCGGATTTCTACACTCACCATATGAAACACAGCAATATTAAGCTCCTATTTTACGCTGGTATTTTGTGAGAGCTTGGTCTTACCTGCTGGCCGTATGAGGACGCTCAAGGTCGCTCAGCGAGTTATGGAGAGGGCTATGCTCGGAGTATCTCTGCGTGATAGACTCAGAAATGAGCATATCCGCAGTAAAACCAGAGTGAACGACCCCACGCCCAACGGATTAGTAAGCTGAAGTGGCAATGGGCCGAAGAACCGATAACCGATGGGGAAGAAAGGTTCTCGAGTGGCAGCCTCGTACCGGTAGGCGTAGTGTAGGGCGACTCCCCACTAGATGGAGTGACGACCTGGTAAGACATGCAGGAAGTCGATGGATGCAGGTGGCTCAGGACCGTGCTTTGTGGCATTACTTGGGGGAGGCCTATGTTCAGCTGTGGACCTGTGAAGGGCTGTAATGATTATGATGATGATGTGGTCCTTCCCCGGTCGAGTCGACCCATTAATGCTACGAACATAATATAGCTGCAACCTGGATCTACCACTTCCGATCAGATTTGTTTCCCATTGTCGCCTGTTACGAAGCCCACGGGATGAATGGGATAGTGGGGGGTGTATTATTACATCACCACTATTCGGTCAGAAAAACACGAGATATCGCAATCTATTGAAAGCCGTAAGATTTATCTAGGGTTACACACTGTCGCCTCTTACGACACCCACGGGACGAAATGTGGTGGATGTTCATACCACCACCACACGCATATATTACACATTTTTTTATTCATACGCCAAAGAGCACGCTCCAGCTATATTATGGTTGTAGCACGAATGAGTCGGCGAAGGACTACACTCTTACAGAACTGGTATTCTGTGGAATGACAGCGTAATGCTGCTGTTTCGTATGGCGAGTGTACAGAACCGGAGACCCTTTTTACTGGAAACGAGGCATTTCATATTAGACCTCAGGGATAAAAAAATGCAAACATTATACTTGGTATTCAAATTTTTGGCAACCTTAAAGGCAAATATATTTGATTTACCTTTTCAAAAGCAACTTTTAGCAGAATCAACGCCCTCAAATAATCCACGACAGCTTTGTGGTAGATATAGTGAGCGGTCGCTCCCCGAGGTCTCTTTCTCAGCACCGCTAGAAGGTCCTTTAGTTTGCTGGAGAAGAACTCCTCGCAGAGTGACGCATTAGAGCACCTATAAGAATTAATATACACTGCATGACCTTTTTACCGTATGGAAAAAATAGGGTGTACCACGTGAACGGAGTAGAAGCATATGGCACCGATATTTTACAAAAAAGTAAAACAAAAATTTTGAAATAAATAAATTAATTAATCAAAATCTATCGAAATTCAAATCATATCCACCCTACTTTACAAACGGCAATAAAACAATAAATATAGTAAGCATCTTTGACCTTGTCACTTCGCAGGATCACAGACTCAAGGGCAAAGTAATTGTTCAAAAAAAAATGTTCCAAACGTTTAATACAAAACTTTATTTTTATTTTTTGGAAAATATCAGTACCCTAGGCTTCTACTCCGTTCACATGTAACACTATATTTTTCCAGACGGTAAAAAAAGTCATCCAGTAATATACCTTACACTGGCAGCCTATAAAATGTTCACCGCTAAATATAGCCCCCATAGATAACCCTCAAAGGAGGACATACGCCGGAATTAACGCGCTTAGCACGCGGGTTGGTGTTTTTACCACATTGAATTGTTATCAGAAAGATGGAGGGAGAGAGGGAGAGAGAGGGAGAGAGAGAGGGAGAGAGGGAGAGAGAGAGAGGGAGAGAGAGAGAGAGTGATGAGGAAAAGAAACGGGAGAAAGCTAGTACCGTCCTTCCCTTTCATTTCCTTATGTCGCCTCTTATAAACCCAAGTGATGATATGGGGTAGTTAACAGCACCAAAAATTGATTAACATTACAATTTAAGAATACATTTACATCAGTAAATCAATATTTAAATAAAATTGAAAAAAAAAATACCGCCTCGTTGGTCTAGTTGTTGTAGTAGTGCGACTGCTGATTATGAGGTCCTGGGTTCGAATCCCGATTCGTAATTAATACTTCATAATTTTCAGTAGCCGCCCGGAGTCAGAAAGTTGACGGAGTATCACCCTCGTGCTTAAGAAAGCACGTAAAGCCATTGGTCCTGCGCCTGATCTCTCTCCGGTTGTGTCAGTTACCGTCCGTACCATCGTTAGAGGAATAGAGTGCACCTGTGCTGGCACACACTCGTGCACTATAATTCTGACCCGCGCAGATGATTAGCCTCCGTTCAGACTGACCGCCGTGACCGAAATTCTGTCTGGAGGACATTACTATATGTAATAAAATGAAAACTTTGCACAATCCCACCTCAGTAAAGGCACCATGAGTCGATTGCAGACTCCCAATGACAGCCCGTCCGAGCACTTCTTGTAAACGGTCTCGTATATAGTGATGTCGTTTCTTGATGCCAGTGTGACCATACAGGCGTCAATGGCATCGTCCCACCATCCCTTCTCCGTGTCGCCTGCAACAAGAGTTGTTAGATATCATGTTTGATATTTGATTTTATGCAGTTAAGAGAACAGTCTTCTCCGATTTATATACAGTTTTTTTGTAAAGGGTTTGTGACTCATCGGCGATGTTTCCTAGATCGGTCTTATGATGTTAACTCGACAGGGGGCGCTGCAATAAATATTTTTGTGTAACCGAGTGTTCCCATTTGTCTCCGAAACAAGTAAACTGATTTGGATTAGTTATTCTGTAAAGAATATGTGACTCATTGGCGATAGTTCTTAAATAGGTGTTATGGTGTTATCTTACTAGGGGGCGCTGAAATTAACATTTTTTGTGCAAGCGAATGTTTAAGAAGTTGTCTTACATACCAAATTTCGGTCGCGGCGTCCAGTCAAAACGGAGACTAGTCATCGACGCAGCACAGGATTGTAGTGTCCAAGTATATGCGCAAGCACAGGTGCACTCTCTTCCCTTTCCCTTTACCTTTGCTCTCATAATCCGATGGGACGGTGAGCCGACACGATCGGAGACATGAGGCGCAGGACCAACGTCTTTACGTGCTTTCCGAAGCAGTGAAGACGTTGCGTAAAACCGGAATTCGAAACCGGAACCAATAGTATTTACGACGACTTGATCAACGAGGCCGTATGCATATAGAGTTACTTATATATACTATATACGTGGTACGCTGCAGCTATATTATGGTTGTAGCACGAATGGGTCGGCTCGACCGGGGAAGCACCACGCTCTCACAGAATACCAACGTAAAACAGCATCGTAATGCTGCTGTGTTTCGTATGGTGAGTGTAGAGAACCGGAGACCCATTTTACTGGAATCGAGGCATTCCATCTTTGTCCTCAGGGGTGACAACGCATCTAGATTTTGATTTTAATAGAGGTAAAATGTAGAAGTCTATGGGCAACAGCATCCACCTACCATCAGGTGGACCGTGTGCTTGTTTGTCACCCTAATTCTATTTAAAAAAACACGTATAAATGTTTGTATTTTTAAAAGGAAGTGTTTGGACTTTTTACATATTAAACCTTATTTATTAAGTTTTTATAAGTCGTTGTAATAACTACCTACCTATTGGGTTGACAATCATTATCTTTTAAAAGAAAGGTAACCACGGTAACCAACCGGGTGCATCAGTCCACCACTGGACTAGGAAGAAGTAATCAAATATATAAGTTAGTGAAGCTGTTAGTTTGCATATTGGACCTTTTTTGGTGTCATTTTGTATACACTTAGCTGTGATCTATTAATGTACTAGCGACAGGATAAAGAATATCTGTGATCTATTAATGTGGCGTACATTTAAGATCATCAAAGACCATTTATTTTTTCTACTTTATATGTTCAAAAAAAAACATGCGTGCAGCTCACACGCGACAGAAGCGAAACGTTCAAATGAAATGAAATATAAAATACAAAAACTTTAAATTATTTATTAATTATTATAATGTATACTACAAGTTCGGCATAAATGCAAGAAAATTTAATTTCATAGTAAATAAGTGTAACAATCCTTTTAATATATACAACAGGTAACATAATTAACGTACTTTGAGAAAGTAGTTTGTTCAGAATCGTTTACTTTTCTGAATTTTAATATAGGTAATTTTTTATCGATATATTTCGATTCCTATCATTTTTAATATAGGTAATTTTTTATCCCAAAAATAATTAAAATTATATCTTATATAGTACTCACTAATTACAAAAAGATTTATATCAATTTTATCTATTACGAAGTTGAGGTTTGGCCGTTCTTCACTGCTTGTTTAATCCACACACCAGCACACGACACCTTCGTACCTTGTTGAACAAAACGCGTAAGCGACGCCGTTTCGGCGGAGTTTACGACTTTTTTCTCGCGAGCATTGAGCTATAATCTGCAATGCTTCCTATCTCATTTTCTCCCACGTTAAATCTTACGAATTTGTGTCTGTCTCTTTTTACTGTCGCTTTTTCATTTCATAGACTTTCAAATCACAACGATGCTAAAGAAGTTTTCATTTCAAAAAAAAAATCTTCAAGTTTTTGGTTTAAAATATAGCGTAGATCCTTCCTGGAAGTGTTTTAGTTTCATCATAACCGATTCTGCCATTCAGAATATTAGTCCGGATAGAAAGCCAGACAGACAAAATTTTATAGGATAGAGTGACAAACGAGCACACAGTCCACCTGATGGTAAGTGGATGCTGTGGCCCACAGAAATCTACATTTATTCTCGATTACGAATTTAAATATAATAGCACGTCAGGTAGGATAGCATATTTGTATCAGAGAAAGTTTCACTCCGAGGACTAGGATAGCATTATTTGTATCCAGAAAAAGTTTCACGTCTGAGGACTAGGATAGCATTATTTGTATCCAGGAAAAAGGGTCTCCGGTACTTGACACTAATCATACGAAATACTACAGTATTCAGCTGCTATTTTACGCTGGTATTCTGTGAGAACGTGGTCCTTCCCCAATAAGCAATAAGTTACAGCGTTAAGGGCCGCGGGTTCACATCCCGTATTATTATTATATACAAGTAATTACCTACTATACCTCCAAGTAATTGTTCCGGTCTGGATGTTTGTCTTTATGAAATTTATGTTTGTAAACTGCTCCCACGATACAGGTCAGAAAATCCTAATGTGGAGATAACATATTAAAGAAAAGAAAAGAAAGAAAGAAAAGAACTGATTCATCAGTGCTACAACAATAATGACTTTATCAAGTACTCTCTTGTTTTTTATTCTCTGTCAAAATATATGTATAAGTCGCGTCAGCCAGTCCGTCGTCGTCATTATAAAGGTTGCGCTGCTGAATGTTTACCTGCATTCATCCAGCAGTACTTACCTGAGACCAGCTGGCAGAGGTGGTCTAGCAGCGAGCAGTCGGCAACCAACAGAGCGTCCAGTAGCGCGCGCAGCATCAGGCTCTGCTCGCCGCGCGCGTCTCCCAGCCGCGCCGGCACCAGCCCCAGGAAACACTGCCACGTGCCGCTGCAAAACACCACCACCGCACCGCTTAACTCACACTCTCCAACAAGCTAAGTAGGTCTACTGCGCGGTAGGAGTCCGTTTTGAGTACACACTACACACTCACAGTCACCCTAATGCTAAGCGAACCTCTTACCACCTAGGCAAGGGTATGTTTCTGCCTATGAGTCAGCTCGGATTGTTACCACCCTTTACTGTTTTAGATGCCAAGAACCGCACTGCTGTGTAAAGGTCTGTAGAGTTTAGAGAGCAAGTATAATTTTAGGTTGTTATAGATCATCATGTTATAGATATCACGTAAGATGAAATTAAATAGAGTCTACTGCGCATGTACAATCAAGCAGAAAAATGAAAATTTTATTATGACATTTTAATATGTAAAAAGTCAAAGGTCAACATTATAACTACACATCAAAGTCTCCACGAAAACTGAACGATATATTTATATATCATCGTTAGGTTTTAACTGCTTCTAAATAATATTCTGCATTTTATGTACACTTAGTTAAAGAAATAAAATGTTTTGTATTAGTATTTTTGTATTTGTAATTGCTGTTTAAACTATACTATGCGATTAGCCTTCGATTATAAGGATATATTATTTCATCTTGTAGAAAATAACATAATATTTACAACTATATATATATATATATATATATATATATATATAAACACTCACGCTTGTCACCCAGAGGGGTAGGCAGAGACTACAGACTTCCATTTAGCACGATCCTGACATACCTTTCTCGCCTCTTCCACATCCATATACCTACGCATACATGCTCGTCGGTTAAGGGTAATCTTAATTTGGCCCATTTTTAGTATATCGCCAATTTGATCGACAAACTTCCGCCTAGGACGTCCCTTTCCGACTCTTCCATTCACTTCTGCAACATATATTTGCTTTGTCAGTCTTTCCGCATTCATTCTTTCTACATGACCAAACCACCGAAGCATTCCTTTCTTAATCCTGGTCACTGCATCATCTTGCAAACCACACTCTTCTTTTATCACACAGTTTCTCACCCTGTCACTCAGATTCAGCCCTAACTAATACTCCTTAGTGACCGCATTTCTACTGCATTTATTCTACTCTCGTGCTTCTTCTGCCACACCCAACTTTCACTACCATACGTTAAAGTAGGGACTAATACAGCACTGTGAATTGCCATACGTGCCTTTTTTGACACATTCTGACTTTTCACAATAGAGTGTAGAGCCCCATTTACTTTATTTCCTGCATTCACTCGTCGTTCAATATCCTTATCATATCTCCCATCCCTGCTGAATACACATCCCAAATATACGAACTCATCCACTTGCTCAATTAACTCTTCTTCTATTCTTATTTCACATACCGTTTTGCTTTCATCTCTTTCAAAAACCATCACTTTCGTCTTACTTGCGTTCACTTTCATTCCCCTTTCTTTTAATGACCTGTTCATTAATGTAACCATCATTTGCAACTCGGCCGCCGACGACGCAAGTATGACTTGATCATCGGCGTACAAAAGGCATTTGATGGTTAACTCACCCATTCTTAACCCGCATTCTTCAACTTTCAAATTTTCCAAACAGCTGTCCATAAATAGGTTGAACAGCCACGGGGAAGCTACACAGCCCTGTCTGACACCTTTATGGATGCCGAACCAGTCCGAGTAGACCCCGTTGATTCTAACACAAGCACTCGAGTCCCTATACAGAGACTTTAATGCCTGTATCAAACCAGCGCTCAACCTAAATGCGTTCAGCGTTTGCCATAACACATCCCTGTCCACTCTGTCATAAGCCTTTTCCAAGTCCATGAACGCACAAAAAACTTTTTGGTTTTTCGCCAAAAACTTCTACGCGATCATGCGCATGGAAAACCCCATTCCCTTTCTAAATCCCGCTTGCACATCCCAAATTTTTTCATCAGTTTCTTTCATAACTCTTTCAATTATAATAGTATAATATTTACAACTTTATACAATATACTACGAACTACGCTATTTTAAATAGTCCCAAAATAATTAATAAAGTAATAAATATTTGCACACTATTTGAAAATATTATAGAACAATATTTTTAAAAGTACATAAGTAATCGCAAAAATTTAAAATTTTATAAAAAGGTAGTCGCTAACACTTTCGATATCGATAGTACACAATACGACACAAGAAGGTGCGCGGGCGACGGGACGCAGGCAGAAACTACTTGGGGGTAGCGCGTCGCCCGTTGCTATGGTTTCGCTTCCTCGTGCCTCACACCTCACCGTGCCGACACCTGTTTTTCGGTTCTGCGCACTTCCATCACTCGTGGCGTTACCTATAGTAGGTCGACAACGCGCCTGTATCTTTCATTGTGGTGCAGATTAGTATTAGGGGTGCAGTTATAAAACGAATGGCTCGGCTAGACCGGGAAAGAACCACGCTCTCTCAGAATACCAGCATGAAATAGCAGCTTTTAGGCCCGGTTTACATTTTGAGAAGTGACAAGTGCGAGTGGCAAGTGCAACTGCAAATGACAAGTGCTTAGTGCGAATTTTATTTACACTTATCAGTTGTCACTGCCTGATCACACGCCCTAAGCACTTGTCATTTGTTAGTTGCACTTGCCACTCGCACTTGTCGCTTCTCAAAATGTAAACCGGGCCTAAGGCGTTGGCCACGCTAGAGCGACTGCAGAGAGCGGAAGCGACCTGCAGAAACGGAAGGAATGAAGACGCTGCACCTTCTTCCCGGTGTTGTGCCACGTTGAGGCGGCTGCATGATACGCGGTTCCTTCCTGCTTTTATTTGTGCGGGCTAAAAAAATAAGTTTTTCTAAATTGGCTCTTTCGTGTCAAGAAGGGACTAGTTTCTTTTTGCACGAGATAGAATGCAAAAATGGGAGTTCACGAATTAAACAAAAACAAACATCAGTTTGGTGGATATCGTAGACTGTATGATGAAATACGTCATTTAATTTTAGGAATTACAATATTATGCTCATAATTTTCATGATTACTGAACCATATTGCAGACGGAGTCATTATTTTGCTAATAAACGCCTCCGTATTTGTGTTTTACATCGCAGAAAAATCAACACGATTTGATTAATACGCAAGACGCGCGAACACATACTGTGGCCCTACGCTGGTCGCGATCGCTTGACGCGCACGCCAGACGCGCCAACGTGACACCTCCCGTTCGTCTCGTATTGTTATTCTTCCCGCTCATCAAAGAATCAAGACGAGATGCGCTAACGTGGCACACAAGTAATGCTACTGTTCGTGTGCAGAACTGGAAATTTTCTTAGAAACAAGGCATTCCGTCATAGTACTCAAGGGTGCAGCACAGCATCCACTCACCATCAGGTGGAATTTGCACTCGTTTGTCACCCTCATTCTACAAAAAAACGAGCGAGCCTTACAGCAGTCGCATATGATGCGTAACATCTGACCTCTGTAATAAGCAACATTAACATTATCCTGAAAAAACTTTATATTAATCAAAATTAAAAATATCTACTGAGAAGCGACAGAAATTTACCTCAAAATTTCAAACAAGCTAAATACTGAAACATTAATTCGAATTATTTATTATAACTCACTTGCATTTTTTATCAATGATATGCACTTTTTTCAGACACTTATCTTATTATAAACAGTAAATACATTTATTATTATAGTAGTACACATATAAATTAGTTTATATAACAGCACACTTTTTTCTACCACCACGCGCGTTCATTAGTCAAATCAAATAGCGCGCGTTTCCCCGGCTTCCTGTTACACACTTCCGTCCCTTTTCACGAAATCACTTCCACAGATTGCAGGAAAGAGAGGAAAAATGTTATACATAAAAACCACTAGTAATAGCATATTTCAGCAGTACTAGAACATGTTTCTTAAAAATTTAAAGCTACATTAGCGGAACAAACCAAAGGCCGTTATAGTCAAATCAAATAGCGCGCGTTTCCCCGGCTTCCTGTTACACACTTCCGTCCCTTTTCACCAAATCACTTCCACAGATTGCAGGAAAGAGAGGAAAAATGTTATACATAAAAACCACTAGTAATAGCATATTTCAGCAGTACTAGAACATGTTTCTTAAAAATTTAAAGCTACATTTGCGGAACCAACCAAAGGCCACCGCGCGCGTTCATTAGTCAAATAGCGCGCGTTTTCCCGGCTTCCTGTTACACACTTCCGTCCCTTTTCACGAAATCACTTCCACAGATTGCAGGAAAGAGAGGAAAGATGTTATACATAAACATAAAAACCACTAGTAATAGCATATTTCAGCAGTAGTAGAACATGTTTCTTAAAAATTTAAAGCTACATTTTCGGAACCAACCAGAGGCCACCGCGCGCGTTCATTAGTCAAATCAAATAGCGCGCGTTTCCTCGGCTTCCTGTTACACACTTCCGTCCCTTTTCACCAAATCACTTCCACAGATTGCAGGAAAGAGAGGAAAGATGTTATACATAAAAACCACTAGTAATAGCATATTTCAGCAGTACTAGAACATGTTTCTTAAAAATTTAAAGCTACATTTGCGGAACCAACCAAAGGCCACCGCGCGCGTTCATTAGTCAAATCAAATAGCGCGCGTTTCCCCGGCTTCCTGTTACACACTTCCGTCCCTTTTCACGAAATCACTTCCACAGATTGCAGGAAAGAGAGGAAAGATGTTATACATAAAAACCACTAGTAATAGCATATTTCAGCAGTACTAGAACATGTTTCTTAAAAATTTAAAGATACATTAGCGGAACAAACCAAAGGTTATAAATCAAATAGCGCGCGTTTCCCCGGCTTCCTGTTACACACTTCCGTCCCTTTTCACGAAATCACTTCCACAGATTGCAGGAAAGAGAGGAAAGATGTTATACATAAAAACCACTAGTAATAGCATATTTCAGCAGTACTAGAACATGTTTCTTAAAAATTTAAAGATACATTAGCGGAACCAACCAAAGGTTATAACAGGTAATTAATTCTTCACTGACCTGTAAGCCTCGCCAGTCGGCAGCACACCAATCAATTTAGCTTTCATCTCGCAGCTGCACTCGTCCGATCGTATCGAGTCCATGATCCACTGCATCGGGTTCGAATACGGCCCGAGCTTCCTCGGCAAGCTCAACATATCCACAAGCAGAGAATGCTTCTTCTTGAAATCGCATACGCTCTCGTATTTCGGCCATAACTGAAATATACAGTAAATTAGTGTTTTACCGTGGAGTTGCCGGGAAGTGAAAAAAATCATTCGAAAATTATCGTATTATCAATCCTAATTAAATAATATAACTCTTCCAAATTTTTAAACAATATTACCACAGTTATTTCTTCTGTGGCCGCAACGCGCCGAGACTGACTAGTTGTATAATAACCTATCGTTATTGTTTTATTTGTTAAATAGAAGAGGGGGCAAACGAGCATGCGGCTCACCTGATGTTAAGTGACTACCACCGCCCATGATCAACCGCAACACCAGGGGAATTGCAGGTACGTTGCCGCCATTTTAGAAAGGAGTAAGCTCTTTTCTTGAAGGTCGCAGCGACAGTGAATCGAGCCGATCGGAAAGCACTCGATCGTCGACGATTCGAGCCGCTCTGCGCTGGATGCGGTCAAGTGGAAGGAGCTGGCACTGGGGAGCACCAGCCCAGAGATGTGGGAACGGTATGCCATGTGCGGCCGAACCTGCGCCTTGTAAAGTTGCAGGCGGTGTGCCGGCATGAAATACTGTCCCGCTCTGCTGAGCACGTCAAGCTTTTTAGAGGCCAATTTAGCCTTCTCTTCCAAGTGATCACGAAACTGCAAGTCATTCGACATGTCGACGCCGAGGATTCCGATACTGGCTGAGGCAAGAAGGGGAGTGCCTTGCAACTGAGGAGATACGACAAAGGGGTTCTTTTTAGCGGTTAACGCGCAAACTTGTGTCTTCTGAGGATTAAACTGGACTAGATTTAGTCATCCCCAATCAGAGACTGTTCAGCAAAGACTAGACTTCAGACACAAGTTTGCCCCGGTACTCGGAGACGTTTTCCCGAGAAATATTGGCACGGCCGGTGTACAGTGCATCATCATAACTTTACTTTAATTATTATTAATTGTGTCGTGGCGATGTAATAATATCCACTGCCTCATATCATCCCGTGGGTGTCGTAAGAGGCGACAGATGGAAACAAATCAGGAGATGAGCAGCAGCGTCTTCTTAATAAGGACTAAAAATAAAAAAACTACCGTTGTCTTGTACTTGCCAAGCGTAACAACCATGAGGCAATCAGGCCTGTGTTCAATAGTGAACTTTAATAGGCTGCAACGGCAGATGACGGTATAACGACCTCGTTTACGCCAGACGTAAAATATCTAGAGGAGATAGCCAGCAGCTTCCGCCAAGTATGACAATGAGAGCATCCACGACTTTTTGAAGTATGGCAATGAGAGGAATGTGCATGAAGGTTAGAGAACAGGAGAACGATCGCTACGTACTAAAGCATAGCCCGCCTGTCCTTGAAAATTGTAGAATGTATAGCGGCGCTGACGTCGGTGAGTAGTGACTGCGAAGTTAGCTGTTAATGAGTACAAGTAGATGAAGTTAGTTGAATAATGTACAAATTTTCATTTCATTTTTAATGAGAAAATTTTCATGCTCCGTAATTTTGTAATTTTTGACAAAAAGAAACATTAAAAATGGAGAAATATTTTATTGTGCGTGGATGTGCAAGTGGTTTAGCATCTGATTTGAAAAATAGACTCAAAATGACTTTTATTGACCGAACTTAGTGATCGCAGCGCCTCACTTATGGTGTCCATATTTCTGGGACACTATTTTCTACGGCGATCGTTCTCCTGTTCTCTAACCTTCATGGAAATGTGACAAATTTCATAGAGGGCAATTCAATAACTTTGAAAATAGTTTTTTTTATAGAATAGGGTAACAAACGAGCACACAGTCCACCTGATGGTAAGTGGTTGCTGTGACCCATAGAAATTTACATCAAACCTCGATTAAGAATCAAAATGCAGATGCGTTGTCACCCGTGAGGACTAAGATGGAATGCCTCGTTTTCAGTAAAAAAGGGTCTCCGGTTCTCTACACCATACGAAACACAGCAGCATTAAGTTACTATTTTACGCTGGTATTCTGTGAGAGCGTGATTCTTCCCCGGTCGAGCCGACCCATTCGTGCTACAACTATACTAATCATATAACTGCATCATGGCTTTTACCACGTACTTCTTTTATACAATAAGGGTGAAAAACGATCACGCAGTCCATCTGATGGTTAGTGGATGCTGTGGCCCATAGACATCTGCATTTATCCTCGATTAAGAAAACAAAATTCAGACGCGTTGTCACTCTTGAGGACTGCGATGGAATGCCTCGTTTTTAGGCATTCCATCTCAGTCTCAGTTTGAGAGTTAAAGTCTGCAAAAAAGTGAAGTTCTACCACCGAGGAGTTGTTTTGAGAACCAGGTTTAAGCGCTAGAAACAGAAAAACTGATATTTGAAACGCAACTTTTCACATATGTCGACACTGTGTAACAAACAATTTCACCTGTCTCTACTAGCAACAAAGGAAGAAGGTGAGGAGTAAATTGTTTGCTCTTATTTATGCAATTTTTACAACCAATGAAAATGTTAATTGTGTTAATTGCAATTTTAAGTGCTGAAGCCCGGTACTGAAAGGCCGGCGGTGAAGGAAAACATCGTGACGACACCTGCATGTCTGATAAACAAAAATATTTCGAAGACATGTGTGAAGTTCGCCAACATGCATTGGTGCAGCGCGACGGACATTTCCTTGTCCTAAAACCCGCTCACAAATGGGCCATGTGCCTAGCAGTGAGACGTATATACGATGAAACAACACTATCGCATTTATAACGCTGGGTGCGTTTGGCAGGAAAAAGCGCTAGCAAGCGCTTGTAAGCAAAATGGCGATCGTAAGCGGTAAGCGCTGTCAAATCTTAAGTAGCTATTTTCCTCTAGGACACGAAGTTAGTTTTAACCGAGGATACTAACCTAATTTAAATATATGTTTGTAAAGTATTCATATTAAAAACTTACCAATCATGAATTTTTAATAACATGTATAATATGTTTATTCATGTCATTATATTACTTAAAACTAATATTGCACAAAACAACTTATAAACTCTACTTCAAAACAAACAAATTAAATAAGCAAAATTGCGGATTGTGTCAACGCTACTGAAGTTTGCAAACGTGTCCTGGCCGAAAACTGTTTAGTTTCGCCATTTTGCTTACAAGCGCTTGCCACTAGAGCCGCCTAGTATCGAGTAGCAGAACTAGGAGAGCTAGATTAGAAGTTAGTACTCACCGTGTCAACCAAATTCAAAATGAGATCACAGTATTCCTCCAGATTACATTTCCTAACGTAATACTTCACTATCTCATTCAAGAGACCGCAAAACTTCTCCAGGTTGTGATCCAGTAGTAAATACGGCTGCCGTACGAAATAGTGGAACAGCGCAGGCATGAAAATCGCACAAAACTCCTCACCGCAAATCGAAATGACACTCTTGACATCTGTCACTGTCAAAAATCGGAATAAAACATGAAGTAGGTCCGTCAAATATGGCAATTTGCTCATGTTCCTCTCAATATATCCAGATTCATTCAATTCCTGGACGCAGTGAAGCCAGTTTTGCGTGTGTCTGTTCAGATCGGCAAACCCCGGGTCGGTTATATCAAAGCACTCGAGCATAAGTTTCAAAGATTTCACCAGCGCCATATCCTCTTTGGAAAATTTGTACCTTTGAAGATTGCCGCGTATATCTTCCACCGGAAGCTTCCTACACCAGTTTTCAAAGCTGGTGATCAAAATTCGAGGGGTGCTCTTTAATATTTCTCTACATTTAGTTAGACAAGTGAATATAGATGCGTATTGTAGTTCTACTTGATATGGGTGCAGTTTTGTAAGTATCCTTGATAGGAAATTTAGAGTACCCTGGAAAAGTTTATTTAGTAAATATTTATAAATCCATTGTGAATATAATTCTAAATAGACTTTTTTACACAAGTAAGAGTGACAAACAAATACACAGAAAAAAAGAAAGACATATTTATTTGTCCAGTACACAATATTGAGAAACATAGAAATTCGTAAATATTAGAAATAGGTACATACACACGGTTCATACCAACATTCGACAATAAGAAATTGAACCTGCAGATTTGCGGCAGTATTTTTCAGATAACTGCTGAATAAAAATAAAACTGCGGTTGCCAAGCGTGGCAACTATGGCAAATATCCCACCTATGAGGAAATCTATGAGGGAGTTCTATGTTCGTCAGTGAACGTTTGATAATCTGTTGTGGTAATACAGTCATAGTCTATGGATGCATTGTCACCCGTAACAACTAAGATATAATGACTCATTACCAGCAAAAAGCAAAATGTTTAAAACAGTAATTAAAAAAAAACTGACGACGTAAAAAAAATCCCCTGCATTTTTTGTATTTTCGGAGGCAATATGCTGGATGAACTCCTTTAGTCTGAAAAAAAATGGGGTGTAACATGTAAACGAAGTAGAAGCCTATGACACTTATATTTTACAAAAAAAAAAATGAAAACAAAATTTTTAATCAAGCGTTTGAAAATTTTTTTAACAATTACTTTTCCCTTTGTTCTTGAGCCTGTGACCCTGCGAAGTAACTAAATTTATTGTTTTACTACCGATCCCAAAGTGGGATGGATATGATTTGAATTTCGATAGATTTTAATTATTTATTTCATTCAAAACTTTTGTTTATATTTTTTGTAAAATATCAGTGCCATAGGCTTCTACTCCGTTTACATGTAACACCCTATTTTTTTCGAGATGTTAAAAAAGCCATCCAGTATAAATATTATAATATAGTCTATGTCACTCCCAGGAATTAAGACGAAACCAACGACACCTCATAAGTTAAAATCCATCAAGCCCTCCAGGCTGCAGAGCGTGCCAAATAAATAGCCATACATACATACCTTCGAAAAACATTACCCTCTTTCTTTTCATCATCATCGTCGTCATCATTACAGCCCTTCACAAGCCACCTGCTTCCATCGACTTCCTGCATGTCTTAACAGGTCGTTATTCCATCTAGTGGGATCTCACCCTACATTTCGTCTGTCGGTACGAGGTAGCTACTCGAGAACCTTTCTTATAGATTGTCTAATGGCGGTGTAAGAATATTTGCTACCCCATATCGTATAGTCGTTGAATCCAGATAGTGTACTTTCCGGTCAAAGTATCGTGTCAACCCTTGTTGAGTTCCACAGGGCAGTATCTTGGGGCCCCTGTTGTTTTTGATATTTATTAACGACTTACCAAATGCAACTCAACATAAATGTTACATGTTTGCAGACGACACTACCGTGGTAATAAAATGTAACGAAATAGAAAAATCCAATGTCATTATTAATGAGACTTTACACAACCTAATCAATTGGCTACATTCAAACAATCTCAAAATAAACATACAAAAAACAGCGATTCCAGTTTACTACTTACAGAGCAAGGTCAATGGATGTACTAGTCGATTATTGGGGTAATATTATTGAAATTGTTAATGAAGCAAAATCTCTTGGATTTACTTTAGATAAACACGGTGACTGGAAAGCACATATAGACAATCTATGTACGAAAATAAATAAATTTGTATACGCGCTACGACAACTCAGTAATGTGTCATCCATTGAACCTGCTCTATGTCTATACATAGAGCAGGTTCGATGTGTCATCACTATTAAGTTACGGCATTATATTGCGGGGAGGTTCAGCGGGTGTAAACCGGGCTTTCATAGCCCAAAAGAAGTGTATTAGGGCTATTTGCAGAGTACATTTTCTTGAAAGCTGTAAACCCCTTTTCAATAAAATTTGAATCCTACCGCTACCGTGCCTGTATGTAAAACAAATGTGTATTTTTGTACGACAACATTCTTATTATTTTGTCACTAGAGAGCAAAACAAAAATAAACCTACCAGACATCGAGAAAGGATCATGCAACTTAGAATAAGACTTCAACTATACAGACGAAGCTGTTATTGTATGGCTAATAAAAAATTATAAAAAGCTTCATCCAAGATTCAAAGCTCTGCCGCTACCATTGTTTAAAAGAAAGTTACATTCCTGGCTTTTCACTAGGTGCTTTTATTCAGTCCAGGAATACTTAGATGACCAAGAGGTTTATAAATTTTAATTGTATTTGTAGCTTTTCTGTGTTTTGTTTATTTTATGACTTGAATAATTTAACATAAAATATTATACAATTTATAAATGACGACGTGTAATGTTCTGTTTGTGACTCATATTTACCATTAGTGGTCTGTTTAGTCTATTAACTTATTTTTAGCTTTAAGTAGACTAAAATGAAACTACTTTTTTTACGTGGTAGAGCCATGCTGCAATTATATTAGTAGTATAGTTGTAGCACGAATGGGTCGGCTCGACCGGGGAAGGACCACGCTCTCACAGAATACCAGCGTGAAATAGTAGCTTAATGCTGCTGTATTTCGTATGGTGAGTGTAGAGAACCGGAGACCCTTTTTACTGGAAATGAGGCATTCCATCTCAGTCCTCACAGGTGACAACGCATCTGCATTTTGATTTGTAATGAAAGATAGATGTAGATGTCTATGGGCCGCAGCAACCACTTACCATCAGGTGGACTGTGTGCTCGTTTGTCACGCTATTCTATAAAAAAAAATACTTTTAAATTTGCATGACAATTATAAGGCGAACATGAGGACGTACCATAATGTTAACATCTTTGTACTACCATGTTTAAAGCAAATAAAAAATTTCTGATTTCTGATTACCATCCCGTGGGTGTCGTAAGAGTCGACAGAGGGGAAACTGAGGTGAGAGATTGGCAGTAGCATTTTTCTGATAACAGCAATATTGCAATAAAAAACCTGCTGTTACTAACCCGCTTGCCAAGCGTGACAACTATGTCAGTATAACCCCCCCCCCACTTCCCCCTTCCCCCTGGCGAGGTAAATAGATAGATATCGACAAATAACAATAAATTTGGATCTTAAGAATTTTACTTTTAACAACAAACACGATGGTCTCGGCTCTGTATGACTCCCTAAAACGGTGGAGCACGTCCTCACTTCGTTCGATCCTAGTCGTAGCTGACTCGTTTGCTGCTTATAAATGATACTGAAATTTATTCCTTTGTGATAAAGTTGAAATTACAAGCGCTTTAGGACCAAATTACTTTCGTCAATCGTTTTTGTAATGTACAATACAATTGTGTCGGGTGTTTGTCGATACAGAATATTTATTCTGAAGTACAACATCACTGAGTGTAATTGCAATGACTGAGCCACCTGCATCCGTCAACTCACTTTGTAATAGCAAGTGAATCCGAAGTAGATAAACCATAAGGTCCGGTAACCATAACGCGGGCAATACGCTTGTTTGTCCTCACCTTTGAGTATTAAACCAAAGGAGACTGCATCGCAAGGCATACCCCTCTGTAAAAGGTACGAGAGTCCGACACATACTCGTTATATAAAACTAGTTGCTCCGCGTCGTGCATCATTCCGAAATGATCGCGCCAGTAAATCGAGCTTTTTTTTTTTTTTTTTTTTTTATAGGATAGGGTGACAAACGAGCGCACAGTCCACCTGATGGTAAGTGGTTGCTGTGGCCCATAGACATCTACATCTATCCTCGATTACGAATCAAAATGCAGATGCGTTGTCACCCGTGAGGACTAAGATGGAATGCCTCGTTTCCAGTAAAAAGGGTCGCCGGTTCTCTACACTCACCATACGAAATACAGCAGCATCAAGCTACTATTTCACGCTGGTATTCTGTGAGAGTGTGGTCCTTCCCCGGTCGAGCCGACCCATTCGTGCTACAACTATACTACTAATATAATTGCAGCATGGCTCTACCACGTAAGCTCCGACAAAATGCCGAATTGCAGTGTATTTACATAAAAAAAACCAATCAAAAACGTCTAGTATACAAAAGGAAAATGTGACTTTTCATCTGTGAGTATTTTTAAAATATTAAAGAAATTTTATCATTAAAACTCTTACTTTGTGAATATTTTCGTCCAATACCAAGTGTGGCCGTTATAGTTCATAAAGTGAAAAATAATCCATTTTTAAATAAATATAATTTACTACACAAGTTAAATATATTAACGAAAATATATTTCCTAATAACTAAATCAGTTCGTGATGAATAATAATCACTACATATAGATGTGTAGTGGATTTTGTTAAATGATTTATATATTCAGCACAATTTCAACACGATACTGAATATTATATAATTTAATATAATCGATAACTAGTATTTATCAAAATATTATACAAAATAAAGGCCAAATAAGTCAAATCGAAACTTGCTACTTCGCAGCAAAAGTGTGCAATTTTTATAAAAATAAACTGGTATCACTGCAACCGAAAGTATTGAACTATAGTGATGAACGCCACAACTTTAGTTATCGATAAGTTAATTAACCATACGGGTTTGTCTGCCGAACCGGTTTGTAGTTTTTATTTAACTTTCACAATAAAGTATTACAAAAAGTAGTAAATTTTTCTATTATTGGTTTGTTTCTACAGATTTCCAAAAGATCCTTTTAGGCGACAAACTTGGATTGTAGCTTGTAGAAACCATGAATCTTGGATACCTAAACGGACTAACATTTAACTATTACTCACCAAAAGCCTATCGCTATGTACGTAAAACTTTTGGAACATGTTTGCCTGCACCACGGACATTGACTAAGTGATACACTAGCAACGATCACAGACCAGGGTTTACTCAAGAAGCGGTGACGGCATTAAAATTGAGAGCGGAGAGTAACCCTGATAAAAAAAATTATTGTACCTTTGACATGGATGAAATGGAAATTAAGCAATTGATGGAATACCATGTTAGCAGCCAAAGGCATTATGTATAATAACCAAAATGTCTTTTAGAACTTGCATAGTACTCCGTCAATTGTTTTATTTTCATTTCATCTATCACTAATATACAATACAATTTCTTGTCAGGGTTACTCTCTAGTCTAAGTTTTAAAACAGTTAACGCTTTTTTGTGTAGCCAAGTCGACCATCAATTGTACATTAGTTTAGCAAAAAATCTTTCTGAGGGATACTTAGGCCTAAGTAGATGTCACATTTTATTTTTAAGCAGCTGTCTGTTTAAAGTTCACTTTGTTCAACTGTTATATAGTGTAAAACTTTTTTATTTTCCTAATTTATTAAATATTTTCCAGATAGTTCATTTAATTACTCTTCAAAATCAACAACTTTTAATAAATAGCGGTTTTGTGATTGAAGCCTTATAATAAAAACAAAAACTTGATTAACACCATCTCAGATGATAAATTGATAGGATTTTTCTTTTCATAAATCTGATTTTTAAAATAAGTTAACTAAACCTCCTATTTCGCTTTGTTAAACATTTTAAATTTTATGCTGCATAAGGTAAAATAAACCTGTAGAAAAATAATAAACTTACTTTCAATAATTTATAAGCTTTTTTCCGAAGATCAATCTTAAATATTTAAAAAAAAAAGAATTTCAAATAACACCCTGGTATTATTTATCTATGTATTACTTATAATCAAATACAAACTTATGCGACTATGGTGATTTGTTTATCGATAAAAAATATAGACATAGTCCACGCCTTACATTGTTTACGCATTCAGCCAGCGCTATCAGTGTATCGACACGTGTACAATTTGATGGTATGCGTAAACGCGATGAACACAAACACAAATGTTGTAGTGTGCGTTTATAGTGACACGATTTAATTTTGCATTTGTTGTTAAGTATACAGTTGTGTGTTTTTCTTGCGCCCCCCTGATGTTGACAGAATTTTTGTTTAGGAATTAACGCGCATGGCCTCTCCAGTTGGTTGAATACTCAAAGGTCCTCACATAAATTAAAACCCCTAGAAAAAATGCAAAAACGTACCTCATAATGCAATTCCAACAGAACTTCCGCGTATACCGTACAAAACTTTAAAACGGCTTCCAAATGCAAATAATCTAAACTAACTTGATTTTCCCTCTCATCAAATAAAATATTAGAAATATAATTGCCTTCACGCAACAAAATATTTCTGCACCTGTCTGTGTCCAACTGGTACACTTCTTTGACAACCGATAGAACGTAAAAAAGGCGCGAAAATTCCACAACTTTTTTTCCAACAATCATGAAAATATCATCGACTACATCAAATAAATTATTTCCCTTATATTCTCCCAATCTCTTTAAAAACTCAATGGTCATTTTGGTAAATTTCCTCATTATTCGAATATCCGCCATTCCGTGTGACGTTCCGCCATTTTGTGATGAACACAGCACTTTTAATAGATTTATTGTAATACTTTTCAAAACCTCGTTTTCGAATAATTCGATTTTGTCGATTAATAATTCGGTTGCATTATTAAAGGCAGTTTCCGCGTATAGTTCTCTCGTGTTTGAAATTTGAATGATCAATTCCGGTAGCACAGTTTTCACCAATGTGTTTTCGTCTTTCAATGCGCTTATTAACATTTGTGCTATATCCAATCCGATTGATTTAGTGGTGGCTGGAAAAAAGCAAATTTGTTATTACATTTTTGACTATCTGACCCGGCAGACGTTGCTCTGCCCTTTCCGGTAGGTAGCGCGATTAATTTCACACCGAATCCACTCTGAACTTTTTACAGAGAGTTTAGTAATTTTTTCGTTAATAAATATTTTTATTACCTTGGACCACCTCTTTATAATAAAATCAATAAAAAGACTGAATTGTACTCTTTAAATAAAAAGAAATGCAAAATTAAATTATATGAATTTCTTCATCAGTTAAACTTTGAAGAAACTGAAGCATTACTTACTACTAGTTAATGTTACATACACACCCTCTTACACACACTCATGCATTCAACATATTATACACAAAGAGATACACATTATACCATTTTTCTTTATATCATAACACATTTTGTTATGTTTAAGACTCAAAATTTATCTGTTGTATACCTTCTATTTAAGTAATAGTTACTTATGTCAGTCTGTTAATATGTAATAGGGAAGAGCACTGTGATCTGAAATACAGATATATATTTATCTAGTTCAGACACAAATGTTCCATCATTCTTTGCGAACTAGGCATAGATCTTAGAATAGTTATTTATTAATGTGATAGTTATACAAGTGGTTAAAATAAAGTATTATTATTATTATTATAGAGTAATACAAAATAATTAATGACTCAACAACAGAGCCACCTATCGGTTCCAAATCTTGTTTTTCTTTTTTGGCACAATACTAACGTAATATGTTTATTGTGAATAATTGACGGCCTCGTTAGTCTGGTGGTTGTAGTAGTGTGACTGCTGATCATGAGGTCCTGGGTTCAAATCCTGCATCGGGCCAAAAAATTAATTATTAGGTTTTTCCGTCAAGCAATTCTCAATAGCTGCCCAGAGTCAGAAAGTTTCAACCCAGTGCCTTGGAAAGCACGTAAAGCCGTTGGTCCTGCGCTTGATCTCTCTCCGCTCGTGTCTGGTTACCGTCATATTGGACCATGAGACTAAGGAAATAGAGAGTGCATCTGTGCTTGCGCATACACTCGTACACTATAATCCTGTCCTGCACCGATGGCTAGGCTCCGTAGAGGCCAAAAATCGGCTATTGAGTTTTTCTACCAATAAATTCTCAGTAGCAGCCCGGAGTCAGGAATTTGGCGGTGTTTCAATCCCGTGTCTCGGAAACCACGTAATAGCACGCAGGACCAACGGCCTGCGCCTAAACTTTTTCCGGTCGCGTCGAACGGCAATCCGAGAGAGTGCACCCGTGTTCGCGCAAAAACTCGTGAACTACAATTTTGTACTGCACAGACGGCTGGTCTCATGTGAAATTGCCCGACGATATATATATATCAGAAATACTAATAATGAATAATCATCCCAAATATAATCTACCGACGGTGTAGTGCATAATATAAGAGACGACAGAGGGGAAAAAACCAGAAGATGGGCAGCAGTAACTTCCCGATAACTACTCAAAATAACAAAAAACGGGTTCCAGTGGCAACCATGGCAAAATCTTACCAGTGTTGCAATATATGGGGAAACCCATAGAATACTATAACACATACATAATAGAACGGGGGTGTGAGCGGAGCCCGTATAGCCCCTAAAATGTCACTAATACGTCAATTCACACGTATAAATGTCAAGACGAGATGTTTTGAAGTGACAATCGTTTCCAAATTTCGCATGCAAATTATTTAGAAAATGCCAAATTGCACGCTACATATTTACAAATAAATATGTATTAAAATCCGTCTGTCAACACAGCGAATCGGGTTTGATAATACGACGTAATTGCTTGTATGTGTGCTCCCGGCGACGCCGAACCTCGGTACAAAATAAGGTTGACAGCCATTCTATTATGTATTATAGTATTCTATGGAGAAACCTGTATTCAGCCGTTGGTTTTTTGATTGTATGGCTTACAAATAATTGTTCCGGGTCTGGATTTGTGGCCTCATAAAATTTAACCAGTGAACTGCCACAACGATACAGGAGCAAATCCCAGTGTGAAAGAATCATGATGAGGGTGCATCATGTATAATATGAAAATACGATTAAAAGCAACATTATCATTTTTGAATTGATTTAAATGAATATATTCACCACCCAAAGCCCCTGCCGTATCAAGGATCAGGATCTTGGGCACGTACATAACACGTAACATAGTTAACGCACATTGAGAAAGTAGTTTGTTCAGAATCGTTTACTGAATCGATTCCTATCATTTTTAATATAGGTAATTTTTTATCCCAAAAATAATTAAAACTACGTAAATTACAGTCACAATAAATCTGTACAGTCGAAACAAACTGAAATGGACTATAACTTAAGGCAAATAAGATATTTAAGAGTGCAGTTTTATTTGTATTATTACTAATTCTGTCATTCAATAAAAATAAAGAAAAATGAACTTTATTTCAAGCACGTTATAGTTTTTGCGTTCTTGGATTTGTACTGTGACCACAACATTCTTCTGGAATTAGTATAACTGATTTGATAAATAATCAGCGCATAAAAATGTTTAACTAAAAATTCAGTGTATGTATTCTGATTATATAACATAATATACTAATTGGGTGTCTAAGGTTGTGCGTTAATTACGTTACATATTGTATATCGCTCAACGTAATCCATACAAAAACATATACAGGGCTATTTTTCAAAGTGTATTCAAACTTAACATTTAAGTTTAAATATATTAATACTAATATACAGTTTTGGCAGTTTTTTTTTTTAATACGAGTAATCAACTTTTATTTAAAATTATTCCAAATTGAATACGATTTATGGGCAACAACAACGCGAACGCGATCTCCTATGTGTGCGGTTCAATGCTCAGTTTTTGCCTACTGTTTACTTTCAAAACATTTTCGTTTATGAACGACGTAACCGATGACTGTTGTTATTATGTCGTATTTAAAATATTGGAATAAACTATTTACATCTAAATTACGCAAGTAGTCCAAATAGCTAATATTGATACCTCAAAATTGAATCAGTTTCTCTCTGTGCATAGACAAGCACGTTTTCTTAAATAAATTTTTATACTTATTATATTATGTGTTTGAGCACTTTTAAATTCCGCGAATGCAGCAATAATTTCGCTGCGGCGGTCTTCATAACTTTGGGCCTCTTTGACGTAAACACGACTCGTTATTTCAGCGCACAAACAAAAGTTTAACGGTGAAAGGTCCAGCCAGTTTGCATAGTATAGGGCCTCCGTGCGCAATACATCTATCTTCATATTCGCTATTAAATTTCACTATTTAAATTATTGCTCACTGAACTTGAATAGTTTGATTAGCTGTCAATTATTGTTCTTCGATTGTACATGTACGTTAATTTTCTGACGCGGTAAAGACTAGCTTTCCTCTAATCTTTATGCATTACGTAAACTTGCTTAAAATGTAACTGCTTAAAATTTAATACCGCAACATTTCATGGTATCAGTTTTCGCGGTTTGAATATATTCGTTCCATCTTTGGGAACAAAGCAACACCACCTATGAAAGTTTAAAAATGGCACACTCCCAAGCAATGGAGTCACGGTCAACACTATCAGCCGTCGGCCGTAGGTACCTAGAGGCGTAACGATTAAAAGAAGAGCGCGAGAAGCCGCGCTGCAAGGTATCTAAATTTTTAGCCGAGAGACCCTTACGAATATGTGCCTGCGTTGAAAAATGGTAATCGTTAGATATTTATGACTGACAATTAGTTACAATAATGCATTATCACACATTCTGAATACAAAAGATAAAAATAACAATGTTTGAGATTCTTTTTTTTTTCACCGTTCGCCTAAGTTATTTATTCTGAACCTCCTCTGGAAATTTGGCCATACATTGTAAAATAACCCTGTATATTCTAATTTAGGAGATCCATCTTTTTAGAAGTTTGCTAAATAAAATAATAAAAGAGTTTAAGAAAAGAACAACACGCATTGATCATGAAGTGTAAAGATCCAGATAATTATGTCAATTTATCCTGGTGATCAAGATACTAGTATAAAGTTATTAAAGTTATGTCCTTTACACGAGTGCAAATTTTCAAGTCAATTGGTCGTTCACAAGTTACATTCATTCACAAATTACATTACATCACAAGTTCACAAATTACATTAGAAGTTTTAGTTACATAGATAGATAGATAGATAGATAGACATACGCGAAACTAATAAAAATGTGTTATAAACCATTGAAGTAATATGTACTTACGTACTAGAACAGCTATCACAAACAAAAGAGTGCGCTACTCTGTGTTCGCGCGGTTGGTTTTTTATCATAGAATAAACATAGGTAGAATGAACCGTAGGTAATAGGAGATTGTATTTTTAAATATTACCTATTTAAAAATACAATCTACTATTACCTACGTTTTACCTAAATTATATCGAGAACAATATTTAAATTTTGTCATTTATTTTGTATATTATATTTGCTTATTTAATATAGTATTACATAATATTATATCACAATTACATTTTAATGATATTTTTATCTGAATATTTTAAAAGGTATCCTGTGTCAAATATAAAAAACATACTGAATGTATGTCTTTAAGGAGTATGCTAGGGTTGAATCTGAATGACAGGATGAGAAATTGCGTGATAAGAGATAAATGTGGTATGCAAGATGATGTTGTGACCAGGATTAAGAAAGGAATGCTTCGGTAGTTTGGTCATGTAGAAAGAAGGAATGAGAAAAGAGTGACTAAGCAAATTTATATGGCAGATGTGAACGGCCGAGTCGGGAACGGACGCCCTAGAAAAAAGTTTATCGACCAAATTGGCGATATTTTGAAAAGGGGCCACGTTAGAAGTACCCTTAACCGACGAGCATGTATGCGTAGATATATGGATGTAAAGGAGGCGAAAGAGGTATGTCAGGATCGTGCCAAATGGAAGTCCGTAGTCTCTGCCTACCCCTCTGGGTGACAGGCGTGAGTGTTTATGTTATGTTATGTTATGTATGTTTAACAAAACTTATTAACATAACATTTAAATTACAAATATAATTATTTAAATTAGAATAAGAGTCGTTCATAAATGCTGGGCACGCGAGAGTTAAAAATGGACGAATTTATTCCACTTTGACTTTGAAGTGGAAACCTAAAAATAAAATAAAAAAACAAACATGAAAAATTTAGCCTAATTATAATAACTTATAGTTTCTACAAAAAAAATGTGTATAAAAATATATTCGTCCTATAATTAAGTACCCACAGAAATGTCGCATCTGAACATATTAATTTCATAATCTATATTCCATGACACGAGATGGCGTCTTAGGAATAATTTGTTTTATTATCTATAATACTTTTCTTATTGGTTAAGTATCTTATTAACCGATGAAAAGTAATTCCTTGGTTTTTATTGACATTTCTTGAATTATTTGTGCAATATCTAAGCACACACGACGGCATATTTTTATCAAGAGATTTTTTTTAAATCAACACAACACGTGACAACTCTACAAGCACCTAGCGAGTGACTGATTAAAGTGCGGTGTATGCACCGCAGTTGAGTGGAACAGAGTAGCTGAATGCAGTGTCGCCTCTAGTACGTAGTACATAATAGCTCAATGTTATAAACAGAAAAAACACGACACATTAAACACTACAGGAACTAAAAGGAATACCTACAGGCGGGGTCCACACATGTGGCGGCTTGCTGCGCGATGGCCAGCAGTGTAGATTGCGAGTGGGAGTGGGACAGCCAGCCCAGCGCTGCGCGACGCACGCTGGGACTTCGTTCGTGGCACACGAACTGCACCACAGGACAACGTACATATACACCCGTTACCAAATACTTGAATACTTTACAACCTTGAAAAACTTCGAAGACCGATAACGGGTAGCAATATCAAAGCTGCTCAACCCCTCCTCCCCCACTACAACCGGAGATCCCATTGAGAAGTGGACATTTACGTGCACAAATACGGCAGTGCACGCACACTGCAGTAACACGGTAGAACCTGCCCGGACGGACTCTTAACCATAAGAGAAGTCCTGCCTTCTAGTGTAACAGTATAAGATTACATTGACTGCCTCTTTGGTCTAGTAGTCGTAATGTGGTCCCGGATTTAAATACCGGGTCGCGTCCAATCTACTTATAAAATTGTTCTGTAGTGTAGTGTAGCCCCCAAGTTAATATATAACAGTGTTAATGTAGAATAGTTTAGTAGTATAACTAAAGACATAACAAAATTAACACGCCTCTCTTCTCATTTTATCACCTTCTATGTTGGAAGCATCACCTTCACCTTACATGGCGACCCTGCTAGGATTAATTGAGGCACCAGTCTCTTCAGAAGCGTGTTACTCTAGCTATGTCTTTAATTATACTACCTAATTATTTTACCTCAACACTGATATAAATTAACGTGGGTGCACTACACTACAGTTCTGACAAGAAATTCTGCTTATCACCATTTACCACCAAGTGGGATTGTGGTAAACACTGGCTTATAATAACTAAGAAAATTATGCGTGTAATTGTGTACAGGTAGATACACACGTATGAAGTGAAACTCCTCTACCACATCATTCTACTTTAATTTTATTACTCAAGCAGCTCCGGCGGTGAAACTTTAAAAGAAAACGTGACGATTTTCAAAGTACCGTATTAAATTTCTCCACTGCGTCGACAAGACAAGAAAAGTCATGGTAACAGATGGTTAGCACTCGCTGTAAATTTCACAGTACGCGAGCAAACCGGGTTCGATCCCCGCCGGCACCAATGAAATTGTTGATTGCAATTTTAAGTACTGATTTACCACGTTCTCGGCGGTGAAGGAAAACATCGTGAGGAAACCTGCATGTCAGAGAAATAAGACAAAAAATATTTCGAAGAAAAAAACTAAAACCCCCTCAGAAATGAGGGGAGGCCTGTGCCCAGCAGTGGGACGTATATAGGCTGTAACTTTACTTTACTTTTTGACTAAATCCGTTACTAGAGACTTGACTTGTATTTTTGTATATGCCAACAATTATTAATAAGTTAATTACCCGCAATAGTATAGGTACGGCAGTTTCCCCGCACTTGCTCAAAGCCTCGAGTGTGTATGTGTCGTCCGCGTGTGCGTGTGCGTGCGCGAGTGCGTACAGCGCGCGGCACAATGCGCACTGCTCGTGCGGAGTCAACGCTCGACGCGATGTTGTGTGCAAAGTGGCCCACTGTACCATCAGGACATTTTGTATGCGTGCACTAGTGCGTACAGCGCGCGGCACAGTGCGCGCTGCTCGTGCGGAGTCAACGCTCGACGCGGTGCTGTGTGCAAAGTGGACCAATGTACCATCAGGATATTTTGTATGCGTGCACGAGTGCGTACAGCGCGCGGCACAGTGCGCGCTGCTCGTGCGAAGTCAACGCTCGACGCGATGCTGTGTGTAAAGTGGACCAATGTACCATCAGGATATTTTGTATGCGTGCACGAGTGCGTACAGCGCGCGGCACAATGCGCGCTGCTCGTGCGGAGTCAACGCTCGACGCGATGCTTTGTGCAAAGTGGACCAATGTGCCATCAGGATATTTTGTATGCGTGCACGAGTGCGTACAGCGCGCGGCACAGTGCGCGCTGCTCGTGCGAAGTCAACGCTCGACGCGGTGCTGTGTGCAAAGTGGACCACTGTACCATCAGGACATTTTGTATGCGTTCACGTTGCGTACAGCGCGCGGCAACACCCTACCACATTTTGTATGCGTGTACGAGTGCGTACAGCGCGCGGCACAATGCGCGCCGCTCGTGCGGAGGCAACGCTCGACGCGATGCTGTGTGCAAAGTGGACCACCGTATCAGTGGTACATTTGGCAAAATAAAAGTAAGCGGTGTAAGAATATCCACTACCAAATATCATCCCGTTGGTGTCGTAAGACGCAACAAAGGAAAACAAATCAGGTGACGGGCAGGAGCGTCTTCCCTATAACGACTTAAAATAAAAACTGCGGTTCCAACCCACGTGCCAAGCGTGGGAACTGTAGGAAATAGCTCCCTATGAGGTAATATAAGGGGGAGGCCCCTAAGGAGGATTAATACACAAGTAGTGGCACTCACCGTTGGCATACAGGATCTCTATCAGGACACGTAACGCCTTGGCATCTTCGTATTTTAGCGCCAACCGAAGAATCCTTTCCAGGTTCACCTGTAAGTACAATAGGAATTTTATACGAGGGTAACAAACGAGTACAGTTCATATGGTAGTTATAAAAGAAAAGGTGGATGGTATGACCCTACATGCAATCCTCGATTAAATATGAAAATGCTGATAAGTTGACACCCCCGAGGATTGAGATGAAATTCCTTGTTACCAGTAAAGTATCTCATTCTTTACACACATGAAACGAAGCACAAAAGCATTATACTGGTATTCTATGAGAGCTTGGTCCTTCGAGCCGACCCAATCAAAATTCAGCTGACCCAAACAATGTTGAAGTAATCTAGAAGATATAGATATGGGACTCCATCAATTTATCGTAACGATCGAAATCATTACGATCGTCTGTAGTTCCTTTTACCTTATCTGTAATCCCTTCACTGGGATCGGGAATGCCCAGCGTCAAAGAGCTTTTGAGATGGACGGTCACTTCATCGTCAGAATTGTTGTTTACGTCACTTCCGGTTCCGTATTTACCTGAAATAGAAGTTAGAGGCTAAAGCCCGTCTAGACTGAAGTAGTAAGACTTAGTAGGCCCATATACTGGTTGATTTTATTACTGTCTGGAAAAACAAGGTGAAACAGGTGAACGGAATAGAAGCCTATGATACTGATATTTTACATTTTATTTTTATTTTACTTTAACATAGGAAATTGATGTAACAATAAAAATACTACTAATTTGAAATAAACTTTCGTCACTAAAAAAAAAAACAATATTTTTTTTATATATGGAAGAGGGGGCAAACGAGCATGCGGCTCACCTGATGTTAAGTGACTACCGCCGCCCATGGACAACCGTAACACCAGGAGAATTGTGGGTGCGTTGCCGGCCTTTTAGAAAGGAGTAAGCTCTTTTCTTGAAGGTCCAAAGGTCGTATCGGTCCGGAAAAATCGCCGGTGGTAAACTATTCCACAGAAAGGTCGTACGCAGAAGAAAACTCCTTGTGAAACGTACAGTGGTGGACTGCCAAGCATCCAGATGGTGTGGATGGAATCGGGACGAATATTTGTGAACTGAACAAATAAATCAATTAAAACTATCGAAATTAAAATATACGTATTAGTAGTATTTATTGATAGATCGATTTCATTTCATAAAGAAAATTGTAAAATAATATAGTAGAATAGTATAGTGCCATAGGCTTTTATTTCGTTCACCTGGTACACCCTATTCTTTTCATGATGGTAAAAAAATCATCGAGTATAATTAGTGGCATGATTAAACAAGAAACTGTTACACAAAAGAAGTGAATCACAAAAGAAATATGCGAACTAAAATGTAATGTATGGAGTTTGGCAGCAAATGTCAAGCGCAATTGCTGATAACACGGTTCCCCGGGTTAGAATCACGAGTCTAGATCTATATATAATCGATTTTCTGTCAAGAAATTCTCACTATAAGCCCGGAGTCAGGAAGTTGGCGGTGTTACACCCCAGTGCTTCGAAAAGCACGTAAAGCCGTTGGTCCTGCGCCTGATCTCTCTCCGGTCGTGTCGGTTTACCGTCCCAACGAACTGTGAGAGTGAGGCAATAGAGAGTGCACCTGTGCTTGCACACACTCGTGCACTATAATCCTGTCCTGCGCCGATGACCAGTCTCTATTGAGACTGGCCGCCATAACCGAAACCGGTCTGAAAGACATTATAATTACCTATTTAAAATGAAAATATATATATAAATGAACTTAACTAGATTTAAATGACTGGCATAATTGCGTAATTTGACGTAGTCTGACGCTTTAGAGGAACGATGGATGATAACATTTCATATCCTCTTTTCTTTCAAAAAAGAGATTTTTCTGAAGGTACCACGCATGAAATGTAATACTACACTAGCTGGTACCCGGTGCGTTACTGTCGCAGCTAAAATAATTATGGAAATATCGTTTGAAAATAGAATTTCCACAAGTAAACCACGCCACCTACATTCATTGACTTCCTGCATGTCTCACCAGGTCGTCACTCCATCCAGTGGTGGGTCGCCCTACACTTCGCCTACCGGTACGAGGCTGCAACTCGAGAACCTTTCTTCCCCATGGGTTGTCGCTTCGAGATATATGGCCTAAAATAAATATAATTAACAAACTGTTCATTAAAACCACTTTTACAGATTTTATCGCGTTTATTTATATGATTTTTAATTCTCGACGTTTCGAGTGCCTTCAAGCACCCATGGTTACGGGAGACTGAGGTGATTGACGTCCCGATGTCAGTGTTAACCCGGAGTACCCTCAGCATTTTAATTATTATTTATGGTCCGATCTACGCAGAATGAACTTACTAATTCTAATTGATCAATTTTGTCAAACAAAAAGATAAAACCCGCGCAAAAGAACATATAGCCGACGTGAAGCATCAAGGTTGCGAGAAGTGTGCAGTTCGAAGTTCTTTCGCGAGATATGATATCTCGCGAAAGAACATCGTTTCCTACCAAGGACGATACGGCGACGGCTATTTAAATTTAAAAAAAAAATCTTAATTTCAATAGAGAAGGAGGCTGGGTACTACCACCTGCTTGGGACCCTGCTATTAATAAAATTAAAACTAAATTTAAGCATACCACTGCAATACTTCAAGACACAGTAAGTTCATTCTGCGTAGATAGGACTAATTAAAAAGCTGAAAGTACTCCGAGTTAACACTGACATCGGGATGTCAGTCACCTCAGACCCCGTGACCATGGGTGCTGGATAGCACCGGAACCGTCGGGAATTAAAAATCATATAAATTGAACGCGATAAAAAACGTAAAAGTAGTTTTAATCAATGTGTAGTGTTCGCGTAAATATAAGAAATAATTACCAAACTGTTGTACAATTCAGTGATTGTGTAATTTTTAGCCCGTTCTAATTAGTAACGACCAAAGACTTTTACGTATACTAATTGGGCACTACGGTACTAAGACATTGCGCACTAAGTGAAGGTCAATTCTGAGTAACTCCTTAGTCGACTGCGAGCGAGCGAGAACACTAGTTCTCTGTTCGTATACAACGATCGTTGTTTTCGACAATCTAACATTTATTTTATTTAATGTAACTAAGAAAACGCTGTCATTATTTATGTGCATACTTCGTCAACGTGGATTGTAAGTAAGCGATATCGCGTATTTATTTATTTATTTAAGTAGATGTAGCACATTAGATGTATATAGGCCGACTTAATGCCTGAGGTATTATCTACCAGTCTACCTTAGAGTAGTGCAGAGATAAAAGAGGTAGGTGTAATAAGAAGTATGGTACAGCAATTTATATATATACATATATATATATATATATATATATATATATATATATATATATATATATATATGTATATATTCAAACGAAATATATATATATAAAAACATTATGTAAGTATATATATACATAAAATTAAATACATATATATAATATATATTAATATACATACATATATATACATATATGTATGTATGTATATATAATATTTGCCTAAAAACAGTAACTATCGTAAATTTAAATACAACTGCGTGGCCTATGTACCCGTTCGCACTATCCATAGCAGAGACACAGTTTATAGAAGTGCTAATAAATGAGTGTGTTACCTAAGAACATTAGCACATCCCTGCGTAGTGATCTGCCTTCCTTCGCCTTCAGGTCTATCCGATGGTACATCCTCTCCACATGGTTAATAACCTACAATACAATAGAATAAAGGAATAGTTGGAAAAAGCACAGCCTATATACGTTTCACAGATGGTCTCAGAGCTCTCATTTCAGAAAGGTTTGTGAAGAAGGGAAAAGTGGGCCGATCAGTCCCCATGGATATTAGCAGATTTTTTATATGGAGTGACTGCACCATATTCATTCATTAAGAACAGCCCATCAAGTCTACTGCTGAACGTAGGAATCAACTCATTGATTATCTCATAGGGGCGGGGGGGGGGGGATATTTCCATAGGTCCCACACTTAGCAGACCACCTTATTACTTTGAACTAAACAAAAGATGCCGCGGCCTATCTTCTGTTTCAGATTCCCTCTGTTACCTCTACGATACCCCCGTTGAAACCACGATGATATTGCCACAGCACCATATCTCTAGAACCCTCTCAACAAACATGAGAGGAGGTGTGAGCCCATCACCTGGCGTAACTTAGATTGAGTTACCCTACTTAAACTTTACTTACTTACTAGTGTCATGGTAACTCAGGGTTTAAAAACTAAGGTTAAAAAAAACCTGCAATTTTTATTTTTTATTAGGAATTGAACTAAGAAAATAATACTTAAAATATATATATAAAGACAATAACAGAGTTCCACAATATTCTGAAAAACACTTACGAAACCGAGAGGTAAATTTGTAACTTAATACAATTTGAATAATACTTTACAGTATAGGGTATTTATAATATAAGGTTATACAGGGTTCTGTACATTGGTTTTTGGTACATTTTTGTTTAGATCAGCAGTTATTTCATAAATAAAATTAATTATCTTCATACTTTGTAGAGCCACGCTGCAGCATTGTGTTTGTAGCACGAACGGGTCGGCTCGACCGGAGAAAACCACGCACTCACAAAATACCAGCTTAATACTGCTGTGTTCCCTATAGTGAGTGTAGAGATCCGGAGACACTTTTTTACTTGAAACGAGGCATTCCATCTTAGTCCTGAGGGGTGACAACGCATCTGCATTTTGATTCTATATCGAGGATAAATGTAGATGTCTATGGGCCACAGTATCCACTTACCATCAGGTGGACTGTGTGCTCGTTTGTCACCCTTATTCTATAGAAGAAAAAAAACGGTCGATCTAAAAAAAATAGAGCTATATCCCGGTTCAATGCCTGCCGGCAGCTGTAAGTGCTGATTTACCACATGCTCGGTGGTGAATTTCCTTCTTCAGGAAAACACGTGATGAAATCTGAGGAAAAAATTGTATTTCGAAAACATGTGAAGTCCGAACACGCATTGGGGCAGTTTTGTACACTTCCTTACCCTAAAACGCCCAGCTGTGGGTCGTATAAAGGCAGTATTTTATTGTAATTACGATTGATAGCGCATAACTAAAGGAATAAACGAATAGGTAAGTGGCAGGACTTCTATTGTGTCGAGAAGTCTATTTGCATAGACATCACTCTCTTTAACTTTGTTGACTGCCTCATTGGTCTAGTGGTTGTAGTAGTGCGACTGCTGATCATGAGGTCCCGGGTTCGAATCCCGGGTCGGGCCAAAAAATCGTTTATTGTGTTTTTTCATTAAGAAATTCTCAGTAGTTGCCCGGAGTCAGGAAGTTGGCGGTATCTCACCCCCGTGTCTCGGAAAGCACGTAAAGTCGTTGGTCCTGCGCCTGATCTCTCTCCGGTCGTGTCAGTTTACCGTCCCATCGGATTATGAGAGTGAGTGAATAGAGAGTGCACCTGTACTTGCGCGTACACTTGGGCACTATAATCCTGTCCTGCGCCGATGGCTAGTCTCCGTTGGGGCTGGCCGCCGTGACCAAAACTCGGTCTGGAGGACGTTATTATTATAACTATTTGTGACGCTAAATATCAATGCTCGCACTGCTGTGTTCCGGCCTGATAAGTATCGAGATTGGGGATGGGGGATTTTTTTTAGAAGAGGAGGCAAACGAGCATTCGGTTCACCTGATGTTAAGTGACTACCGCCACCCATGAACAGCTGCAACACCAGGGGAATTGCAGGTGCGTTGCCGGCCTTTTAGAAAGGAGGAAGCTCTATTCTTGAAGGTCCCTAGGTCGTAACGGTCCGGAAAAATCGCTGGTGATAAACTATTCCCACAGAGAGGTCGTACGCGGAAGAAAACTCCTTGTGAAACTTACAGTGGTGGACCGCCAAGCATCCAGATGGTGTGGATGGAATCGAGAGTTTTGCCGCGTGGTGCGTTCATGAAATTTGGCGGCTGGGATTAATCCGAACAATTCATCAGAGCACTCCCCGTGGTAGATGCGATAAAATACGCAGAGATGTAACATCTCTTCGCACGACGATTCGAGCCGCTCTGCGCTGTATGCGGTCAAGTGGAAGGAGCTGGTACTGGGGCGCCCGAGCCCAGAGATGGGAACAGAATTCTATGTGAGGCCGAACCCGCGCCTTGTAATTATATTAATTACGACTAAATGCTGTGAGGCATTCCATCTGTCTTCAGAGGTGACAACACAGCTGTAGCCTTCCTTGTTAGAAGTTAGTTGCAGGTATTCATGGTTCAGGTGTTCATAGGCTGCAGCGGCCACTTACCATACGAAGAGTAAGTTTGTTTGTTAATTTAGTTCTATACATTAAAAAAAACTCTAATAAACTCCATATCCTGTAGCTGACTTTATACCACTACTATCAAGTATGGATAGCAAAAAAACTACTAGCCCACATAAAGCATGGATAGCAAAAAAGGTCTGTAAGTTATTGCACTTACGTCATTCAACTCCGTGTCATCCAGCTTCTCCTTCTGCGTCAAAATGAGTGACTCCAACGTTCTTATAGAACGAGACAGCATGGCCGGTTCAACGTCTCTCCTCGCGAAGGTTATCTGAGATATACAGTTGGATTTGTAAAAACTATGTCAGAACTTGCAGCTATATTGTGATTGTAGCACGAATAAGTCGGCTCGATCGGGGAAGGACCACGCTTTTACAGAAAACCCGCGTGAAATACTGGAAACGAGACATTCCATCTTAGTCCTCAGGGGTGACAAAGCATCTGCAGTTTGATTCTTAATCGAGGACAGATATATATAAAATAAAAAAAGAAGGTCAGTTAGTCTCGGTATTTAACCTACAAGCCTGTATTTGATTATCATCCCATCTGATAGTAGGTATATGGTGATGTAACCAAAAATGACAAAGTACACTGGTTTACTTTATTAATAACAAAGCCTTGCAAAGTGCACGGGAGGGAGTGTAGATATTGCGCGGCACCACTCACCCGTCCCTCTGAAACTGAATCTTGGGTGTCCAATAGACCAGTTCCGCCACAGGAGTCAGGAAAACTCGTACTTTCGAGTGCTCGTTTTTCCTGGTCGAACTTGGGTGGTCCAGAAATGGAGAAATAGCGTAGAAATAATCCTCTCCCAAGGATGGGATGCCGGCGCTGGTGAGGCGTTGCTGTTTCTCTGCCTATTGCCTATTGTCGTTCTACGACGAAGGGTGAAACACTATGGGGTCTTCAAAGGGAAGTATGATCACGTTACGCGAACAACTCTACATACCTGCAAAGCCGTGAGCAAACTAGGAATATCTCGGACCGATTTAACTGGTGTCAGGATCAAAGCCAAGCAGGACTCATATAGATCGACATTATCGCGACAATTGTCTATTCGGACCAGCTGAAAATTAAAAAATATATTTAGTCAGAATGGAAAATTACTTCTTACTTTTTTATATGTAAGCTTACGTAATCCGAGAGTCAATGTTATTCCAATAGAAATAAAAATAGAAGCTTCTTATTTCAATAGCTTCTTTCATGTTCAATGGCCCGATCGATGTAGGACCACGCTCTGACAGAATACCGTAAAATAGTAGCTTAAGGCTGCTGTGTTTCGTATAGTGAGTGTAGAGATCCGGAAATCTCTTTTTTACTGGAAACAAGGCATTCCATACATACATATATTAGACATGTGTCATTCATTCATTTCTAATGACCCGATCATTCAAGTATAGATATGTAAGTATAGATATGTATAGATTTGTCTTACGAATCGGGTCATTCTTTCAAATGAATAATTTCGAGTTTCGGTACTCCTGTGATCTGTGAGATCCGCTGGATGATGTTGGTCGTCGAACATAACTTATTAAACTTACTTAACTAACCCAGGTCAAATGAACGAATCATTCACGATTGACACATGTCTAACATATATCAGTACTCTATATCGTACTATGGGTGTTGTAAGAGGCGACAGAGGGTAACCGTAACAAAGATGGATAGCAGCAATGATATTATATACAAAAAGAAGCAGATATCTAGTTAGCGTGCGCGTAGTGATGACTCCGAAACGTCCTAATTGGGCAGTTTAGTCTTTAATCCGCGTCACGCAAGGCGACGAGAAGGACGCTGTATGGAAAATTTTAAGTATATTGTTACGAGCTTGAGGTTCGTTACAATAAAAACTGCCGATTGAATTACCAAAATTTACACTTTAATTTTCTTTACACCAATTAAAACTTAAAACACTAATAATTAATCACACTGATTCACTTTATTTCGCTCCGAAGCTTCGCTTATCTCGCCAAATTCAATACTGCCCCGATCGCGTATTGCAGCGCCTTTAAATACACCTTTTCACCGAAACATCCAGAATATTCAAGTATATATATACGCGCGCCAACCGACCAGGCGCAGAAAGTTCGAGTGTAGGGCTTCTAGAAAGCTTAGTTCTTCAATTCGATACTAGATGGCGCTGTTGGTCGAAAGTCAAGATTGACATTTTCTAGGAAGCCCTCCTCGCTCTCGTCCCCGACACTAGATGGCGCTAATGCCGGGTACATGACGTCAACTTAGGCGCGCAACACTGCCCGCTCTAGAGCCCACTGCTGCAGGTTTTAGTTGATGCGTTGAACGCGATCTTTAAGCTGCGCACGAAAGACGTGTTCCAGGTGAGCGTCGCCATATCTCGCCCCCAATGCCTCAAAGAGCTGCTCATAAGTCACTTCCTCACCTAGAGCTTCCAGAACCGTTAAGGCCTGGTCGCGCAGGCCTAGTGTGAGAGCAGTCATGGCCTGACTTTTATTCCAGCCGTTCGTCTTCATAACAGCTTCGGACGGGATTTTGTAGGCTGACCAGGAAGAAGTCCCGTCGAACGGTGGCACCTTGAACCCACGTAGCGAAGATGTAGTAGCTACTAAGGGAGCTGTAATGACATCCCCCAGTTTGAGATCGTCCAGCGTTTTCTTCACGTCAGCCATCACGTTGTCAACCCGATTGATCACTTGGTCGATTCAGGTTTCTGCTTTTTCGATTCGGATTGATCAGCTTTCACGATTTGGGTTTCAGCTTCCGACAGGCGGTTGTCATGCTGAGCAACCTTATCCTTCACCTCCTTTATCTCCTTCCCGAAGGTAGCGTGAAGGTCCTTCATGAGGAGCATCTGCTCTTCCAACCGACGGGGCTGTTCCTCTTGTCCGCCCCGTAGCTGCTCTTCCAAATGACGGACATGTTCCTCCTGTCGGCGGGCCTGTTCCTCTTGTCCACCCCGCAGCTGCTCTTCCAAACGACGGACCTGTTCCTCTTGTACACCCCGCAGCTGCTCATTCAACAGACGGGCCTGTTCCTCCTGCTGCTCTTTCAACCAACGGGCCTGCTCCTGTAGCATCACCATCAGAGCACTAAGTCAGGTGCTGCAGATGCAGGAGCTACTGACGGGCCTGCTCTTCTATCTTCTTTGGTCCGTCTCCTGCTGACGTTGACTTCGGGTACGGACACCCTCCATTTCGTCCTTAGGTAAAATCAGCATGATTTTATCCCACTTCTGACACCAATTGTTACGAGCTTGAGGTTCGTTGCAATAAAAACTGCCGATTGAATTACCAAAATTTACATTTTAATTTTCTTTACACCAATTAAAACTTAAAACACTAATAATTAATCACACTGATTCACTTTATTTCGCTCCGAAGCTTCGCTTGTCGCGCCAAATTCAATACTGCCCCGATCGCGTATTGCAGCGCCTTTAAATACACCTTTTCACCGAAACATCCAGAATATTCAAGTAAATATACGCGCGCTAACCGACCAGGCGCAGAAAGTTAGAGTGTAGGGCTTCTAGAAAGCTTAGTTCTTCAATTCGATACTAGAGGGCGCTGTTGGTCGAAAGTCAAGATTGACATTTTCTAGGAAGCCCTCCTCGTTCTCGTCCCCGACACTAGATGGCGCTAGTGCCGTGTACATGACGTCAACTTAGGCGCAATATTATAAAAAGTAAACAATATTATAAAAGTTTTAATGACATAAACGTTCGGAGCCATTAAAGTTACAGTCTATCTACGTCCCGCAGCAGGGCACAAGCCTCCTCTCATATCTAAGTTTTAGGCCAAGGAAATGTCCGCAGCGCTGACCAATGCGTATAGGCGAACTTCATATGACTTCGACATATTTATTCTTATTTGTCAGACATGCAGGTTTGCTCACGATGTTTTCCTTCACCGCCGAGCACGTAGTAAATCAGCATTTAAAATTGCAATTAACAATTTCATTGGTGCCGGCGGGGATCGAATACGGGTTGCTCGCATACTGTGGAAGAGACTTACTACAATATAAAGAAACACCCTGTCCAATGCGATATAGACACAAAGTTTAAACATATTATTATTGAACTGGCTTTTTACCCACGATTTTGTTTACGTAGAACTTAAACTATAAACCAGCAGATCTATAAAAGTAGTCTTGGGGCAAATTGTTGTTGCGTTGTTCATGTCCATTTTTTTTTTTTTTTGGATAAAATACAGCCTGAAGCCCGACATTTTCAATCTGTTACTTAAATTTAACTGACAACCGTTTTAGAGTTTTAGCGGAATTAACGGACAGCAAAATTATTTTTTTACGTGGTAGAGCCATGCTGCAGTTATATTAGTAGTATAGTTGCAGCACGAATGTGTCGGCTCGACCGGGGAACGACCACGCTCTCACAGAATAACAGCGTGAAATAGCAGCTTAGTGCTGCTGTGTTTCGTATGGTGAGTGTAGAGAACTGGAGACCTTTTTACTGGAAACGAGGTATTCCACCTAAGTCCTCACGGGTGACAACGCATCTGCATTTTAATTCGCAATCGAGGATAGGTGCAGATGTCTATGGGCCACGGCAACCACTTACCATCAGGTGGACTGTGTGCTCGTTTGTCACCCTATCCTATAAAAAAATATACTGGATGACCTTTTTTACCGACCGGAAAAAAATGGGTGTAACATATGAACGGAGTGAGAAGCCTGTGCCACTTATATTTTACAAAAAATAAAAACAAACATATTGAATTAAATCATTCAGTATGGAAATAAAGAAGAAAATATTTATTTCGCCTATATATAAGGAATCTCGGGTGACAACGCATCTGCATTTTCATTCGTAGTCGAGGATGATGTAGATGTCTATGGGCCACAGCAACCACTTACCATCAGGTGGACTGTGTGCTCGTTTGCCACTCTTACTACTATAAAAAAATTCCTACTCACCAGACGATCATCAGATATGACCTCATAGTCATCCAAATACAATGCTATAGCGCGTATTGCACCGAGGATCGCGCTCACGGCGGAACTGCATACCAGCCTCAAATCATGTAGTAATTGTAGAGCGTGTAAACAACGTTCCCTATCGCCATCTACCATCTCCAACAGTGGGATTATTTGGGAACTGACAACGAGAAGGCAGCGAAGCTTGTCTGGGAGTTCCTGGAAAATAGAAGTAACCAGTACTAATGTGATGCTTCGTTGGCCCACAGCAGTCACAACTATATAGTGGTGAAGAAGATACCCATGGACAGCAGTTACCGTTACCGTTGGTCTAGTGGTTGTAGTAGTGCGACTGCTGATCATGAGGTTCTGGGTTCGGATCCCGAGTCGGCACAAAAAATCGATTATTGAGATATTCCGTCCAGATTTACTCAGTAGGTGCACGGAGTCAGTCGGTCTTGAAGACATTTTTATTTGATTAAAACTACTTTTACGGATTTTATCGCGTTTATGTTTACTTTTTATTTACTTTTATTTTTAATTCCCGACGTTTCGGGCGCTTTCCAGCACCCATGGTCATGGGGGACTGAGCTTTTTTAATTATTGTTTATGGTCCGATCTATGCAAAATGAACTGACTATGTCCTGAGGTCTTGCAGTGGTATGCTTGGGTTTAGTTTTAATTTTATTGATTATAGGATCCCAAGCAGGTGGTAGTACCCAGCTTCCTTCTCTATTGAAATTAGGATGTTTTTTAATTTCAATAGCCTCACGTATCATCCTTGGTAGGAATCGGTGTTCTTTCGCGAGGATTTGTGGTCTATCAAATCTGATGTAATGGTTGGGGCCGTCTAGGATATGATCACAAACTGCAGACTTCCCGGAACGTTGATGCTTCACATCAGCTATATGTTCTTTTACGCGGGTCCTAATTGATCTTTTGGTTTGTCCTATATAAGAGAGAATAAACGCGATAAAATCCGTAAAAAGTAGTTTTAATCATGTGCAATGTTCGCGTAAATATAAGAAATCATTATGTTAGACATTTTTATTATTAACGTCCACTGCTGAACATAGGCCTCCCCCATAGATTGCCTGGTAGGGGGCATATTTACCACGCTTGGCATGCATGAGGCTGCTGCCCATCTCCTGGTTTGTTTCCATCTGTCGCTTCTAACGACATCCACGGTACGCTATGGAGTACAAGATTTTAGGTACAAGAAGCGAGCACACAGTCCACCTGATGATAAATTGTTGCATAAACATATACAATTATCCTCGATTAAGAATTAAAATGCAGATACATTGTCACCCCTGAGAACTAAGATGTCATGCTTCATTTCTATTAAAAAACTCGGCTCGGCTGGGGCAGGACCCAGCTATCACAGAATACCAGCGTAAAATAGCTGCGTAATGCTGCTGTGTTTCCTATTGTGAGTGTAGAGAACCGGAATCGAGGCATTCCATCTTAGTCCTCAGGTGTGAGAACGCATTTGCATTTTGATCCTTATTTGAGGATAAATGTGGATGTTTATGGGCCACAGCGTCCATTTACCATCAGGTGGTGTGTACATGTGTGTGCCTGTTTGACACCAAATGCTATAAAAAAATTAAAAAAAGTAATAATTTATAACCAGACTGCGTTGTGCACAAATGATCCAGCCCACATACTGACCAAAATAGATCGTATTTTGGTCATCCAGAGGCTCTTTTTATTCCCCGACTGCGGAGGGTAATGTGTTTATCAAGCCTATGTATGTATGTTTTCTTTGTGGCACTCTAGAGACCAAACGCGTGGGCCTATAAGGTTAGAGAACAGCAGAACGATCACTACGTACTAAAGCATAGCCAGCCTATACTTGAAAATAGTAGAATTTATAGAGACACTGACGTCGGTGAGTAGTGACTGCGAAGTTAGGTGTTTATGAGTACAAGTAGATGAAGTTAGTTGAATAATTTACAAATTTTCATTTCATTTTTAATGAGAAAATTTTCATGCTCCGTAATAATGTAATTTTTGACAAAAAGAAACATTAAAAAATGGAGAAATATTTTATTGTGCGTTGATGTGCAAGTGGTTGAGCATCTGATCGGAAAAATAGACTCAAAATGACTTTTATTGACCGAACTTTGCGACCGCAGCGCCTCACTTATGGTGTCCATATTTCTGGGACACTATTTTCTACGGCGATCATTCTCCTGTTCTCTAACCTTCATGATGGCGACAACTAGCCGACATATAGCTTAAAAGAAAAAAAATTAAGTCGACGGACTATGTCAAGTGGGGTATAACCGTATAACTGATTAGGTCTTAGGAATAACGTATTCAGGTTTCTCAAGTCATTTTTATATTTTGAATGACAATTTAAAATCTATAACTATTTAAAATTGGTCAGCGACCATTTTCGCTTTTATTTTCAAAACTTATATTAAACCTCTGATAAAGTTCTTATACAATAGTATGATGGGTATTACTAGTAATTTTTTAACGCATTCGTGTTTTTTTTAAACAGTTAACCATGCTGGTTTCAGTTTATTTTTAAATATGAAAGACTTCTGGAAAACAACAAGTAATCTGAATAGAAAAATCCTGAAAAAACTACATAATCTTTTCTTTAAAATGCTATACATATCATGATATAATAGGGTTTCTGCCACAAGAAAAATGCGTTAGTCTTTTAAATCTGAAAAACTGTTTTTGTAGGTTGAAACATTTCTTGCACATCATGGTTCAATTAAGTATGTACTATGCGATTCAAATAAAAATAGTACAGACTTGGCGACATATTGTGACGTCATAGCTGTCAATTCAAGTTAGTTAGGGTGAGCATAACATATATTTTTGAAATAATATTTATTTACAAATAAATACAAAACCATGGAAGAATTTTATTTAATAATTTAATTTTTCGCGAAATGTTTCCGGCAGAGAAAATAGAAATAAAAAAACAGTTTTATAATATTTTTAAAACTAATTATTGCTTCAATAGATTTGGTAATACTAAGACTAAGGTCACTGACGTTCCTATTCTTGCTTGAATCGCATTATAGTACATATTGTCTTCGCACTTCATTGCTCCAACCGAATGAAGGAATTAAATTGAATACATAAAATTATTGAAATGTATAAAATGAAAGAATGAAGTTTTGAATGAAATTTTCAAATGACAGTTCACAAATCGCGCTCATTCGAGGTCATTGACGTTCCTATTCTTGCTTGAATCGCATTATAGTACATATTGTCTTCGCACTTAATTGCTCCAACCGAATGAAGGAATTAAATTACAAATAAAATTATTGAAATGTATAAAATGAACGAATGAATTGAGAATGAATGAACAATATGTTATTGTACACCAATAAGCAAGAGAAGGAAAAAACAACAAATTATATAAAAGTAGAATTGCCGGCCTTGTTGCTTTTAAGTGATCTCTACCGGGCAATCAGAACAGCCTACCTACCTCCGAATCACTTCCAGCGATCTCCAAAAAACTCTCAAGATTGTACACCAAATAATCCATAATGGCGTCAAGCACCAGGCAACACGACTTCGTCACCACCGTGTCAGTGCCCTTCACCGTATCGAACAATGATCTCCACAATGGCATATATTTGTTAAAATTTCCATTATCTTTATAACTTTGGCATGTCTCATTTATGAGAAAAGTTACTACCTCCTGTGGACAAAGAAAGAATGTATAAATTTGATGCACTTGATAAAATCATTAAAAAATAAAAGTATTACAAGTAGTATTTTAGTAAAAGTAGTAGTGCCTTGTAGTGGTGGTGTAAGAACATCCACTGAGGTTGCCAAGACGCTTGCCAAGCGTAGCAACTATGGCAAACATCCCCCCTATGAGGTTATCTATGGGGGAGGCCTATTTTCAGCAGTGGACTTTAATAGGTTGTATGTATTTTATTCAATATAGATAATACTTATTGAAAGTAGTTTTTTAAATTACCACTGGTTCGCAAAAAACCTCTGTCCTGGGAAGAACCAGCAAGAAACCCAGCGGAATTTATTTTAAACATATTTCAATTTACAATGAATTTATTTTGTGACATTTTTTGAATGAATTTTTATAGAACCAGCATGGTGGCGATCACCTCATTCCCAGGGGTTATTTTCATTTATGTGTTCATTTATATTATAATAACCCTTTTTGTACAACTTTTTAAGTAAAACATATACTTGATTTAATGACTAAATTGCATCATAAAAGAATTACTAGTATTTCTCAGTATTGACTCTTGCGTTATATAAAAACATTGAACACAGTTAAGTAAATACAAAATATCCCCGTCACGTGGTAGAGCCATGCTACCATGTAGCACAAATGTGTCGGCTCGACTGGGGAAACGCCACGCTCTCATAGAATACCAGCGTAAAATAGCAGATGTTAACAAGTTCAGCAAAAAAAAAAAACACCGATTTCTATCAAGGATTGAAAAGAGGATATAGTTATTCTATTTCACGAAGAACGTTTCGCCTTGATTGATTGACGTGTACCGACAGGCGCGTTTGTGTGGGTAACTGCGATTAGTTCGACTCGCGATCGTGACCGAGCGCTGCCGAGGCCTACGCACACTAACACAATGTGTGTGCCCTTCATCGTGAAATAGAATAAGGGTATGTTCCAAAATAGAACCCAATGTACTGTCCAATGCAAATGACGTCATGAATCGACGCTATACTGGTGATTCGTTCCAAAACATAGGACAGTATATGACGTCATACATTTGCGCCATATTGGAAAAGTATTGGCGATTATTTTGTCATGTCTCCAAAAATCATTACATCCTCCTAATGGACCAGCAATTATTCTATAATTTTTTGTATGTGAGTAAATAAAAACAAATTCTGGCATGCTTCATTCAGCGCACACACAATTAAAAATTGTTTTATTGTGGCCGGATATCCGACACAATATGGCGGCGGCACGCCAGACAAACAAACAACTAGCAAGGCTATAAGCTAAATAGTTTTCGGCCAGGACACGATTGCTACTTACATCGCCATTTTGCTTATTTAATTTGTTTGTTTTGAAGTATAAAGTTTTTAAAAGAAAAAATGATAAACTTATAATAAAAATTCATGATTGTAAGTTTTTAATATGAATACTTTACAAACATAAAAAATATCTAAACAAATCAGGAAAATACTACTTACGAAAATTAGTATGCTACAACGCTTGCTAGCGCTTTTTTCTGCCAAACGCACCCAATATAGTGTCAATTGATGACGTCATTTGTATTCGGCAGTATACTGAAAACGTTTTGGAACATACCCTAACTATACTAATAAATTTTCTTATGTAGTCATGATAAAGCAAATAATGAATGTACGCTTCGTATGTTTTAATATGTATAGCATAACAAGTAATAGTCTACGATTTTATTCTAATGTAAGATAAATATGAAATTTTTACTTACTTATTTTTACTATTTTACTTTATAACTATTTTACTTTTAATTAAACTTTTAACTTTGGTGATCTCTTCCTTTTGACGTGCTCATCAACTAATTACAACTCAACTTCTTAAAAGTGTGTGGCCTTGCAAACCATACATTTTATGGTCCTTCGAGTAAAACCATACATTTAATTGTCCTTCGGGTAAAAACATACATTTTATGGTCCTTCGAGAAGTGGGGTCTCACCAATGAATTGAGAAGGCGCATATTATATTGCTCAGGGCCAATTACACTCATAATCTCACCACTGTCTTTTTTTTAGGTAATGTTTAGTCCATGTTTTTACCGTCTTTCTACATCACCACTTACCACCAGATGGGATTGTGCTCGTGCTCTTACAATAGGTAAAAAAGTGTAAAATTATATTAACGACTGTTGGTGCCAAAATAGAGAGAGACAGAAGAAGTAACTCACCGTTCTGACGTCATGTGGCGCTTTCAGGATCCCATACGCGACGACTTGCTTGCGATGTTTCACCGGAATATGTTCGTGGAACATGATGGCAGTTTTTAAGATTTTGTCATCCTGCGATGTGTACGTCTCTATCCACCATTTTATCTAGAAATAATTAAGTAATATTAAAGCATAAAGTTTGGGGGCGTCCGTTTATTATTTAAAAAATTTGGCGATTTTTTTTTACCCTCCCCCTCACCCAGGTGAGATGTCCTGAGATTTGGCCCGCTCACCCCATACCTTTTCAAAATGAGTGTATCTAGTGTAAATACCTTGATCTGTGCTTAATTGCTTTGGGTTTAAACACAGATTACCTCCTAATAGATACCGCATCATGGAATATAAGTTCTGTTTCGAATTCACCAAATTTCGAGTTGAGGGGGACGTGTCAAATGCGCTGTGATTGGATAATTCAAGGTTGAACTTAGAATGCTCCGAACCATAGTGATGGGACAGGGTTGGGACGTTGATCGACACATTTGGGATTTATCGATTATTGATAAATAAATGAATTGATCAATTTTTATTTGAAATTTATTAAATAATAAAACAATGCATATAAATAAAAGTATATGTATATATATATATTTGTACATGTAATCTAACGATTTCTTAAATTTACGCCAACACTACACATTGAATAAAACTACATAATTATACGGATTTTATGGAGTTTAATTAACTTATAGTCACGGGAGGGGGAGGGAACTGAGATGTTTGACATCTCACTATCATAGTTAGCCCGGCTATCTTCAGTTTTTGAATATTGATTTTCGGTCTCAATCTACATAAAACGATCTTACAGTATCTTGAAGTCTTGTGGTGGTATGCTTAGTTTTGGATAGATTTTGTTAATTATAGGATCCCAAGCAGATGGCAGCACCCATCCACCGACTGTGGCGGGCTTCACTCGGTCGCTGTGACGTAGGCTTGGGACCCAAAGCTTGTTCTCTTGCAATACTTGCTTGCCATGTTGAAGCTCGGCGGCCAGATGTAATCTGTCACAGATCCCTTGTGCTCTCTGAAACAAATATTTGCCCACAGTAGCAAACTATGAAGAAAGATGGTGAGATTCACCATTTAAATATCGGTTGGTATAGACCTTTTTCCTGTACATAGTATGTCCAATAGTGTTATCAGGATTTCGGATGACTAAAACATCTAGGAAAGCTAAAGTATTATTTGCTTCTAACTCCATCGTGATTTGTATTTTGAAACTTATGGAGTTAAAGTGGTCTAAAATGCAGTTGCTTTGTCAGACGGTAAAATTTTGAAAGTGTCGTCTACGTACCGCTTGTAGAATCTTGGATTTATAGGAGCAGTAAAAAGGGTTTCTCTTAAAGTCCTCCATGACATATGTCGGCGACTATAAGAAATACGGGTGAGCCCATCGCCACACCATCAACTTTCTTGTAGAACTCTTCCTTCTACAATAGATAGCCAGATGTGAAGCAGTGTTTGAGTAATCCTAGTAGTTAGCTAGACTCCGAGTAGTTAACTAGAGTTTCCTAGTTACAATTGAGAAGCAGTCTTCAATAGGTAGGCATGTGAATAGTGACTGAACACGTAACTGACCATAGTTTCATTGTCAGCGAGATGTAGGTCCTTTATCTTCTTCCTCTTGAATCCTTTGTGTGTGTTCCGGTATGTACTTTCAGTGGTGACAGTATTTTTGCCTAGTGTTGCACCTAAAAGTAGTATTATTAATTAAGAAACCATACGGTACGTGTTTCAAATTAAGATTTACTTAATAACAATAACAATAGGATATTACTGAAGTTCACGTAACACTAGAATAACATTAATCACATTATAACTTTCACTTGTTTTATGGTTTATAAATCCGTTAAAACTAGTTTAATTTCGACGTGTAACATTCGCCTAAATATTAGAATATCACGTTTCATTCACCACTTAATTCTATTACTTATTGTGTAATCACCATTGGTATTATACTTTTAAAAAAATGTAAAAGTATAGCGGAATCCAATAGCTTTCTACGATTTTCATAATATGAAGATTGTCTTCCATGAAGTGTCTTGAGCATAGAACACTATTTTTGGTGGGAAACCATTGGTCCCCTCGACATGTAGCGTCGATCCACATCTTTTCCTTTCGGGGCATTAGGAAACCTATAACATATAGGTACCACAATTATACGCCACTATTTGTATAAAATAATGACTACGAAAAAAAGTAAACGATGACCATATATCGACTTATAAATCACAACACTATCGATACACGTGCTGTCGTTAGACAAAGACAACTATTTTAATTTACGTAATGAGTGAAAGGGATATTTCAAAAAGACATCAACGGGTGCTCAAATGATATCACTTTGCAACATTATATATCCAGTGTAAGTTGAACTCCGATGCATTTGAAATAGGTTAACGTGATAAGAATAAAATTTACTTACCGATGAAATATTATGCCATCTTTTTGATAACTGGATGTCTTAGCTGACTTGCCACGTCATTTCACTGCATAGGAAGCCATTTGTAATGTATTTTGGATACAAAATTATTTTTAAATTTTCAAAAACTCAGACGTGCCTACGGGTCACAATCTTGGTCGACAATGATATCGTGATTATTAGCGTCACTTCATATGCTAGCTACATCAAGTATGTGTTGCGCGCGTTTGTGGCCCTGTATGCGGAATCTATTAGGAGGTAATCTGTGGGTTTAAATAAAACAAACAATTGGCTTGACTAATTTCATATAATTTATGGAAATCAGATCAATGTCATTATGTTGCCTGTGATGATCTGAGACGTGGTCCTGCTGGTTGTATGAGGAAATTCAAGATATCTCAGCAAGCTATGGAGATGAATATGCTCGGGGTTTGTCTGCGTGATAAACTTAGAAATGAGGATATCCGCAGTAGAACCAGAGTTACCGACAAAGTCCAACAGATTAGTAAGCTAAAGTGGCAATGGGCCGGCCATATAGCTCGAAGAACCGACAACCGATGGGGAAAAACGTTCTCGAGTAGATGAAGTGACATAGGTCGTCAGACATGCAAGAAGTCGATGAACGCAGGTGGCTCAGAACAGTGCTTTGTGGCATTCCTTGAGGAAGGCCTATGTTCTGTAGAGGGCTTGAAGGGCTGTAATGATGATGATTATTATTTTTGACATGTTTACATCATGAAATTGAATAATTATTTATTTCAACATGTTAGTTTTATAAAACAAATATTTAAAAGTAGAAACAAAAAACAAATTTGCATGAATCTACCAAAAAATTAATATACAATGCGTAATATTTAATATCTCATATACCATTATAATAATCAAATAAATAAATGAAATTAAAAATCAATACTTGTCGCAGTTTCGATTTCGTGTGTCGAATCTGTCGAATCTGTCGAAACGTTCTTTACGTGGTAGAGCCATGCTTCAATTATATTAGTAGTATAGTTGTAGCACGAATGGGTCGGCTCGACCGGGGAAGGACCACGCTCTCACAGAATACCAGCGTGAAATAGTAGCTTAATGCTGCTGTATTTCGTATGGTGAGTGTAGAGAACCGGATACCCTTTTTTACTGGAAATGAAGCATTCCATCTCAGTCCTCACGGGTGACAACGCATCTGCATTTTGATTTGTAACGGAAGATAGATGTAGATGTCTATGGGCCGCAGCAACCACTTACCATCAGGTGGACTGTGTGCTCGTTTGTCACCCTATCCTATAAAAAAAAAAAAAAAAAAAAAAAAAAAACGTTACACCATATGCAAACGGAATTCATAGCATTTTTTTTAAAAGAATATTAACAATGCTATAAACATTACTAATGTTCCCCTTAACCACTCGTGGTAAGCTTAAATTGCTTTTGTTACGAGTGGTTCAAGCCAGTAGTCGAATGGCGGATTCGAACCCACGACCTTTTGAGTTCGCGGTCCGCATCTTGCTATTAGGCTCCTGTCGCTTCAATTTTGACAAACAGCATATTGAACTGCAGTTATTGTACCATATGATATATATATATGTCTATGTGATGGTAAGTGAATGCAGTGGCCTATAGATGTCTACATTTATCCCGGATTACGAATCAAAATGCAACTCTGTTGTCGCCCCTGAGGACCAAGATGGAATGCCTCGTTTCCAGTAAAAGGTCTACGGCTATATTCTGGTTCTCCACACTCACCGTACGAAACACAAGCGTTAAGCTAATATTTCACGTTGGTATTCTGTAGGAGTGTGGATCTTCCAGCCGACCCATTCGTGCTACAACAATAATATGGTATAACGTGGCCTTATGAAGTAAAAGTACAATACGTAACTGGGTGTAGTAACATTATTGAAGACAACTGACCGTTTCGACGTCGTCGTTGTTGAGGGATCCCGCAGCGAGTGCGTGCTGCAGCGCGGGCGCGTCCGCAAGTGCGTGGGTGTTCTCCTGCCAGTCCTCGCTGTACGGGATGCACACGCGCAACACGCTCGCAGCCGTCAGGCGCACGTGCGCGCGTGCATCTTGCAGATGTGGCAGCACTTCCGACGTCACGATACGCTGTAAATGGTGACCGTTACCGTAAAGTCCACTACTGAAAATCGGCCTATTCCATACGTTGCCTCATAAATCTTTCCATAGTTGCCACGCTCGGAAAGCACGTTGGCAACCGCAGTTTTTATTTTTAGTCATTATGAGGATGACATAGTCGCCATCATCACATGATGATATGAGGTAGCGGATATTCTTACACCGCTACTACACGGTAAGTGTAAATGGTAAAGGCAATGGTTAATCTTTTCCTAGTGGTCAAGTCCACCGTAAGAAACATAGAACATTATAATACACAAAATGGCTATCAACCTTATTTTGTAGGAGGATTGGCGTCGCCGGGAGCACACATAAGAGCAATTACGTCTTACAATCAGTTATCACTACTACAAACACATTTCAGACATGCATTGATTAATGTTTTGACTCATAAATACTTCTTTATTTTTGTTTCTAATACTCACAAAATATAAATAGTTTCGCCTGACTGGTTGTAGGATATGTTTCCTTTATTTAAATTTAATTTTCCGCTGTTCTTTCTACACGTAATTATTGCACAATTAGCCATTTTTTAAATAATTTGCATGCAGCGACGCACGAAAAATGGAAACGATTGATTGTGTTGACATTTATACGTGTGAATTGACGTGTTAGTGACATGTTAGTGGCTACACGGGCTCCGCCCACTCCCCCGTTCTATTACGTATGTATTATAGTATTCTATGGTAAGAAAACTCATTACCCGATTCCGTCCCATAGATGTCGTTAAAGACGACAGAGGAGAGTGAAATAGGAGCAACTACTCAAAGTAATATAAAAACTGCGAGGAGAAAAAACAAACGATGCACAAACGCATCTACGCAAGACGACTCCGGGCCGAACTGGCTTAGCAATCAGTTGCAGCGCTCGGAGTCGCGGGTTTAAATCCCGCACGGAACAATTATTTGTAATGCTTACAAATAATTGTCCGGGTCCGGATGTTTATTCTCGTGAAATTTTTGTGCTGCATACTTAGATTGAAATGAACGCATTTCTTTTTTTGTTTCAATTTATATATGTAAACTACAATGCAGGCGAAAATCCTATTATAAAAGTAACGATTATATAAAGAATTTAAAAAAAACTGCGGTCGTCAACCCAGCTACCAAATTCCTATTATTATTGAATTATAAGGTAATCTATTAAAACCTATATTCAGCACTAAAATTTTGATAATATTGTTGCGCGCCCCAATTAATGCCTGGTACTTGGCGACATTAGTTACCACTAGCGCCTTCTAGTATCGAGTAGCAGAACTAGGAGAACTTTCTAGAAATTTCCATGGAAGAACTTTCTAGAACTATCGACACCTAGTCAGTCGGGACCGTATGTACTCGAACATTCTAGATGTTTCTACAGTAGAAGGTTCTGGAGCTATGTGAGGCTCTATATAAGGCCGGTATAGACCGCGACCCGGGGCAGTATTGAATTGGCGATTCAAGCGAATAATTCTAAGCAATACAACTGAGAACTATAGTGATCAGTAGTACAACTATTGGGTATTAGTGTGTTTTAAGTTGTAATTGGTATTCAGTAACTAAAGTGTCAACTTTGATAATTATATCGGCAGTTTTTCGGCAGATTCCGCCTATAGAGCAAGGCAAGGAAATGTCCGCCGTAGAGCAAGGAAATGTGCTGGCAAACCTCACATGTCTTCGAAATAATTTTATTTCTGAGTCATGCAGGTTTTGCTCACGATGTTTTCTTCGCCGCCGAGCACATAGTAAATGAGAATTTAATATTACAATTAACAATTTCATTGGTGCAGGCAGGGATCGAACCCGAGTTGCTCGCGTACTGTGAAATTTACAGCGAGTGCTAACAATCATAGTTACCACGACTTCACTGACTGGATATACCATTACTTAGTAATCAATGAGTTATGAATGAAAAAATGGAAATATCGTTAAACTTAATTATTTCTTATATTTACGCGAACACTAACATTGAAATGAAACTAATTGTTACAGACTTTATCGCGTATATTAACTTATTTCCTATAAGAAAGCGTTGAACCTTCAATGCTTATTACACCGGAAGTGTAAGAGAAATTGATGAGAAACGCGATGAAAAGAGCTCTCATTTGCTTTTTTTATTTATTTTTTATAGAATAAGGGTGACATACGAGCACACAGTCCACCTGATGGTAAGTGGATGCTGTGGCCTATATACATCTACATTTATCCTCGATTAAGAATCAAATCGCAGATGCGTTATCACCTCTGAGGACTAAGATGGAATGCCTCCTTTCCAGTATAATGGATCTCCGGACCTGTACACTCACCATACGAAACACAGCAGTATTACGCTGCTATTTTACGCTGGTATTATTTGAGAGCGTGGTCCTTCCCAGGTCGCGCAGACCCATTCGTGCTACAACCATAATATAGCTGCAGCGTGGCTCTACCACGTATAAAAATGTCATGCTGCTAGAGGTTGACATTTGGTAGATGTTATGTTCCAAAAATATTTTGTACTGTTCATTCAAAGTTTATAGGTATTTTAAGATTGATGGAAGATGCCGGTGAGAACGATGTGCTGGAGCAAGTGCCAGAAGTCTGCCTTATAAATCTGCGGTGATTCGAGATGAAGACAAGTTGGACTGGCTTGCAGGAACTGAAGACTGCAGAAGACGATTCTCAAGAGTTAAAGATAATAGAGGTTTTTGAGGATAATGACGAAAGCTTAAAGTTGTAGTATTCAACTTTTGTTGGTTGCGTGTTCTCATCACGTCAGATAGTCACCACTGACCGTGGAAGGAAAAGAGATCTCCCGTTGGGCAACGTGTTCTGCCCGGGGAACGGCCAACGCTCCTGGTGATAATTCGGAGCTTTTCTATATATACTGTTTTACTTCAGAAATTTGATAGCGCGATTTAGGTTTCGAGGTGTTTCGCTTGTGGCGCGACGACAGCGCCGCCACATGTCCATACATATTGTTACGAGTTTGAGGTTCGTGACAATAAAAACTGCCGATTGAATTACCAAAATTTACACTTTTATTACCGAGCACCAATTAAAACTTAAAAGACACTAATAATTAATCATACTGATTCATTTTATTGCGCTCCGAAGCTTCGCTTGTCTCGCACTCATGGTCACGGGCAGGACTAATAAATAATTTAGGTAGAGAACAACTTCAAAGCAAATTCAATACTGCCCCGATCGCGGTTTGCAGCGGCTTTAAATATAGCTTTTACACCGAAACATCCAGAATATTCCAGTAAATACGGGCGCCGACCGACCAGACGCAGAAAGTTCGAGTGTGGGGCTTCTACACAGCTTAATTCTTCTGTTCGATACTAGATGGCGCTGTTGGTCGAAAGTCAAGATTGACATTTTCTAGGAAGCCCTCCTCACTCTATTCCCCAACACTAGATGGCGATAGTGCCGGTACCAGACGTTAACTTAGGCGCGCAACAATATGTAGAGAAATACATACGCGGATGGTAGTCTCGTCCACAGTGTCGCCAATTTCCCTGTAAACGGAGATTAAAGCCGGCCGGGTTTGTGGGGAAGCCTGGGCAGCCAGCCAAGTCCACAGCAACTTCCGGGCAGAGGCATCCGCCGATAATCGCTCGCGGAACAATCCCGCGTAATGTTCCAATATTGTCAGGTAAACTGCAAATCAAACACATGAAATTATGGAACATTTTTAAGAACATGTAATGTATTTACAGAAAAAAGAGTAGTATTAAAAAATAAGTGATATTCATTTTGTAAATACTAGGAACAGACACAAGCTAGTAGTACCAGTTGCTCGACTCCACCGAGTCAGTAATTCATTCTTGGGGCGATGTATACGCTTTTATAACAAAATACCACAAAATATACAAAATTTGTCCTCATCAAACAAACAAACTTTATTAAACCATGATAATTATTATTATTATTGATATTAATAACCCCGGGTAATAAGGTGATCCCTGCCAAGCTATTTCTAATTTGTTTTGTGTTGTTGATTGTGTAACATACATGATTGTAAGTCCTGCTGGTTCTTCCCGGGACAGAGGGCTTTTTTTCCGAACAAGTGGTAAATTAAGACGAGGTCTAAGCACGATTTCAAATTCGTTTTTCACCCGCGCGTCTCGCAGTGGGCGGAGCGCAACCGGCAATCAAAGAGCGCAGCGTGACACAGAGCGTCCGGAACAGATCTTTCAACTCGAGTGCTGCTCCACAACTAAACGGGTTACCGCGGTCAATGTTTTTTATCTACCCAATGCGGATTTTGAGTTGAAAATCGCATATTACACTTGATGATAATGTTGGCTTTGAGATGAAAAGCCGCATAAAATATAATCTTCGAAGATTATTTTTTATGCGGCTTTTCATCTAATTACTTATAATATAAATATAAGATAAAAAGTCTAATCCGATATACTTCTGTAAACGATTAGCTTGGCTATTTATTTTGTAAAAAAAAACTTGGTGTCGTCGCTGAAAGTTCAGAGTAATTGAATTTACGCAGTTTTTTTTAATTCATTTTGTAAAAATAATTAAATAAACCACACGGTATTTTCAAATTATGTTCTGTTACTCGAGTGCAACAGGTTGTTCTCTACCTAAATTATTTATTAGTCCTGCCTGTGACCATGAGTGCTGTAAAGCGTTCGAAACGTCGGGTATTTAAAAAGTTAAAACATACGCGATAAATTCCGTAAAAACTAGTATTATTTCAATGTGTAGTGTTCGCGTAAATATAAGAAATCATTATTTATTATAGTTCATAAATATGTTCTTATATGTGTGGGGGACACGTAATCATTTGGAAATACTTCTTTTTGTTAAATTTTGGACTTGTAGCCTGCCTTAAAGAAAAGAGTGACTTTCAATAAGTATTATTCATAATCTGTATTAAATAAAAAAGTTTCTGTTTCTGTAATAAGCTGTGGTATTAACACATATATAGTATAGTCATTTGGTGCTGAAAAAAGACGGTACCTGAAGTCTTCGGTTAAGGCATGAGTCGATATACCTGAAACATGCGTTTTCTGGATAATGTCATCTTGAAGAATACTGCATTGCATGTGGATTAGGCCTACTGGGGATACCACGATAAAAAAAACGCGCCACTTACTCTAGCTCATGGTGATGTGGTTCTTACCTGCCTCAAGTTATTACATAAATTAGGAAGTCTTCTCTAATTTAATTTATTATCTTCTTATATACAACATGTAACAAAAACCCTGTGGTTCCCGTTAACTGCGTGATCAGAATCAGTATCCAAGCATACAGAAATATTTTTTCAAATAAAACCACATTTAAAAAAAATTAATGAAAAAAAATTAATTTGCAAATTGTATGTGGTTTTATTATCACCGCATTGGCCTAGGAGTAAGAGGATTGTCAAAGACCACACTTTAACGATACTCGTGTGAGTTAGAGGAAGTAAAACCAACAATTGGCAAATTAATTTTTTTTTTTCATTAAAATTATTTTGTTTAATGTTTTTTTGAAAAAAAAAATCATTTCTATACGCTTGAATACTGATTCTGATAACACACTTAACGGGAACCACAGGGTTTTGTTACATGTTGTATAAAAATCAATCGCTATTCCTTAGTCTCGCTAAAAACACGAAAATGGCTCAACCAATTTTGATGAATTATTTTGTATATTTGAGTGGATCCCTAGATGGTTTAAACATCTGTATTGGACCCGGTAGGGGGCGCTGTTGTCGAGTTTCAGAAATAACCCGTACGAAGCCCGAGTGGAAAGCTACTTTATTATATAAATGGTTTTATAGTAAAACTATCTGGTATCCGGTCACGGGTGACAACGCATCTGCATTTTGATTCGTAATCGAGGATAGATTTAGAAGTCTATGGGCCACAGGAACCACTTATCATCAGGTGGACTGTGTGCTTGTTTGTCAACCTATCCTATAAAAAAAAAACAGTGAGTGTTCAGAGAAAATTTCAAGTTATATAGTCTTCAAATTTGAGTGTAGACAATACTGAAATAGTAAAATTTGAGCCCAAATTCTTTTCATACTATAAGGGTGACAAACGAACACACACTCTTCGCACTCGCTATAGTGTTCGCAGGCAGAGAAACTCTCTCTCTGACCCCCCCCCCCCACGCCCCACCCCAAACAAGCTTTCCGCCGACCTGAACTGCCTCCTGGTGGCTCAGACCGAGCCTATTTAACTCATCTCCTAATCTGCGTTAGTTAGGCACACTTCTAAGCGGCTACTCGCCGCTTGGGGCCACCTTTCACCCAAGGAGAATCGCGTCCGTTTACGGCTTAAAGATCTCTCGCTAGATCATTAAGCCAATCCCAAAAGGTGGTGTTTAGTGGGTAAAAGTCTCCACATAACCACGCAGCCGGCTGCGTGGTATGCTATGAGCACTCACCAGTTCCCTCTCCTGTTACCGGAGGGTTACCCATACTTGCTTCGCGCGCAAAAAAAAACGAACACACAGTCCACCTGATAGTAAGTGCATGGTCTATCTGTTCATAAAGTTTGGTCACGAGAGGTTCAGCCATTTCGAAGAGTAGCCCGGACTGGCAGACATATAAAAATTTAAAAAATTGTCCTTTATGTCTTAATAACAAATAATCCTCCCTTAACAAGGCCAGTTATTTCAATAGTACAAACAAACGTATACGTGTTACCGTGAGTTTGCACTGATGCCGATTTTCACAAAAAAAAAAACATGTTTTAAACACTTTTTTCTGTCAATGTATCAAAAATCGTTTGCATAGTCAAAGAACATGTTGTAGTTAAATAAGTTTGACATTACATATTTTAAGTATATTATATTTTTATAACTACAGAAACAAAATGTTAGAAAACAAATTTGTAGAAATATTTTCATGTTGAAAGTTAAGTTTGAATATCTGTTAAAAATTTTACACAGTTTTAGTGAGTGCGAATGCCACCATCAACAAAACATGTCGTGTCATTTATTTTATGCGATTTGTTTCAAAACATTACGTGTTTGATGTTTTTCAGTGCAAACATACTGTTAGAGCCACGGAATGGGTTGGCTCCACCGGGGAACGACCATACTCTCAGATAACACCAGCGTAAAATAGCAGCGTCATGCTGCTGTGTTTCGTATGGTGAGTGTAGAGAACCGGAGACCCTTTTCACTGGAAATGAGGCATGCCATTTTAGTCCTTAAGGGTGACAAGACATCTGCATTTTGATTCTTAATCGAAGATAAATGTAGATGTCTAACGACCACAGCATCCACATACCATCTGGTGGACTGTGCTAGTTTGTCACCCTTACTTCAAAAATAAATTAATCTTTTAAAAAATATGTATCTCACCTTCCCTACACCTGTATTTCTCCTTGCAGGAGTCCAGCTTATCATAGAATTCGTTGAGCTCAGCAGTGGGCAGGTCCATGGAAAAGAGCTTGAACAAACCCAGTATACCGAGCAGTACGGATCTCACGACTATATCGTATGAAAAGCCGCATAAAAAATAATCTACGAAGATTATTTTTTATGCGGCTTTTCATCTAATTACTCATAATATAAAAATAAAATAAAAAATCGAATCCGATATACTTCTGTAAACCATTAGCTTGGCTCTTTATTTTGTAAAAAAAAACTTGGTGTCGTCGCTGAAAGTTCAGAGTAATTGAATTGCGTAATTTTTTTAATTCATTTTGTTAAAAAAAATTAAATAAACCAGACTGTTTTCTCAAATTATGTTCCGTTACTCGAGTGCAACAGGTTGTTCTCTACCTAAATTATTTATTATAGTTCATAAATATGTAATCATTTGGAAATACTTCTTTTGGTTAAATTTTGGACTTGTAGCCTGCCTTAAAGAAAAGAGTGACTTTCAATAAGTATTATTCTAATCTGTATTAAATTAAAAAGTTTCCGTTTCTGTTATAAGCTGTGGTATTAACACATATAGTGTAGTCATTTGGTGCTGAAAAAAGAGAGTACCTTAAGTCTTCGGTTAAGGCATGAGTCAGATATACCTGAAACATTATGCGTTTTCTGGATAATGTCATCTTGAAGAATACTGCATTGCATGTGGATTAGGCCTACTGGGGAAACCACGATAAAAAAACGCGCCACTTACTCTAGCTCATGGTGATATGGTTCTTACCTGCCTCAAGTTATTACATAAATTAGGAAGTCTTCTCTAATTTAATTTATTATCTTCTTATATACAACATGTAACAAAAACCCTGTGGTTCCCGTTAACTGCGTGATCAGAATCAGTATCCAAGCATCCAGAAATATTTTTTCAAATAAAAACCACATTTAAAAAAAATAATGAAAAAAAATTAATTTGCAAATTGTATGTGGTTTTATTATCACCGCATTGGCCTAGGAGTAAGAGGATTGTCAAAGACCCCACTTTACCGATACTTGTGTGAGTTAGAGGAAATAAATCCACATACAATTGGCAAATTAAATTTTTTTCATGAAAATTATTTTTTAATGTTTTTTTGAAGAAAAAAAAATCATTTCTATACGCTTGAATACTGATTCTGATAACACACTTAACGGGAACCACAGGGTTTTTGTTACATGTTGTATAAAAATCAATCGCTGTTCCTAGTCTCGCTAAAAACACGAAAATGGCTCAACCAATTTTGATGAATTATTTTGTGTATTTGAGTGGGTCCCCAGATGGTTTAAACATCTGTATTGGACCCGGTAGGGGGCGCTGTTGTCGAGTTTCAGAAATAACCCGTGCGAAGCCTGAGCGGAAAGCTACTTTATTATATAAATGGTTTTATAGTAAAACTATCTGGTATACGGCTGGTTGCCGCAGACGAAATGATTGTGGATATATCGTTTTAAATTTGGAAGAATTACATTGTTTAATTAAGGAATGATAATACATTCATTTACCACGTGCTCGGCGCTGAAGGAAAACATCGTGAGGAAATCTGCATGTCTGAGAAATAAGAAAAAAAATTCGAAGAAATGTGAAGTTCGCCAACACGCAATGGGGCAGCGCGGCGGACACTTCCTTGCCCTAAAACCCTCACAGAAATGAGCGGGGGCCTGTGCCCAGCTGTTGGACGTATATAGGCTGTAACTTTAATACATTCATTGAAGCGGAATGATATATAACTTTCAAATAAATTTGTCGGTACGATACGCGTGACACGTACTGTAAGTTAATTGTACTATGCCTATAACTTTCACGCAAGTGTAATAAGTTGACAAAGTTTTAAAGCCTGTACGAGGTGTCAAAGTAAACATTCGGAAAGAGCACATCGTAATTAATAAAATTACCAATTTGTAAAACTCCCGGAAAACTTTCCAGGTACCAAATGACTGTACTATTAAAAGAACTGGAAATGAGGCATTCCATCTTAGTCCTCACGGGTGACAACGCATCTGCATTTTGATTCGTAATCGAGGATAGATTTAGATGTCTATGGGCCACGGCAACCACTTATCATCAGGTGGACTGTGTGCTCGTTTGTCAACCTATCCTATAAAAAAAACAGTGAGTGTTCAGAGAAAATTTCAAGTTATATAGTCTTCAAATTTAAGTGTAGACGATACTGAAATAGTAAAAAAGCCCAAATTCTTTTCATACTATAAGGGTTACAAACAAACACACACTCTTCGCACTCGCTATAGTGTTCGCAGGCAGAGAAACTCTCTCTCTGACCCCACCCCCCACCCCAAACAAGCTTTCCGCCGACCTGAACTGCCTCCTGGTGGCTCAGACCGAGCCTACTTAACTCATCTCCTAATCTGCGTTAGTTAGGCACACTTCTAAGCGGCTACTCGCCGCTTGGGGCCACCTTTCACCCAAGTTGAATCGCGTCCGTTTATGGCTTAAAGATCTCTCACTAGATCATTAAGCCAATCCCAAAAGGTGGTGTTTAGTGGGTAAAAGTCTCCACACAACCACGCAGCCGGATGCGTGGTATGCTATGAGCACTCACCAGTTCCCTCTCCTGTTACCGGAGGGTTACCCATACTTGCTTCGCGCGCAAAAAAAAAAACGAACACACAGTCCACCTGATAGTAACTGCATGGTCTATCTGTTCGTAAAGTTTGTCGAAGTTCAGCCATTTCGAAGAGTAGCCCGGACTGGCAGACATATAGACATTTCAAAAAATTGTCCTTTATGTTTTAATAACAAATAATCCCCCTTAACAAGGCCAGTTATTTCAATAGAACAAGCAAACGTATACGTGTTACCGTGAGTTTGCACTGATGCGATTTTCACAAAAAAACATGTTTTAAACACTGTTTTCTGTCAATGTATCAAAAATCGTTTGCATAGTCAAAGAACATGCTGTAGTTAAATAAGTTTGACATTACATATTTTAAGTATATTATATTTTTATAACTACAGAAACAAAATGTTAGAAAACAAATTTATAGAAATATTTTCATGTTGAAAGTTAAGTTTGAATATCTGTTAAAAATTTTACACAGTTTTAGTGAGTGCGAACGCCACCATCAACAAAACATGTCGTGTCATTTATTTTATGCGATTTGTTTCAAAACATTACGTATTTGATGTTTTTCAGTGCAAACATACTGTTAGAGCCACGGAATGGGTTGGCTCCACCGGGGAACGACCATACTCTCACAGAATACCAGCGTAAAATAGCAGCTCAATGCTGCTGTGTTTGGTATGGTAGAGTGTAGAGAACCGGAGCCCCTTTTCACTGGAAATGAGGCATGCCATTTTAGTCCTTAAGGGTGACAAGACATCTGCATTTTGATTCTTAATCGAAGATAAATGTAGATGTCTAACGACCACAGCATCCACATACCATCTGGTGGACTGTGCTAGTTTGTCACCCTTACTTCAAAAAGGCTTTTAAAAAATATGTATCTCACCTTCCCTACACCTGTATTTCTCCTTGCAGGAGTCCAGCTTATCATAGAATTCGTTGAGCTCAGCAGTGGGCAGGTCCATGGAGAAGAGCTTAAATAAACCCAGTATTCCAAGCAGAACGGACCTCACGACTGTATCCTGGAATATGATACCAAAGTTGTTATAACAGGATAGAAATAGGGAGAGGAGGGCACATACAGGACAAGCTTGTTTGTGAAGCAGGTCTCTCTTACATGTCGTTCCTGACCTCTCCAATTGATTGCCTCACAACTAAAAATAATAAAAGTCTGTGGTTGCCAAGCCGCTTGGCAAGCATGGCAACTATGGCTAAATCAATTCATTTCATTCAATCAATGAATGATTTTTATTCAACATAAATTATTGTATAATACTTATTGAAAGTAGTTTTTTTTATTTACACTAACCAGTGGTAAATAAAAAAAACTACTTTCAATAAGTATTATACAATAATTTAGGAAAAAAAAACCTCTGGCCTGGAAAGAACCAGCAAGAAACCACGCGGGACTTTTTTTAAACATATTTCACTTTACAATAGTTTATTTTGTACAATTTGAATGATTTTTTATAGAACCAGCATTCTAGCATTCCCAGAGGTTTTTTTTTTCATTTCTGTATTCTTTGATATTATAATAACCCTTTTTTGGCAATCAGGGAGGGCTCTGTTTTCAACACCAGACTTTTGTAGGCTGTAATGAATTAACGGATAATTATTTTAATCTTACCGAAAATTTGTTGGAATCCAGTAGATTGAGGTACACCCGCCATATTGTCGTCACATCTTCAGACACCATGTCAGGATGATACTCACATATTGCACCTGGAATGATACAAAATAGAAAGAAAATGGTTATACAAAAAGTTTTTTAAGTATCCCTGGCTTTGCCAGGGTGAGATTTACTATTGTGTTGCTGTAGTAGTAGAGCATAGTAGACATAGTAATATATAGACATAGTAATATATAGACATAGTAATATATAGACATAGTAATATATAGACATAGTAATATATAGACATAGTAATATATAGACATAGTAATATATAGACATAGTAATATATAGACATAGTAATATATAGACATAGTAACATAGTAGAGCCACGCTGCAGCTATACTATGGTTGTAGCACGAATGGGTCGACTCGACCGGGGAAGGACCACGCTCTCACAGAATACCAGCGTGAAATAGCAGCTTAATACTGCTGTGTTTCGTATGGTGAGTGTAGAGAAACTGAGAGATAAATGTAGATTTCTATGGGCCACAGCATCCACTTATCTCCCACCGCTGATGGATTTTAATTTCTTTCTCATAAATTTGGCTTTAAAATTTAGACTTGATGCTTGATTTAGAGCTCATGAAACTACCGTAAGAGCTGAATGATGACGTTTATATGGATAAATAAAGCTAAGTACCTGTGCTATGCTTTTTGACTTTCATGAAAACACAATCAGTCACAGTTGAAAAATTACATTTATATTCCATATACATGTAACAAAAACCCTGTGGTTCCCGTTAAGTGCGTTATCAGAATCAGTGTTCAAGCGTATAGAAATATTATTATTTTTTTTTCAAAAAACATTAAGAAAAAAATAATGAAAAAAATTAATTTGCAAATTTTATGTGGTTTTATTATCTCTGCATTGGCCGAGGAGTAAGAGGATTGTCAAAGACCCCGCAGTACCGATACTCGTGTGAGTTAGAGGAAATAAAACCACACACAGTTTGCAAATTATTATTTTTTTTTCATTAAAATTAATTTTTTTTAATGTTTTTTTTGAAAAAAAAAATACTATACGCTTGGATACTGATTCTGATAACGCAGTTAACGGGAACCACAGGGTTTTATGTTACATGTTGTATAATTTCTTAGTTGTTGTTCATGTGTTAAAAATTTTATCCTTATTAAACCTTAATATAATGGACAAGTGGTAAAATTAAAAATGTTGTACAACCGACTTCAACATAAATAAAATGAGAACATCATCAATGATGTTGAAGTCAATACACATTATCAAGGATTACTCAAAAACTACAGGTCAGATCTTGATCAAATTTATATGAGACCACATGAGAAGCATCAGCTTTCAAATAAAAAAAGAATCATCAAAATCGGTTCAACCAAAAAAGTTCCAAGGTAACATAAAAAAACATACAGCCGAATTAAGTACCTTCTCCTTTTTGAAATCTGTTAAAATATCACATATCTATACCCTAAAATATTTATAGTTTTCTATTTTATAGTTTTTTTTTCTAATGTCACTTCCTCACATCCAACCTTTTCTACTTGAAAATGCATATAAGGATAAAGATTGCTAAAATTGGCTCTGCCTTTAAGAATGAAACATTTAATTTTTTCGATGAATAGAGAAAATCCGCCTGCAAATAAACTTATTTAAACTCTTTTTTTGAATGGGTATCAATAGTTTTTACAATAAAAAAAACATTATTACCGTAAAAAAATTCAGAGCTTTTATGATAAAATTAAAAAACTGAGTGGCCCAGAAAGAAATTCAGTTTTGAAACTGCGCTAATTTCTAAACGATACATAGGAGGGGCGCGGGGGGGTATCAGTGCGTACTGCGTAGCGCGGCCATTGAAATTTTAGTAACCATTACACTTGTGTCAATCATTCATTTCTCGTTCGAATCATTCTAGTATATTTCGTTACGCATATCGGTACATTCGCATCGAACATTCAAATGGATCATTTCGGGCTCCAGTACCTTACACTAAAAATAATTCATTCAGATCATTCGTGATTAGGTCGGTTTTCGACTCATTCACAATTCACACCAATCACGAGTTAGTAAATTGTTTGTGAATGGTTGTACCGGAACATTCAAAAACAGATGAATGTACCACAAAAACTTTTAAGTGAACCAGCTCAAACGAAGGAAACATTCATGATTGACACATGCTTAGTAATAATGACCATGAGTCGCTACACGGGAGAACAGCGCGCTTTCTATGGCCGCGCTTATGACGAGAACTTTCTATCTTACGTGACTGTTCGACGTCTTTTTCGTGTCAAGTTCAAACTGCGCTACGACATATTAGCGAGTGTCCGAGCATGAATTTAATTAAACAGTGGGTTAAGAGATTCGAAAGAATAGGATCGACACTAAAAAACGCCCTCAAGGTCGCCAAAGAGTGACGCACTAACGGTACCATTCAGTAGGTTCGAAAATTTTTGCGCTCGAATGCAAACATGAATCCATTTCAAAAGTACATTCCAGGCCAGGCCAGGGTAGCCCAGATAGGAATGCACTTTTGAAAAATAATAATAAGTTACACGATTTTTATTCTTAATACACTAGACCACGCAAATTAAAACCTAAAACATTTTATTTACTTTTTTATTATTATTTAGAAACTGTGTAAATATACGAAAAAAGGGTAGGCAAAATAATATTGAGTTCCAAAAGGGACATCAACCAAAAAAAACAAAAAGGTACACCTAGCCAAATTAAGTATAAGGGATAATTCTTCATGTGAATGTGGTCTTGACGAAGGTTCCACCGACCACATACTTTTCAAATATCCACGACACCAATTCTCTTGTATGATATCCTTCCCCAAAACATTCCTCGTCCTACTAATTCTACCTATCTGCTGTCTCTTGTGTTCTCCTCATTTCTTCATATTGTATGTGATTTTATTTATACAAATAATATTTGAAACATAATTCTAATTATTGTTGTTGGCAGAACTATAAATCTTTGTTTTTTGTTGTAGATTAGAAGCCAATCAAAAAAAAATATATAAAAAATTGATTAAATTTTTTATATTTTTTTTACTTCGTTGTCACTCCCATGACTGACTTGACATTTGCAGAATTCTTTTTAAAGAAGCCATAAGATAAAGAAGAAGACATTAATAATTTAATATGAATTATATTTTTTTAAATAAAACAGTGCTAAATAAAATGCCAACCCTATCATATAAAGGTAAAGTTATTTCTCTTGCTGTGCCCCGAATTTTTGAATACTTCACCCGCTTCGATACCATTGACGTTTTGTTTGTTACTATATTAAGGACCGTTCCGATATATTTGGGCACGATTGTTAATGGAAAAATTTGCCTACTTTGGATGGATGAATATTAATGATCACTTTTTGAAATATTTGATCACCTTGACTATTCATCATCCTTATTCTATACAAAAAATAAAAGCTACTCTTTACTTACCCACAAGTTCAGCCATAGTCGCTTTACATGTGCTGTCTTCTTCCAGAGCGTGTATGTATCTGAGATGATTAGCGGCCCCTATATCCGAGTGTCGAACAACACACGTGAGACAATGTAGTGCATGCTGTCGCGTTCTAGCATCATAGGATAGGTTGCAAAGCTAGAATAAAAGTTATTTTTATGATCTATGAGATATCAGATTTTATATGCGGTAGAGACATGCTGCAGCTATATTATGGTTGTAGCACGAATGGATCGGCTGGACTGGGGAAAAAGGACCACGCTCTCACAGAATAACAGTGTAGAATAGCAGCTTAATACCGTGTTTCGTATGGTGAGTGTAGAGATCCGGACACCCTTTTTTACTGGAAGAAAGGCATGCCATTTTAGTCCTTAAGGGTAACAAGACATCTGCGTTTTGATTCTTGGTCGAGGATAGACGTAGATGACTATGAGTCACAGCATCTGTTTACCTTCGGGTGAACTGTGGGCCCCTTATTTTATAAAAAAAAATATTTAATTGTTACCGAATTTCGACCACAATGGAAAGTCTCAACGGAGACAAGCCATCTGTGCAGGACAGGAGTATAATGCATGAGCGTGTGCTCAAGCACAGGTGCACTCTATTCCCTCACTCTCATAGTCCAGCACAACAGGAGGGCAAATAAGCGCGGAATTAACGGCTTTTGATCCAATTCAATCATCGGTCAAACATAGGTGCACTCTGTGTTCCCTCACTCTCATAGTTCGATGGGAAGGTAAACCGACACGACTGGAGAGAGATTAGACGTGGGACCAACAGCTTCACGTTATTTCCGACGTATAAGGGCGAAACACCGCCAACTTTCTGTCAATAATCTGTTATTGGGTTATTCTGTCATGAAATTCTTAGTAGCAGCTCAGAGTGAAGAAGTTGACAGTGTTTCTTCATCGCGCCTAGGAAAGCACATAAAGCCGTTGGTCCTGCGCCTAATCCCTCTCCAGTTGTGTCGGTTTACCGTCCCATCGGACCATGAAAGTGAAGGAATACGGAATACGATCCTGTCCTGTGCAGATACACCAATGGACTGAAAGACATTTATATGTAAATATTCCAGTTGTTCCCCGCGAATTTATTATGAGGGAATTTCATGGGTTCTAGTTTTTTCGCGCGGAATTCTAATTATTTTTCTAAAATAAAAGTAGCCTAAGTTACTCCTAATAACATCAGCAATGTGCCAGCGAAAGTCAAGTTAAAATAGGTTCAACCGTTTCGGAGATTAACCTGAACAAACAGACAGACAAAAAATTTGAATTTTTTTTTGTTATAAGTACTGTAGAAATAAGTAGGTAGTATCAATTGTAACTTGTGATGAGGGCGCCACCGTGCCACTGCTTACATCGGTTCCGTGATTTTAATTGAAAAATAATTACTTCTAATCGTGAAAGTAAATCAAAACTTACGTAGAACGCTAAAAAGTGTAGCAAAGTACCAGGACAAAGTGAAGTATTTGAGTGAAAGTGAAATACTAGTGCTAAACAAGTGCAAAAAACCTTGGTACATCATAACGGCTGAACAACTTTTGTTTTTTCATTGTAATGATTGTCGAGAACTTATTAAAGTCAGGAAAGTGTAGATTATCAATTTTATAAAGACATCTTATTTATACGTGCGCGGAACTGAAAAAAAAACAAGTGCAAAACATAATCAACATTTTTAAGTTAACTATTGCAATATTACTATTCATCTTGCATACAAACTAACCTCTTAGCGACATCTACCGACGAGTGGCAGAACATAAAGGAGAGAGACCCAACTACACCGTGGTAGTATCCAACATAAAAATAGTGTTTCCACTACTCACCACAAGAGGACATTATATATAAACAGGAATACAACAAAAAACTTCTGTTTATAAACTATTTATATCGCTTATTTATTAAAATGGAGGAAATAAAAAATATGTTAAAAGTAATGCAAGAGGAAATAAGACAACAAAAAGTCGATATGCAGGATATGAAGGAGGATATTAAAAACACTATTAACAGCAATATTAACGAGAAGTTTAAATGTCTAGAAACCAAAAACGAGCTTTTAGAACAGAAACTAGAAACGCAGACAATAAAAATAAATAATTTGGAGAGGACCATAAGAAAGAAAAATCTACTCATATTCGGAGTCTCTGAAGACGAAAAGAGCTACTGGGACCTAGAGGAAAAGGTTATTGATATAATAAATAACGTAATAAACATCAAATGCGATAGCAACGGTATTGAATGCGTGAGAAGACTTGGAAAAAAGGGAGAAAAAGTCAGACCCATCGTTATAACATTAACCACAATGGGGCTAAAAATAAAAATACAAAAAAACAAAAAAGAAGCTAATACCTACACCCTACTATATTAAAGAAGATTTTCCTCCCGAAATACTAAGCAAGCGAAAGGAACTTCAAATGGAAGTCAACAAAGAAAGAGAACAAGGTAAATTAGCGATTATTAAATACGACAAAATCGTAATACTAAAGAACCGAAACCAGCAAGCCGAGAAGCAAATTATGGATAAAAAGAAAAGAGTTTTGTCAGAGTCACCGGAAACATCGCAATCCGACTGTGAAAATAATAAAGACAAGCAACCTATAAAGATCAATAAAACAAACAGCATGGATAACTTCCTGTTAAAAAAAACCAACTTTGCAATTTCCCTCCAAAAAAATCACTTCGCATCCTCATGATCCAAGAACCACACAATAACAATCAACACCGGCCCCTCCCCATCTCCCAACACGGCTAGTCACCGCGGGAGAGGACGACTACAACCCTCCAACTTGTCAACCACTCTATATCTGCACATACAATGTTAAATCATTACTATCGCCACAAAGAATGATACTATTAAAATATTCATTATCAAAAATTAAACATGATATCGTAGGACTATCGGAAATCAGAAGAAAAGGAAATGAAATTATCGAGGACGAAAATCATATTTTTTGTTATACAGGAGATATACAAGGGCAATGTGGTGTAGGCTTTTTAATAAAAAAGAAATATAAAAACAACATAGAGAACTACGTAGGTATATCAGATAGAGTTTGCCTCCTAAATATGAAATTCTACAAAATATCAATTTCAATAATACAGGTGTACGCCCCCACCTCTGAAGCACCGGAAGAGGAAATAGATCTTTTTTACGATCAAATCGAAAAAGCTCAAAAACTAGCAAACGGAAAAATGATTTTAATGGGAGACTTAAACGCTAAAATAGGAAAAAGAAAACCCATGGAAACATAATTATGGGGCCATACTGCTTTGGAACGAGGAACGACAGAGGAGACAAACTACTACAATACGCATTAAAAACAAATTCACTATAATTAACAGAATATTTAAGAAAAAACTTAAAACTTTATGGACATGGACTACACCAGACAAGCATCATAAAAACCAAATCGATTATATTTTGAGCAACTCTCCAAAACTTTTCACAAACATAGAAATTTTAAATAATAATACATTTCCAAGCGACCACAGACTACTGCGAGGTACAGTACAACTGAAAAAACTTAAAAAAAGTAGAGCAACTTTTACTGAAACTCGAGCTAGTCTGTCGTGCGACAAGAGTCAACAAGTATACCTCAAGACTTTAGAGGAAAAAATGCAACAAACTGAATGGGAAAGTTGCGACGACATAGAGTCCTTCAATCTTAAGATAGAGACAGCCATAAAATAAAAGCCTAAATGCTGCCACCTCAAAGAAAACAAGCAAAGATATTCTAACTATTGAAACCAAACAACAACTTAAAAAACGTATTGCACTGCAATCAAAACCATGTAAAAACAAAGAGGAGAAAAAAGAACTTACAGTTCTCTATAAAATTACAAATAAAATGTTAAAAAAAGACTACGAAAACTACAGAATGGAAATTATCGAAAAGAACCTGACCACCACCGGAAGCCAAAAGAAAGCCTATAAACAACTAAATACTGAGCGCAAATGGATACCCACATTGAAAGCACAGAAAGCTACAGGTAAATTACAAACGCGAAAAGACATAATAAATATTGCTACGGACTTTTACAGGAATCTCTACCAGGATGAACGAAGCGAAGAAAATGACCACAAAAAATATCAAATACAATTAAATACACCCATCGCGCCTTTTGACTGCAGATATATTGGAAAAAAATAGAAAAATTAAAAAAAGAAAAAAGCCCAGGTCCTGATAACATTCCTAATGAAGCCTTAAAAATTGGAAAGAAAACTCTAATAGGTCCTATCACGATTCTGTTTAATAAAATACTAGAAGTCCAAAAAATCCCTAAAAACTGGGGAGAATCTCGAATAATTTTATTATATAAAAAGGGAGATCCTTCAGACATTAATAACTATCGACCTATCAGCCTGTTGCCAACAATGTACAAATTATTTGCAATGTGTCTGGAAAAAAGAATAGCATTAAGAATAGAAACAAACCAACCAGTAGAGCAAGCTGGATTCCGGTCGGGGTACTCTACTATCGACCACATCCACACGCTAGACCAAATAGTAGAAAAATATCAAGAATTTAATCAGCCGCTCTACCTTGCATATATCGATTATGCGAAAGCATTTGATTCAATTTCACACGAGAGCATATGGCAAGCGCTATCACGCCAAGGTATTCCAGAAACTTACATAAATATAATCAAAGATATATACAAGAATAGTACAAGCAGGGTGAAGTTTGACAGACTAGGACCAAAAATTTTCATTAAAAGAGGAGTGAAACAAGGAGATCCGTTGTCTCCAAAGATATTTATAGCCGTGTTACAGGACATTATGAAAGAGCTAAATTGGAGTAGAAAAGGAATTAAAATAGATACAGAGTTCCTAAGTAACCTAAGATTTGCAGATGATATCGTCATATTTGCAAAAACATCGAAGGAGCTGGAAACAATGATGGTAGAACTAAATAACGCCAGCAAAAAAATAGGCTTACAATTGAATACGTTAAAAACAAAAGTTACTACAAACAGTATACAAAGACCAATAATAGTAAACGAAACAGCGATAGAGTATGTGGACAGCTATGTATATCTTGGGAAACAAATTTCATTCAAGAAGTCAAGACACGAGGACGAATTAGAGCGCCGTATCAACATGACATGGAGGAAATACTGGAGCTTCAAAGAAATCTTAAAAGCAAAACTCCCACTAAAGCTCAAACAAAAAGGTAATAGACTCTTGTTTGCTGCCTTGTCTGTCATATGGAGCACAAACTTGGATTTTTCAAAAGAAAATAAAAAATAAAATACGATCGTGCCAGCGCGCTATGGAACGAAGTATCCTAGGCATTAAGCTCCTTGACAAACGTAAGAGCGAGGATATTCGCAGGAAAACTAAATTGATAGACGCAGGACAACACGCACAACAGCTTAAGTGGAGTTGGGCGGGACACATAGCCCGGGTTACAGACGGAAGATGGACGAAACGAGTCACCGAATGGACGGGCCCAAGCGGAACAAGGAGTAAAGGGAGACCTAAGGATCGCTGGATCGATGAAATCCAAAGAATAGCTGGTAGAGATTGGATGTTGAAGGCGCAAAATAGGATCAAATGGAAACAGTTGGAGGAGGCCTATACCCGGAGCGGGGCCATGTCTTAAACAATAACAATTTGGATTTTTTTTTCTTGTATGTATGTAATTTGCATGGTAATATAAAGGCTTAATAAATAAATAAATAAATAAAATCAATTGTAACTGGCTCATAAGTAGAAAAATTACCTTAACAATATTTTCAAAATGTGGGGATGCATGATCCGGATGTTTCATTATCAACTCCGACAGTAATTTGAATGCGTCTCCGATACTCTGTGACCAAGCATCATCTGAACATTTTGTGGCTACAGTTGTTATGAGGTTCACAGGTTTTAGGAACAGTGTGTCTAGCAACCAATCTGAAAACACGAAAATTCATTAGAATTTGAACAATATACCGAATTTAATGAGAGGGTAGTATGAAAAACAAATCAGGAGATTGGAAGCAGCATCTTCCCATTAATGAATTACACCACATAATACTACGGAGTGTTAATATCACCACCGAGATAATAAAAGGGGAGATCTCAGGAGCAAGATGATCAGCCCAGGGTAGTGGTCAATGCACCATGGGTTAATACAGAGCTATTCTATACAGGATTATTTTGCAATAACCGGCCAAATTTGCAGAGTAGGTTCAAAATAAGTAGCAGGCTAATTATGTAGAAAACTTATTAAAGAAAAATCTTACTTTAACTGTTTTTACTGTGCACACATATTCGAAGGGTCGATCGGTAGGCAAAAACGTTGCCCATTCAATTTGGGATAATTTCAAATAAAATTAAAAGTCCTATTTACTTGTTTTTTCGAAAACTGCAATAGCTGTATATCATTATTTATATATTTGAACTAAAGTTTAAAATATGGCTACTCTGTGGAAGATAACCCTGTATATACCGTAGTATGTTGGAACTTTGATAGCATAATTTTGGCTTTGGCGCGTTTCGCTTGTGGTGCGATGACAACGCCACCACAGTGTACGTTTTTATAAACGAATTGACATTGAAGTTTTAATTTACCAATTTCAAATGGTGCGAGATCCTGTTCCAACAAAGTTTTAACAGACTGGCAAGCCTTCAGGAAACTCCTCGGTTCAACAGGTTCTTCATATTTATCTACAATTGCTTCCCACTCTTCCATGATATCTAAAAAATTATTTTATAGGTATTATAATAGGAGCCATGGTAACACAGGGGCTAAGTACTCGCTGTAAATTTCACAGTACACTAGCAACCCGGGTTCGATCCCCGCCGGCACCATTGAAATTGTTAGTTGCAATTTTAAGTGCTGATTTACCACACGCTTTTCAAAGACATGTGAAATTCGTCAAAACACACTGGGGCAGCGCGGAGGATATTTTCCTTGCCCTAAAAATCCTCTCAAAAATGGGAGGAGGTCTACGCCCCGCAGAGGCACATATATAGGCCATAATTTTATTAGGATGAACGCTTTATCCATGCGCCTGCTGCTAGGACGAACCTGCTTCAGAACGCACCATTATCATCACATGCTATACGCTACATTAATATCATCTCACAGGATATTGACATATTTACATGCAGTCAGAAGAAATGTTGCCCAAACTATTAAAATATGAAACTTAGGGGAGTATCAAAGCATTCTGTCTGAACCATTGTCTAATGGTGCTCAAATAATATGGTATATAATTTAGTTAATATTTTGTGCAAATAATTTAAGAAATTGTAGTGTGTTATTTAGTTATAAGGTACAATGGAACTGACATGTTAAACATAATGTAAGTCCCTAAATTTAACAAAAGAATTTAAAAAAAAACATACAAATGTGTTGAAAATTATAATTTCTTTAATAATTTTAAATTCATGTAGCTAGTTATTATTACTTTGTAGTCAGTAGTTTTCTTACATATGGGTTAGATATTAAATTGTATTGGTTAATAGGACTATAACAACGTTATAAATATGTGTATTTTTTTATATTCTATGAGTGTGACAAACAGCACACAGTTCACCTGATAGTAAGTGGTTGCTGTGGCCCATCGTCGTCTACATCTATCCTCGATTACAAATCAAAATGCAGATGTGTTGCCTCATTTCCAATAAAAAGGATCTGCGGTTCTCTATACTCGCTATACAAAACATAGCAGCGTTTAGCCGCTATTTATTCTGTGAGAGTGTGGTCCTTCCCCCATCGAGCCAATTAATTTGTGCTACAACTATACTACTAATATAACTGCAGCATGGCTCTACCAAATTTACTCCTCTTATTTACATTATCAGATAGTTTCAAAGGCATAAAAAAATTAAAATCTATTTTAAAAGAAGCTTTTAAAGGATGAGTTTTATTTATTACAGACTAACAATCCACACTTGACAACAGCACCACCTACCAGGGCTAAATGTAAATCCAAGCCATATAGAGTCCCATTCAAAGACACAAAAAAAATTCACAGTGAACGAGTGAAGCCGGCAACAGTCGAGCGCGCACCTGCTCTACTACCATATGTTGGAGGAGTCACGGACAAGATTGGCTACATCTTGAAGCGAGCGTCCATTAAGACATACTACAAGCCGCTGAAGAAGATTAGTCAATTTTTGCCATCCATCAAATGTAATATTCCTCTACAAGATGCAGGTGTGTACAAGCTAGATTGTGAATGTGGTCTCTCTTACATAGGTCAAACAAAGAGATCTATAAAAACCCGCGTGAAGGAACATATAGCTGATGTGAAGCACCGACGCTCCGGGAAGTCTGCAGTCTGCGAACATGTTCAAGATCGTCCCCACCATTACATTAGATTTGATAAACCACAAATTCTTGCAAAAGAACACCGATTCCTACCAAGGATGATACGCGAGGCTATTGAAATTAAAAAACATCCAAATTTCAATAGAGAAGATGGTTGGGTGCTACCATCTGCTTGGGATCCTATAATCAACAAAATTAAACCCAAACCCAAGCATACCACTGCAAGACTTCATGATACTATAAGCTCGTTTTGCGTAAATCGGACCAAAAATTAATATTAAAAAACTGAAGGTAGCCGGACTAACTATGACATTGGGACGTCAAACACGTCCCCCGTGACCATGGGCGCTGTAAAGCACCGAAACGTCGGGATAATAATAAAAATAAATTAAAGTAATTAAACGCGATAAAATCCGTAAATAATAGTTTTATTCAATGTGTAGTGTTCGCGTAAATTTAAGAAATCATTACAAAAAAAATTCATCAAAATCGGTCAAGCCATTTTCGAGTTTTATCAAGACTAATGGATATCAATAGATTTTTATATAATAGAGATTATTTGATTCTTAAATCAAAATGTGTAAACAAATTTAACTTATGCATAACAATAAAATTAGATATTATTTTTTTTTATATTAAACACAATGTAAAATACTATTTTATAGTGAAAGTTAAAGATGTTATTAGTAAACAAAATTATGTTCAACCAGACAACATTTCTATGGCGAATAGAATAAAATAATATATTTCTATTTAATTCTATTGTACTCTAACACAGACAAGGAATATAGGTAGATTATAATTTTGCCCAATTCTAAATTATATATGTTGCATATATTAACTCTATCTGATCCGATAAGACTCATGCTTACACAGTGCTAACTCTATTGTTAAAATTCTTCATTCTGAATACTGTATTTATATCTTCTCTAACATTTACTTACTACATTGTGCCATTTGTAGAATGTTCTTTCCGTGTATTCAGTGCACTTAGAAATATAAGTGTAGAACACAAACTACTTGTTGAACATCTCCATATACACTTACAGATGCATCAATTGAAGCTATAGCAATACCAACAATTGATAGAGAAGAGGGGTTCTCGAGTGGCAACTATGTACGGCGGCCACCCACTAGATGGAGTGACAACATGGTAAGATATGGACAATTCAGCCGTAGACTTACAAAGAGCTGAAGAAGGTGTTAATGACGATTTTTTAATAGAATAAGGGTGAAAAACTAGTACACAGTCCACCTGATGGTAAGTAAATGCTGTGGTCCATAGATATCTAGATTTATCCTCTATTAAGAATCAAATTGCAGATGCATTGTCACCCCTAAGGACTAAGATGGAATGCCTAGTTTCCAGTAAAAAAGGGTCTCCAGATCTCTATACACACCATACAAAACACAGCAGTATTAAGCTGCTATTTTACGCTGGTATTTTGTGAGAGCATGATCCTTCCTCAGTCGAGCCGACCCATTCAAGCTACACAATCATAATATACCTGCAGTGTGGCTCTACTACCACATATAAAATGCAATATCATCTCACATCTCCCACTGTTGACGCTGCCCTGCCTGACGCTGGTTAGTTGCCCCCAGGGTTATTAATCCTACTATAAAATCGTTTAATCTATGTATTAAGTGAACAAATATTTTGAATGTTAACAATATTACTCTACCATGTGTTAAATACATGGTAGAGTAATGTTGCAGCTATATTATGGTTGTAGCACAAATGGTATAACTGGATCAGAATAGGAACACACTGTCACACAATACCATTATAGAATTCTAGTTTAAACATTTCAATATTGCTGTATTGCATATGGTGAGTGAAGAGAACACGAGACCTTTTTTACTGGTAAGACAACATGCACTGGTTTTGCAATGGATTTTTGGGTATTAAGGTATACCTTAAGGCGAGAAGAGGTCATAATTTTCCAAAAGTTACCCAACCAAGTTGGATCCGTCAATTGACCTCTCGGTCGAAGTTAAAATTACCTAGTTGGACTATTTGTCCCAGGTAAGCATACTCATCAACTTCGAGCTCAGAGCTCCCATCAACTAGCGGCATAAGTGTAACATGGACATTTTCGAATGATGAACCTGTTTATTGGTATTACATGGCCATGTATATAATAAATTAATAATAAGTTTAAAAAAAGTTATACTACTCACAAAATAGTTCTTCCCACCAACTAGATTGCCAGAAGTAGCTGACAAGACATAAGTACAGTAACGATCTACATGTTTACCACTGATGAGAAAACGCCTACTCTTTAATCACAACTTTATGGAGAAAAAAATAATAATGATCTAATGCGGATTATCTGATGTCAAAATAATTAAATCTAGGAAAAACTTTAAATATTAAATTTTTCCACTGTTCACATTAATTTTCTTAATCACCGGGGACTTTTACACTTGTATTTATGCTCGCGATTAACAATTTCAGTGGTACCGGCAAGAAACAAGAATCGAACTTAACGGTCGGTTAAAAATTAAGTTTCAAACTTAGAAAAAAATTATATAACTTTACTTAAACCATGCATTTAACTTACATTAAATTCGAGGTATCTCATATATTTTAAACCTAAAAATATATAAAAACAATTTGGAATTAGACCAATTAGACGTAAATATCTATGTTTACCAATATTTACTCAATCGACTCAAACAGACAATCGTATCCAATCCATAGATAGACTATTGCATAGATAAATAAATATGTAGCAAGCTAGACTATTACTAATGATCGTATCGTAGATTACTGTTTTACTGTTACTGTGTATTACTAAAAAGTACTCTGTGGTGTATTACACAGACTACTAAGAGGATACTACGTAGGTACAAAAGCATAGCCCGCCTGTCCTTAAAAATTGTAGAATACATAGCGGCACTGACGTCGGTGAGTAGTGACTGCGAAGTTAGCTGTTAACGAGTACAAAGTAGGTGATGTTAGTTGAATAATGTACAAATATTCATTTCATTTTTTCGTAGAAAATTTTCATGCTCCGTAATTTTGTAATTTTTGACAAAAAGAAACATTAAAAAACTTTTTTCTCATAATGATTTCTTAAATTTACGCGAACACTACATATTGAATAAAACTATTATTTACGGATTTTATCGCGTTTATTTACTTTAATTTATTTTTATTATTATCCCGACGTTTCGGGTGCTTTACAGCACCCATGGTCCCGGGGGGGACTGAGATGTTTGACGTCCCAATGTCATAGTTAGTCCGGCTACCTTCAGTTTTTTTTTTAATATTAATTTTTGTCCGATTTACGCAAAACGAGCTTATAGTATCATGAAGTCTTGCAGTGGTATGCTTGGGTTTGGGTTTAATTTTGTTAATTATAGGATCCCAAGCAGATGGTAGCACCCAACCATCTTCTCTATTG